CCGGTGTTGCTCCACGTCACGACAGACAGCCACCCACCATGTCCACGTCCATTTGATGCTGTTCGGGGACCGGGCTGCAAAGAAGCAACGACGAGCGAGGCCCCCCAGCCCAACGCCCTCGTACGATGAACTCCTTCTCGAAGCATCGACCTTGCCCTTGGCATAATTCACGTCAACAGGGCCGACCGAAATCCGTGTTCGCCGAGATTACCGGAGCGAGAGCCGAAAGTGAGCTGCCCGCACAGGGAGTTGAGGAGGAGGGCTTTTCATCCCAGTCTGCTTCTCTGCGGACTGCGGACTGGCTTTCCCCGTCGATGAAGTCGCACGCCACTTTCACTCACTCAACTCAATGAACAGCAGGCCCCCGTCCCGGCGGGCACGGCATACAGACAGGCCACATGCACGGACCACGCCGCTCGCTCGCCCGCCCCAGAGGGAGGGAGGGAATGCACAGGTGATCATCGACTTGCGACAGGAGACATGTCGCTCTTCACGCTGTGCCGGGTGTCGACATGTCATCGGCCTTGAACGCCTGCCGGTGGACCTGGGGAGCTACGGATGTAGTAGTGCCTACCGCCATCGGCGGCGGCAGATGCTCGCCTATCTGAAAGCGCTGGTGCTTTGATGGGGAAACAGCCCCTCCGGGGACGACGATCAGAGCAATGGCCCTGCAGGCTTGAATAGGTAGTGTACATGACAGAGGCCAGGGGTCAATGCGATCTTTCCCCCCGGCGAGGCGATCGTCATGGTCGTCCCGGCGACCGGAGCCGTGGTGCGCAAGAGCCTCGGTGATGTGAATGAGCATCTCTCGTGGGTAGGACGGCGATTACCTTGTTCAGCTGGCTGACTGCTCGCCTGTAAATAGCATACTGAAACCCTCTCGTGAGAGATCGCCTGAAGCTCCCTTTACTGAGCCGGGGGTTTTCCGAGTGCATGTATCGACATGTCGGAAGTCACTCTCGTGGGCATCAGTTCCGAACCACGGTATGCTGCGTGAGTGGTGTTATTCGCACAAATAGAAAAGTGTAGTCTCATAGACGTTCCACGTTTTTCTGGGGCCGTGCCGGTCATATTGGTATGTAGATATGGGCCGGTAGCAGCGGACCGCATGTTGCTGCTACTATTGCTACTGTTGCTCTCGTTGCTCTCGTTGCTCTCGTTTCTGCCATCTAATGTAGTTACGGGGGTTCCCACTCTGGGTCAAGGAAACGCACATGAATATGTTTGTCGCGAGCAGTGGAACATCTATGCGGCTAGACTCTTCTTCTATTTGTGCGAACAGCATGACTCTACTGCATCTTGATACCACACAAAGGACCAAGACGGGAGAATAGGACAGGAAACTTATACCCCATGGACGCGACTTCTCGCTGCATCGCGGCCTACGCGCAAGGGATTGACGATCGACAAGCCATCTGATGAATTACTCGCCAAGTTTGCCAAGTTTCGAGAGCAGGTAACGCGTCCACATGGGGTTGAACGGACAGTCGGCACTGGCTGATACCGCGAAAGCCGTCAATGGCGATGATGCCATCGGATAAGAGGCTCATCTTGTCCGGCCAGTTCCAGATGGCCTGGTATATACCTTCGTCTACCACTACGCCTCCATGTACGTGCTCTCAAGCAATCGCGATTGGCGCGACTCATCGCTTGAGCCGTATGCATCCGTCAAATAATCGTAGCTCGAGCTTATTTGTCGTTGCCGTGTTCCTGGCTAGTGCATGATCCAGCTTGAACTCTAGCGCATGCATTAACAGATCGTGGTGTAGCCAGGGCCACGTTCCCTGAGAGATACAATTAATGTCAACGAGTGATCCGTTTCAGCTGTCACGGTCCATCTCCTCCGTTGCACATCATCAATCTTCAACGCATTTCTTGCACGTAGTCGCCAAGTGAAGAAGCCATCTTCAAAGCCGTCCCCGGAGTGACATCTCGGGCGGCGGACCCGAGACCGGGTACCCTCCCCAGAGCTTCGCGCTTGTCTAGTACCCGGAAGGGCAGGTCGCGAGGGGCAGCGCCCCCGCAGAATTCCTTCAAACCGGCGCTATCGGCCCAGAAGGGTTCTCCCGGCTTCACATTGTTGGACGATACTTTGGCTGGCGCTAGTTGGTCGCTAGGGCGCGCAGCAAAGTCCAGCAATCTAATGTACTTGTAAACAATGGCACGGGCCGTTCGAAACGCGCAAGCACTGTGAATGTCATGGAATCGGGGAAGCTCCTTTCTATCTGATGCCCAACGGACTTTGCATCCATCTTCTTCTTGCTCATCATCTGGCTTCACATCGGCAGGGACGTTGAGCTTTCAAGATGCTCACCACCAGTCTGTTGCTGGGCCTTGTAGGCCTGACGGCAGCTCAGTTCCCGCCCAAACCCGAGGGGCTGACGGTACTGAGGTCCAAGTTCCACGAGAACGTCACCATCTCTTTCAAAGAGGTAAGCTATCTTCACCAGGCCTCATCCCAAATGAGCCGCTCTAATCAGCTTCATAGCCCGGCATCTGTGAGACGACCAAGGGCGTCAAGTCATACGCCGGCCATGTCCGTCTGCCACCGGGCTTCCTTGATGACGTTCAGGGCGAGAAGCAAAAGTATCCCGTCAACACGTAGGTTGTCCCTGACCACACGAAGCGTGTGTCCTACCTCTGACTCCTTCAAGTTTCTTCTGGTTCTTCGAGGCCAGGCACGACCCGGAAAGTGCTCCCCTAGCCATCTGGCTCAACGGCGGCCCGGGTGGCTCGTCGATGATGGGCCTCCTCCAGGAAAACGGCCCGTGTCTCATCGCCGAGGACTCCAAGACGGCGTATCTCAACCCCTGGAGCTGGAACAACCACGTCAACATGCTCTACATCGACGAGCCGAACCAGGTCGGCTTCTCATACGACACGCCCACCAACTTCACCATCTTGATGGGCCACCAAGACAGCCAGGAGGACATCCGCCTGGTGCCAACCGACTTCTCCAAGGAGTCGCCCGAGCTCAACTTGACGACCCGCGCAGGCACGCTGGCGAGCCAGAAGCCGTCGCACACGCTCAACAGCACGGCGTCGGCGGCGCACGCGCTGTGGCACTTTGCGCAGACCTTCTTCTTTGAGTTCCCGCACTACAAGCCCAACGACGACCGCGTCAGCCTGTGGGCGGAGAGCTACGGTGGGCACTACGGGCCGGGCTTCATGCGCTTCTTCCAGGAGCAGAACGAGAAGATTCGCAACGGAACGTCCGAAGTGGAGAGTGCGCAGTACATTCACCTCGACACCCTTGGCATCGTCAACGGTCTGCTCGACGCTGTGATCCAGGAGGAGGCTTACATCTCGTTCCCCTTCAACAATGTAAGTCCATTCGTGTAGCACTGCATGCGCCCTATCAGCCTATCAGGAACACACAGTCAATACTGACGTATCGTCTAGACGTATGGCATCCAAGCGTACAACCAGTCCGTGTACGAGGAGCTCATGCACAACTACACCCGACCCGGCGGCTGCAGGGACCAGCTGGCGGCATGCCAGAAGCGCCTCGACGGCTTCGACGTCGCCACGATCAACAGGCTGAGCAGCCAAAAGGGCGACAAGAAGAAGCCGCACGACCTGTGCGACAACATGCAAGACTGGTGCAACGACCCCGCGGTGCAGATCTACCAGCAGGCCAACCACGGGTGGTTCGACATCTCGCACCCCAAGAACGACCCCTTCCCGCCGCCACACATGCACGGCTACCTGACCGAGGCGAGCGTCCTCGCGGCCCTCGGCTCGCCCGTCAACTTCACGGCCGCGTCCGGCGTCGTGGCCGGCAACTTTGAGAGCACGCGCGACATCGTCCACGGCGGGTTCCTCGACGCCGTGGCCTACCTGCTCGACACGGGCGTCAAGATCCACATGATGTACGGCGACCGCGACTACGCCTGCAACTGGGTCGGCGGCGAGATGGTGTCCACCAAGATCCCCTACTCGCGCCTCGACGACTTCAAGGCCGCGGGCTACTCGCCGCTGCTGACGAGCGACGGCGTCGGCGGCATGACGCGCCAGTTCGGCAACTACAGCTTCACGCGCGTCTTCCAGGCCGGCCACGAGGTGCCCATGTACCAGCCCGCGGCTGCGTACGACATCTTCATGCGCGCCACCTTCAACCGCGACATCCCCACGGGTCTGCTGCCTGTACACGACGAGCTGTCGACCGTCGGGCCCCAGGACACTTGGCACATCAAGAACGAGCCTCCGGTGCGGCCGGAACCAAAGTGCTATGTCATCTCGCCGGATACGTGCACCGAGGAGGTGTGGGCAAAGGTCGTGGCCGGCGAGGTCGAGGTCAAGGACTACTTTGTCGTCGACAAGAAGGCCGATGACGTCTTGGGCGACGGGGAGCTCTAAATATGGACTTGTGTATCTCTTGTAGGGCCTAATTCAATTAACGTTGGGCATGTGCCGTATGAAGAGACGCACGTTGGAGTGAAATAGTTTGACTCCTGACACTCGTGATGTTTCAGCAGCTTTTTGAGACAACATTGGAATATTGATCCTGATTCACAGACTCACATCGGCACATCGCTACGTATCTCACTTTCGGTCGAGCCAAATGACGGATCATACCAATTTTTCCGCCGGCTTTTTCATCCTCTTCGTTCTGGGTGCGTGCATTTGGACTCCGACTTTTCCCAGAGGACAGGTCCCAGTCGCATCAGATTCCGTGAGCCATATAGGAGAACCATTCCCCACCAGTGACCCCTGCGTAGAACAAGTAGACAAGAAGTCCCAGTAGCCGTCGCAGCAGCTGTACGCCTTGACACTTAGAGCTTGTTGTAAGCCTCGACGGCGGCCTCGGCCGTGACGTGCCCACTGGCCGGGTTGGCGCCCGTGACGAGGTTGCCGTCGGTCTTGGTGAAGGCGTCCCACGGGCCGGGAGGCGAGACGTCTGTGTGTAGAGTATCAGCGTACAACCATCCTCGCCAGAGACCAAGAATCATTGGGCCGGGGTCTTACAGTGGGCTCCGAGACTGGCAGCAGTAGCCTCAATGGTAGGGCGGTTCCACGACTTGATGGTATCGAGGACGCCCTCTTCCTCCTCACCCTTGGTAGTGAAGCCGGTGACGGTTCGTCCATTGATGACGGACTTGCCAGTCTTGTTGTCGACGATACCGCGGAAGATGGCTCCGCCGTGGCAGCTGCGCCTCCGTGTCAGCCCAGCTCACGTCCAGTCACACTTTGCAACACATCTGTAGCTTGGCTAAGACTAGGGTTGAGGCTTACACCGCGGAGACAATGCCGTTGTCAGCCCAGATCTTGGAACCGATTGACTGCAGGCCCTTGGCATCAGGGTAGTCAATCAGCGAGGCATGGCCCGCAGACGCGAAGAAGATGCCATACTGGTTTGCAAACCCCCACGGTCAGTTTCAGTTCCTCACATCAAACCCGCTCCAGCAGCAACATCAGACATCAGGGTGTAAAAGAAACGCACTTTGGACGGGTCGACCTCGCTCGCCTTGAGCATGTTGTCGAGCTTCTGGCGGAACTCGCCCGACTTGTCCTCGTAGATCTTGCGGTCCTCGGCGGGCAGCCAGTCGTCCGTCTGCGAGAGCCAGTCGGGCTGGCCTTTGCCCGTCTCGGAGGCCAGGTCGACCTCGAAGCCGGCCTCCTTGAAGACCTTGTACGGGTGCAGCACCTCGGTGATGAAGTAGCCCGTCTCCTTGTTGTCCGGGTACAGCGGCGCGTGGGCCGAGGTGACGGCGATGAGGGCGCGCTTGGGAGGGGCCATTGTTGGATATGTGAGCTGCTTTAATTGGCGTTGAGGTAATAGGTTTGATGGGATATGAGGGTATGATGTTCTTGTAGGTGTCTCGCCAGCCTCAGCTTCTCGAGCTGGGCTTCAGCTGCGTATTAAATACCCTTACGGCCACCACACCCTCTCTCCCTCGCGATGGCGCCAGGGACAGCGGCCATCCATGTGCCGGCCATCTAGGAGCTTCTCCGATACACCCGGTTGGAGGCCGGGGCTGCTGCCGGTAGCTCAGCAGACCAGATTTCATCCACCGTAGCAAGGTTCGCCCAGCCGTTATTTTTCGTCATCGAGCTGCGACGCCACCGATTGCAGGTGCCTTTCCCGTACGGTACAGGCTTCCGGGGACTGATCCCCTAGTGCGAATCCCTTAGCGCGGCACATCATTCTCGATATGAGACAACGTGGTCGCAATGCCGTCGAGCTACTGCATTGGATGGTCCACCGCGTTGCTGTTATCAGATGGCACGTACGAAGTAGAATCATCGACGCTACGGGCGTTGATGCTAACCTACTACGATTATCGGCGTGAGGACGATGCAGGCGACTTTCCTAGTGAGCCAGAAAAAGTCGGGTGAAGGGGACCTTGGCCTTCCTTACAGGCCGCGAAGCCCTTCATCCCAGGTTGTGGGCTGGGGGCCAGCATAGACAGGCAAGAGAGGCCCCTCGCGAAGCTGACGTTCCTGTTCCAAGTGCCGGCTCCCTGTGCGTCCGGTTGCTCCAAGTCGCCATCCGTCTCTAGCGCGCCAAGAGTCGGATACGTCAAGCGTCACCCTGTCGAACTCTCTCGGCCCGTCACCAGGCGCCGCGTGTCGAAACGCCTCGATTGAGTTCTGTCCACGGACCTAGAGCCTTCCTTCAGTGGGGAGAACGGCTGTTGAGAGCAGCATCCACCTCGGATCGAGGGCATTTCCGGAACCACCTAAGCCCGCCCTCTGTCTAAGACAGATTTGTGGTGCCCTTGCCATGGTGAACGCCAGCCGGTCAGTCAGTCAGTCCACGGAGGAAGTTGCCGGCGCCGAACCACCCTGTATGCCTGGCCAGCGATTGCCGACAGCCCACCAAGCCTTGGGCTGTTTTCATTTGATCAGAGTCGATTCGGCTCTGCAGCGCGTCCGTAACAATGACGTGACAAGCCACGCCACGCTGAAGAAGCTCGGAGCCCCTCTGTGTTGCCCCTCATCCAGGCCCCTCGTCAACCGAGGTGGATGGGGGACGCTTGCGGACACCAGACAAGACAAGATGCGGACAACCTGCAAAGTCGGAATGCGACTCTACTTTCGAGACTAACTTGATGACTGGCGTCCGGGCCGTGGGCGTCACCGTGGACAATGTCCACGGCGCCGCGCGTTTGCGCTTGAGGCTGCACCTGACGCTATCCGCCACGGTCAAGGACCGTGGAAGTCGTCAAGCCCTTTGGGCACTCCACATCGCGTCCAGCCACTGGGCCGGCAGTGCTGTCAAAGTACGGAGACGTCCACTGACAGCTCGGCCGAAGGAAAGCCACAGAGGCTCCGCGGCATGGCCCCGACGAGCTGTCACTTCTCCTCAAGTGGTCCGCGGAGAGGAGCCACCGCGTCCTGGGTGATTGAGTCATTGCGAACCGTGTATCTTCGAGTAAGCAAAGTTGGCCCAAGCTCGTGAGACCCTCTATGGCTGCGGCCGAGGCTTACCATGGCCCGTTGCGCCCCGCTGCAGATCTCGGTAGCTAGCGTTCAAGTCTGGTAGGCACGAGGCCCAATCCAAATGCGGTAATACTACAATTCATTGCTTCGTCGCGCGCTATCTAGTCGTTTTCGTGGCTACTTGGTACAGGTTTTGAATCGATCCGCAACGCCAATGCCTTTCGTGACGTGGTTTTCATCGTGTTGCACTACCATGTCGGTAAAGACTGCTAGACTGCGTGTCAGCCGAGACTGCTCTAAGCCAGGACTCTCATCGTAAGAACAGTGAAAATGGTGCTGCTTTCAGTTCAAGCTTTAGAATCACCGAGGATCTCATTCCCGTCTTGAAACATATTTTTTGATTGCAGTATCATCCGAACAGCGGGGACAGAAGGGGAGACAAGAGAATGATGTTCTTACCTCTCAAGGTACTGCTAGCCTCAACTCAGCCGCTAACTTCGGAGCGGGCGACTGGACCAGCGGTCGCCGATCCATGGTTCTAGCTACTCCAGCTCCGCTGCGGAAAGAGTGGCAACGGTCGGTGCGTTGCCACTGGGTCCGACGAGAGGCAACTTGAAGGGCCGGAAGGGAGCCGCAGCCACGATCGAGGCCAACGCAATGACAAAGACGGCGGATGACTTCATGATTCCACGGGTTTCGAGAAAAGAATCTGGCTTGAGGAAATGCTGACCTGCGACCGGCGCGTTAAGAAAGAAAACTCGGAGGATAGAACTGGAGATTGAGAAAGAACAGCAGAACGACAAGTGCACGCGAGATGGGTCCCAGCCGCCGACGGGCAGCAGTGGTATTTCAATGCTCAGGAGCCCCAAGCTCCAGGAGTCAGTGCCACAAACCACTGCAGGCCGTCCAGGCCATGAAACACGGCGCTTCGACGCGGACCATCGCTGGATGTGTCCCAAGCTCCCGTGAGCCAATCAACTTGACGCGGAGCACGTTTCAGCGGCGCGTCCTAGCGGGCAATTGGCCGGGGCAGACGCTGACACTTGTGCAGCAGAAGATCGGGCAAGCTGCCGAAGAGGCCAGGAGACGCGGGACCGTCGTCGCGCGAGCGTTCGGGTGCGGCGCTGGCGTGTGGGACGACGGGACCGCGCGTCGGTCGTAAAGATCGAGAGTCAAGAAACACGAGATGAAATAAAAAAAGAACTTTCTGTGTTCAGGTCTGAGTTATAGTGAGTCGGTAGCGGAGAAATGCGGCGCCGTGTGCCGGCGCGTGATGATCGCTTAGCTCAGCTGCCTGCGGTACCTGAACAGCGTGCAGAGCGTCGTCATCGCCAGCACATGTCACTTCGACCAGTAACCGCCATCATTGTTTGTTGACGCGAGACGATATATCTGCTCAGTAGCCACGCAAGATGCGCTCGCCCATCTCATCGCAGTTTCTGGCGGCGGCCGCTACCGTCCTTTCGGCTAGCCAGGCGCTCGCCGCGTCCACGCCTCGCAGCAGCGACGCCGACGACACGCCCCTCCCAGTCATCATCTGGCACGGCCTTGGCGACAGCTTCAACGGCGAGGGCATCCAGCGCGTCGGCGCCCTCGCCGAGGCCATCCATCCTGGCACGTTCGTCTACTCCATCTCGCTCGCCGGTGAGGACTCGAGCGGCGACCGCTCCGCCACCTTCTTCGGCAACGTGACGCAGCAGCTCGACACCGTCTGCGCCCTGCTCGCCGCGCACCCTATCCTGTCCACGGCGCCCGCCGTCGACGCCATCGGCTTCTCCCAGGGGGGTCAGTTCCTCCGCGGCTACGTCGAGCGCTGCAATGCGCCTCCCATCCGCAACCTTGTCACATTTGGAAGCCAGCACAACGGCATCGTCGAGTTCAAGGCCTGCGGCACCTCGGACTGGCTGTGCAAGGGTGCTATGGCCCTTCTGCGCTTCAACACCTGGAGCAGCTTCGTCCAGAACCGCCTCGTTCCCGCCCAGTACTACCGCGACCCCGCGAGCCCAGCCTACGACACGTACCTCGACGCCTCCAACTTCCTCGCCGACATCAACAACGAGCGCCTGCTCAAGAACGAGACGTATAAGAAGAACATTGCTAGCCTCGAGAACCTCGTCATGTACATGTTCGAGGATGACACCACCGTCATTCCCCGCCGCACCGCCTGGTTCGACGAGGTCAACGGCACCGACGTCACGCCGCTCCGCGAGCGGCGCATGTACAAGGAGGACTGGCTCGGCCTGCGCGAGCTCGACAGCAAGGGCGGCATCCACTTCCGCTCCATCACGGGCGAGCACATGCAGATCCCAGACCAGGTCCTCAACGACACCATGGTCGAGTTCTTTGGTCCGGTCAAGTCCAAGGCAAAGGGCATCTTTGAGTCTGATGAGCTATGAGCACGATTGTTTTTGTCGCGTATTTACTGGAGAGCCAGCGTAGTCACTTTTTTGTATCAGACAAATAGCAACAGTCATCTGATCTGGCATGCCCCCATGTGAGCATGAGCAATGTAGTCGCATTTGCAATTCTATCTGTAAGATTCCCGACTCAACGCCGCAACGCCCAGGGCCCGCATGCATCTGCACCCATATCACTGCTTATTACTCGGCAGACCCCTCAGTCGTGGAGTGCTCTACGCCTCCATGGACTTCTTCGCAGCCGCCTTTTGCTTCTTGAGCTTAGCCTTGCGATCCGCGATCTGCTTGTTGAGGGCATCGTCGTCGGCCTCGGGCTTCTTGGCCTTCTTGGCCTTCTTCTTGGGCGCCGGAGAGTCGGCAGCCTCCTCCTCCGCGGCGTCCTCGGCCTCGGCCGCAGCGACAGCCTTGCGCTTCTTGCCAATGTTGGCCTTCTCGGCAGAGGCGGCGGCAATGGCGCGGGCGTCGTCGTCGGCAATCACGTCGCGCTCGTCGACCCACAGCTCGTCCGTCAGCCAGACGGGCAGAGCAGCCGTCGTGGGGCCCTTGATGTAGATGCTCTTGACGTTGCGCCACTTCTGCGGCACCCACTTGGCGACGAGGGCCGTGGCCACGGCGTCAACGTTGTCGGCGATCTGCTGCGCCGTGAAACTGGCGTAGCCGACGCGCACGGCAGTGTTGGTCGTGGGCGCGAGGCTGACGAGCGCCGAGCCCAGCGCCTTCTCAATCTCCTTGGCGATATCAGCCGCAGTGCCAGCGTTGACATCGGCATCGGCATCGCCGGCGTTCTTCTTGTCGCGCTTGGGCCGCTTGCCGTCGACCTTGGGGCGCTTGGCCTGCAGGTTGACCGGGATGGGCCGCTTCAGGGACGTCTTGTAGAAGGTCTTGCCAAGGACCTTGGGCAGGCGGTTGATGATGCGCTCGTCCGCAACGAAGACGTCGTGCTCAGAGAAGAGCTTGCGCTGGGCCTCGTACTGGCTGTACTTGGCCTTGAGCTTGGTGAAGTCGATGACACGGGTGATGCGGCGGCTCAGCGTGGCGGGGAACTCGTCGGAGCCGATGATGTTCTTGTACGCGCGCTGCGGGTCCGCCGTGATTGCGCAGATGGTGGTCGTCACGGGCGTCGACTCGGTCTCGGACTCGGAGATCTTGATGAGGGGGTGCGGCAGCGAGATCTTGCCGGGCTGCAGGCGGGCCTTGTCGGCGATGTGGCGCTTGGTGGTGAGGGTGAGCCAGATGGGCGTGTCCTCGGCCTCGTCGTCCTCGAGCAGGTTCTTCTTGGTGGCCTCGTCGGCGCTCTGCTTGGCCGCCTTCTTGATGTGCGCGAGCAGCGCCTTGGACGCCTTGAGGGTCTGCGGCGGCCAAGTCAGTACTCTGGGGGCGTGTGCGCGCGCGATGCATGCGATTGCTGGAGGCTGCGTACCTGATCGGGGTCAATCGACGCCAGCGGGCTGGAGCCAGCGGCGACGACTTCTTGTGAAGGCGCCATGACTGCGATGTGCGGTTGTGCTGGGCGGTAATGTCCAGCGTTTTGCACGTTGGATAATAGGCGGGGTGTGCCGTTTGGCGATGCTGCTTCTGCTTGCCCAAGAAAAAAAAAGTCGCCCAGGACCCAAAATTTTCGTCGGCGCGGAATATGCCAATCCCGTGCTCCGTCCGCCTAGCGCCTGCACGGTCCGGTCCGGTACACGGCCCCATTTTTCTGTGGCCCGTAAGCACCGGCCGCCCTCGGAAGGGACCCCGACCTGCTTTCGAAACCACCCATTAGCCTATCTTGAGGTGGCAGTCGTTCTTTGCGCAAAACGCTTTCTCTTGCTGTCGCCTCAATGGTTACCTCTTTGGTCTTTCACTACAGCCGCAGGTGTAATGCAATGCAGCAATAGTGGAGAGACATGGCACATGTACATTTTTTAGGTCGAGCCCACTGGGTGAAGCGCCCGCTGCTACGGTATGTTGGCCGAGTCATCTGGTCCGTAAGTCAAGGCACGAGCTGCATCGTCAATGCCTATGCGTAGTGTATTCATGGAGCGCTTTTTCCAGGCGTCAAGTTGCCTTCGGTCATTGGGTGCATAGCCTCCTTCAAAGTGAGCCCACCAACCTGCGGCCAGGATACGCGGTCGCTTAGAAGGTGAGTGCGTTTGCTTGCTTACCCGTAACTTCAAGACGGACCAACGTCAACTCTAAGCGCCTGGCCCAGCCACTCCTGGGTCGCAGTACGCGAACGCGGTTGCATCCACGATGTCGCTGTTCTCTGTGGGCGCTTAATGGAACTGTCTCCTTGTGGGTCTTGCTTGTTTGACCCGAGTATATAAGTCTACAGTAAACCAGGTCTAACGTCGCTTGAGAGAGTCTTCTTCCTGCATCGGTCTCGTTTGTTTCCTTTCTTCTCCTGAATTCCCTGCCACTGCCTTGAACGGTTTCTTTTCAAGCCCGTGACTCACTCTCTGATCTTCTGCTCGTATGTAGCTTCATTTTCTTCTCGACCGTGCCAGCGTCAATGACCCAGCTTAATTAACTTTGGAATACACAGTGCCCTGGCATTGATCGCAATGGCCAAACACACAATCTACCTTGTTACGTATGACCGAGGCACGAACTCTGTCACCGACAAGATCAATCCATACCATTGGGCCTACTTCATTCAAGTCGAGCTCACTTCCGGTGAAAACATGGGAATAGCTCACCAATTGCGCGGCATGCCTGGGTCCTTCTACTACAAGGGTCCGGAGAAGGTTGACCTCAGCAAGTCTGGACGATTGAAGGAAGAGCTAGAGGTCGGCGAGGTTGGTTCATCCAAGATACAGAGAGTCCACGACATTCTGAAGACCGTTCGAATCGACAAGGTCGAGTCTTCTGGCTGGAATTGCCAAGACTGGGCACTTGAAGGCTTTGATCTTCTGAAGGCGGAAGGCTTTATCTATGATCATATGGAGGCGAATGCCGTGAAGGCCTGGCTCAAGGAAAAATGAAGCAGCCTGGGAGCAGGCGAGCAACGTCGAGCATCTTCTCAAAGTCGCCAGACTAATACATCTCGACGTCCATATCTGCTTCTGTCTCGGTGTCGTACTTGTCCATAATCTTGCTGAGCACGTCTCTCCACCACCGTTGGGACCGCGAACCGTACAGGGCCTTTCTGTATTCCCACCACTCGGGCCAGAAGCCCGCCATTTCCCAGTCAAGCACAGCGGTAACGTCGCCAGACTCAGCGTCAACGAGAATGTTCTCCCATGAAAGGTCTGCATGCGCGAAGACCACCGAATGCGTATCTGGCAGGAGCTTTCGGTATTTCTCAGCCCATTCCGGGCGTGGGCTGTCTTTGATTGGCGCGACGAGGGAGTCGTGAAACTCGCCGATGGTAGCAAACGGCCCACAGGTTGACATGTTGGTGATACGATGATCGTACGCGGGCCCTCCAGAGCATGAGCAGATATAACCAGGACGGGGCGAGGGCAGTTGACGCAATTGATGTATGTAGGACTTGAGTTGGCTCTCTGTCCGTTCGCGAGCAGTTTCGGTCATGGTCGACCAGGCTTCGCCAAGATTCTGGCCAGGCATGCGTTTCATGAGGATCCATCCCAAGGGGCTCCGTCCTGCAGAAGTCGGCTCCGCGTCCAGGTGCGTTTCAATGATCTGAGGAATTGGTATCGATGTGCGGCTGGCGACAAACTCCATGGCTTCGACCTCGCGGCTGAGGCGAAACACGCGGCCTTCCTTTCGGATCGCGTCCGTGCCATCCTCAAACACTCGACGACCTGCGGTACTTCTGTTGGCCTTGGATTTCTCCAGCTCGGGCAGACCCTTCGTGGTTGCCATCGTTTGTTCCAGATCCCGTGGTGTTGCGGGGTGAAAATGGGGCAAGGAGCAGTTCGCAGACATGAACCTCCCACGTCCGAGCGCTTGGGTCATGTGGGTCTCGGCCCCAGTTTTCCCCGGCGCCGAACGTCCGGCGACTTCCTCGGTTTACAAGTCGGGATATATTGCGCCAACATTCAGAAAAGAGCGGTAGTTATCGTTGCCATGCTAGTTGGTGTTTTGTTTTGTCCGGTACGGGTATCTCTAGTGACTGTTTGCAAGCCTTGCACTAAACGGGTGATATCAGGATTGCCGCATTGACACTCATGACTTACACGAGGACCTCAACTCCCAGAGTCCCGATTTCAAAACGCTCAAGGACCAGATACACACAAAATAGATATAAATCTGACTTGAGAAATTGCAGGCTATATTCCATAGAGCACACCAGGCACCCGGGGCGTGTTGTTGGTGCGTTGGGCTGTCATTTCATTTGCCCCCAAAACCTCCAGGGTAACCTTGGACAAGGAAGATCACGACGCCCTCACCGCCACGCTAAGGACGCGTCCTGCACCAAAACGGGGACTGGCAGAGCAAAATTGCAGCTCCGCGGGTGTTGGGCGTTCGTGCATGCTTGCTCTGCCGCAATGTTGGATCGTCACGCCAGAATCCCGGATTCACGGGTGACCTCGGCGGCGTGAAGCCATTTGCGTGGGCTGCATGACGATATCTGCACTTCGGCGACCACGATTGGCAGAGCCGAGGGGCGATGAACGTATATTAAAGCTTGGAAAAACGCCCTGTCCCAGAAGCAGCTGCTACTGAGTGCACAATGCACGCCGTTGGAACGAAAGTCAAACGCAAGGAGGTGGTGGTGGTGGTGGGCTGCACGTCATGGTTCGAGCATGATTCACGGTGGGGGCGGGCGAGCAAGCAAGCACTTTACGCGTGCACCCTGACTTTGGAGAGGGCTTGAGGGCATCAAATAATGTGTGGGTGCGTAGACTGAAGGGAACAGAGCAAGAGAAGCAGAGCAGACCCGGGAACTACTTGGGGTGGCACGCACAATCGATCCAAGCGAGGGCTCGCCTGCGCGCATCGCAAAACGCGGCAGCACACGAGACCTGCATGCCCCGAACAGGTCAGGCAACGCACCAGTAAGATTGCATACTCACGTTACGTGCGTGCCCGCCAGTGACGGGTAAGAAAATGGCCCCCCTCAAGAATCCAATCAATGGCCAGATCGGAAAGGGTCTCGCGGCCAGGGCACGGGGACCCGAAACGGGAACGGCGAGGAAGAAAGCCGCGGCCCAGGTACAGGTCAGTTCAGTGGCCAGCGACGCGGTCTGCGTGTGGAGACGTGTCTGAGGAGGCTGGACTGGGATAAGCGGCACACCCGACGCATATCGTGGACAATGGAGCGTTCTCAACGGGCGGCGCGTGTTTCTGCTGCGGCCTGCAGGAGCAACGGGCAAGCGAATGAGTCCAAGACTGACTCGGGGATTTGCTTTCTTTTCACGGGTCGTTTATTTGATGAGTGAGAAGGGGACTGGACGACATCGAATTTGCTTTGAGACTGGCAAGTTCGGGTAGCGGGTTCCAGGGTCGTGAACTGGGGCCTTGGGCCACTGAAGGGTTCAGAGTGCGCCACTGTAGACGTGTGCTACAGGGCATTGCTCCCCCATACCGCCACGCCACAGCGCTATCGCCTCGCTGAAACGCGCCCGGCTCACAGCACTCGCTCGCATCCACGGATCCCCGCGCGCGACCCGACGTCACAGCGCTGATCGCCCGCTGAAGCCCGCTGTAGCCCGCCCGACTTATGCACCGGCGCAGCGCCTAGGGCCGCCTTATGAATGCACAACGCCAACGCCAACGCGAAGCGTCAGGCGCGTTCGTGTCGAGAAAACCCACCCGCCCGTTCAAATACCTGGCGGGCCACCTCCCTCCCGACCTCTTTTCTCCTCCCGCCTACCCAGCCCTTGTCTCTTTTGCCGAGCGACCTACTTCTGCGGCCTGCTTGTCTGCCCTAACCTTGTAGTATTTTATTTTTTTGTTTCCTCCTTGTCTTACGGCCCTTGCACGGGGAATCACTCGTTCAAGCTCACACTCGTTCCTCTCAAGGATATTCCGTCGTTCTGCAGAGAGGAGTGCGGCGCGTGTAAGTGGTGATTTGGTGGTGGTGCGGGCACCATCACGAGACGCGCCTCATGCCCATACTGACGCGGCACAGATCAAAAGCCCACGCTCCGCCACGCCCCGAGGACTTGGAAATGATCACTCGCTTCTGACGAACAACGACACGACGCGAAAATAAAACGTGACGGCGTCTGCGAGGGAAACATGGACTCGCCTCCTGCGCGGCTGCAGGATGCAGCGGGTGAGCCCACGCTGCCAGCCGCCAGCTCCAACGTGCCCGGCTCGGCCTCGAATTCAACATTGAACTCGTCGTCTGCCAACGCGTCTGGCACCAAGAGACCTGCCCCGGCTCTGCTGCCGCCGTTTGAACCGCTCTCGTCCTCCCCGGGCCTACCGCGTCCCGTCAAGCGCCAAAATACGGGCAGCTCTGGCGCGCATAAATACCCAACTCCTGTGCCGACGTCAAGCACGGGCATTCTTTCAAGCTCGCCCCTTCGACGCCCTGCGAGCTTCCTTCGCCGGAAAGCTTCAGATGGCGTCGTCGTTGACAGTGCCGACGCCTCACCGTCGGAGCGCGCCCACCACCACCACCAGCACCGCGCCCCCCTCTCCGCCGTGCCCGCCGTTGAGCTTCCAGAGAACGGCGAGGCCGTGGCCATGGGCCGATCCAGCAACTCGTCGCAGTTCCAGCTGTCTGCCAACCGCCTCGTCTCGCGTGTCCACCTCACGGCTCGGTATGTCGCCGCGGCAAATCCCCTGCAGGCGAACCGCCTCGAGATCCTCTGCACCGGTTGGAACGGGCTCAAGCTTCACTGCCAGGGCCGCACGTGGGAGCTGTTCAAGGACGATAGCTTCACTAGCGAGACCGAGGGCACCGACGTCCTTGTCGACGTGTTGGACGCGCGCGTCATGATCCAGTGGCCCAAGCGGAGGGTCGCCCTAGCCGATACCGCGGCTAACCTCTCCGACTCGAGCTGGGACGACTCGCCGCCGAGGTCTCGTCATGCCCGGGCAAACTCGCTGCTGCAGTCTTCCCCCCTTCGTCGAACTACGCGCATCGCGTCCCCCGAGAGCCCGACCCCGACTGGCACGAGCGGCCATCTGACGAGCTCGCAGCGCCTGCAGGGCTTGCTGCCGACGGGCAGTCGCGAAAGGGCAGCAGCGGAGGAGCAGGTCAGCATCGAGATTTACGAAGATGAACCGGAGCTACCTGAGCCCAGGGGCGAGGCCGTCGTGGACGCTGGCGCGAGCATGCAGACGGAAGCCACCAATAGCTTCTCAAGCGATCTTAGCGACCCTGAAGATGATGAGCACGACCCGGATGAAGAGAACGACCCCATTGTGCACTCCTTTGGGCCCTTTGGCGCAGACATCTCTGGCAGACTGGCTTCGATAACGACGAAGTCCCCCAAGGTCAGCAGATTGGCGGCGGCACCGCGACTTCGCCCAGGCAGCAACGCAAGTGCATCGTCTGGCGAGACGCTCAGCTCCATTGGCGAGAGTCTGCAGGCACCGTCGCTGCCAGGCTCGCCCATCAAGAAACGCTCGGTGCCGCCCATGAAAACGTTCCGAGCTGGCGAGATCCCATGCTCACCCACCCCCAAGGTCAAGCACGAGACGGAAGATGCGGCAGTTGATGCTTTGCCATCTGTCGAGGAGCTCGATCCGAGCATCGTCAACCACGTCATCAACCAGCTGGCCTTCTCGCGGCTCTCGTCCACACCCCTCTCCACCATCATGCAGAACCTCCCCGCCGAGGCCAAGACCGACCCGAGCCTCACGCCCAACCTGCTGCGCACGGCCATCGAGGCGACGCCCTGCGTGGGTATCATCCGCCGCCAGGGTAAGGACGCTGCCGGCAAGGCACTCGAGAGCGAGTACTACTACGTACCCGAGCACGATGGCGACGAGCAGCGGCGGGCGGCTGTGGTGGACGGGCTGCGCAAGCCGAGCCTGCGAAACTGCAGGAAGCAGCACAAAGTAATAACCCCCTCTCATCCTTCCAACCACAATATGCTGACCCGGTCGCGCAGCAATATTACTGGAAGCGTCCGCGCACTCCTTGACGTTTTGACCAGCGTCGTGCGCCGTGACCCATAGCCAGCCCTGGCCATCTCTTCAGTGTACATATACCCGCACTACTCCCTTGTCCAATGTTTGCTCCGTGTCGTTTCCATCTCGAGACTCGAGAGCGAGGAGAGAGAAAAGAACCTGCATAGCCCGAGGCGTCGATTGTTTTGTCAACTATCTATTATGAAGAGGGGTTTTAACGAAGTGGGCAGGAAGGTAAAGCTGCTGGAAGCTTTTCTGGTGTTGAAGCGCTCCCGCCGTTGACAAATTTTACCATTGTCGGTGGAGAGGGGAGGGCGGACGGGGGAAAGACGAGAGACGCCGGTGTTGAGATGAAGGGCTTTTGTGTGTTTTTATACCTTCTCGACCCTGTACGGTAGCGGATGAGGATGCTGTGTGCCATTCGAATGGCAATATAACAAATGCTTGGTAGCCTGTTCGCCCTACCTGTGAGGTTTCCCTGAGTAGAGTCGCAAGAGCGGGCAAAACCCGATGCCCCTGAACCCGGGCCCCCCTAAGCAACCGTGCCGGCCGACAAGTCAAGGATAATAAAGATAACATGAGGGAAAACAGTACTTGCTGGGACGTCTATTCCAAGTTATCTTCATTTCAGCGTACAATATACTTTGGTCGCCCGCTGCTTCGAAGGATAAAACGGATTCCTCTTCTGCCCGTCCTCGCCCTCCTCCTCATAGGTCCCCATGTCGAAGTCGCTCACCACCTCGCCCTTGAAGGGCGCCGGCGGATTGCTCCACACATAGTTGACGGCGTCGGCCGCACACTCGATCTGGATCCCACGGAAGCCCTGCTTCGCCATCTCGCGCATCATGTACCGCGCCGTGATGCCCATGATGCCCATCCCCTCATAGTCATGCCGCGTGCTCGTCGCGTTGCGGAACAGCACCTCGCCCGGCGCCTTTGCCTTCCACGCCTCCGGGTCGCGCCTGTCCCTGGACCCGAGGATCGTGTAAAAGGTCTGAAACACGGGCAGCACCTCGATCAGCCCGGCCATCTTGCCCATGTCGAGCTGGTTGAAGCTATCGTAGGCCAGCGCCACGGACGCGAGCGGAAAGTCCATCTGCTCCAGCAGCGTCGCCCCGCTGGCGTCCTCGTCCGCCTCGTCCCAGTACAGCGCGCCGCCCGTGGCCGCCGACTCGGGCCGCTTGAACTGGTACTCCTTGTCGAAGACGCCCAGCGAGTAGCCCGACTCGATCTGGTGGTTGACGAGGTAGCGCGCCTCCTTCTGCGCGGCGTACGCGCGCTTCGCCTTGAGCTCCGGGTAGATGACGGGCCAGACGGGCGAGTGGAAGAGGTTGCTGTGCGAGACGATGGCCGCTGCCCACTCCAGGTGCTTGGGCTCCAGGACGCGGATCTCGAACCGGTCAGGGAGCTGCTTCTCGACGGCCATGTTGGTGCTGGTCCTTTTCTCTCCTCTCTCTGTCTGGCGCTTGGGGGGCGGACGGGGCCGTGGGACGGGAATCTTGCCCTGTGGACCTTGGCGGATGCTAGGGGGGGCGGCGATGGCTTGCAGCGTGTCCGAGGGTCAACAACCTACGTTCGCGATGCCGACGAGGCACGCCGGCCCTCTTTAATAGCTGCAAAGAGAACCACGAAAAAGGTCCCGTCAGCTGACTCCCATCCGTCTCACACACACCCGGCGCGTGGAATCACGCCCCCCTTCATGCCTCGGTGGCGACGCGCCCAAGACCGCTCAAGACGTGGTCCCGGAGTTGAGGGCTAGTTAGCGCTTACGGAGGGCACTTGCAGACTCACAATGCAACCTCAACCCACGCAGTGTCGCGCGTTTGGCCCGTTGGGATTTGCCAACTGCTGCACATGGCGGAGACTGGACTGCGGCTCCGCCTTGTCGCTCGTCTCGTGCGTTTCGGGCACTGCCCGGTTTTGGCTCGGCGGGCCCTGGAATCGCGTCCAGTCGGCAATTGCTCATTTGATGTCGAAGGCCGTTTCCGTCTGGTAAATCAGCTCACGTTCTGTTACTCGGAGCGAAACCCCGTTCGCTTTCAACCCAAGCCCGAGAAAAGAAGTTAAGCGTCCGAATATGGTCGATTACGCGCGGCTCGGCCCTGTCTGGCCATTGACCGCCAAGATGTGCTGTCGATATCCTGTCTCACGAAGCTCCAATCAACACACCGCCATGTGGGAAGGAGAATCTGGCCCAAGACGAAGCTTGGTCGGCCCGGACCAGAAAGATGAGCCGCACGGCGGGGCTCGAGATCCCGCGTCGGACTTTTAAGCCTATCGACCGATTCAGTTCGTGTTGTTGCCAGTATCTGCCAGAGTTCCTGGGGTGGAGGATTGCATTATAACGGGGTCGTGCTGGTTAACATAACATAGAGTTACGGCTTATAGCCCACAATTGCTTCGTGCAATCCCTCTCCAAGACCCTTTCGCATTTTACCCAAGGCTGAGCTGGGTCGCTTTCGCTGAGGTCGGATCGTGAGAGTGATCGACATGCCGATTACCATGACCTTTGCAATCTCTCCTTGTACACAGAGCCCAATACCATAGCCAGGTGTCGCCTCCCGATGACGTTCAATCAGCGAGTTGCAACAATGTAGTTTCTCGAATCACGATAATCAACTTCGAGACTCTTGCCAGTTCTCCCACGTCATCTTGTCGCTCAACGTGGCGCCCCGCCAATGGGGTGACAAGAGCACGGCATCTGGTGCTACTCGCCCTCGTGTCTCTCCACGAATGCCAAGAACTACAGGCCGACAAAGCCGCAGCGTCGTATCAAATGAGGACCGCAACACGGGTGTTGTCAACATAAGCCAGGTGACCATCATCAACGGGGGAGGCATTAACCTGAATTGCCAAGCGAGTCCGGTCACGCCATCAGTCAGACTGCGATATCCGTCATCTGCGGCTCGTGTGAAGCGTTTCCCCAGACCAAACCCCGCGCCAACGGTGCAGATGCGATTGACGCGAATTGGGGCATCGTCGAGCTGACCTCTCTCGGACGAAACCCCTTCTCCAGGCATCTCGGCAAGAAATTGAAATGGGGCCGCGAGAAACACACAAAGTCCACCAATAGTGTTATACGCGTAGCTGCCCATTTGGCCCTCGATTGAGGCACTGTAAAGCCGCAGCGGATCTAGGCAATGCACGCGTGTGGCGGAGCATAAGGTTCGCTCGTAAGCTGACGGTGGTCGCATAGCCATCTTGTTTATCTGTGAGGCATAGATTGCCTCCAACAAAGTCGGGCAAGCTTACTTACGACCACGATGTACAGGCTAAATCGAGTCTCGCTCGCTCGCTCGCTCTCACTCATCTTGACGTAGCCCTGTCTACTGATAGCGGCTTCCTGAACTGTGCCAAACTTTTGAGATATGGTCGCTGGGCTCAAGGTCTCGACCGCTGTTACTCCAGCCGACGGCAGAACTCGTCCATAAGCTAGTCCGCTGCGCATGGGACGACAACTCCTACATGTATACTGTAGACATGCCCCCTTTGGCTTTCCTGATCACCAGATGATGAGGCCCTCAACTACCGACTGAAGAGTTCGAGCCAGAGCATTGAACTGGCGCCGCGGCAAACAATGCTACCATGCCGAGACCTGGGCGCGTGGAAACGCCTCATGCGATGCACGGCCTGCCTAACATACTGCGCAACGACTACTCCTTGTAGCCTGGAGATGCGAACGCATTGACACACAGCATGCGTGATTAATGCGAAATTAGCTGCCTTTGCGTTTGTTTACTTGAAGCTATGACGTATTGAGCAACCTTGTAAAAGAAATTCGGAGGGCAAAAGTCAGCGTCCAGGAACCAAGGCATGGCCGACGAGGGAGTTAGACTCTGCCAGGACGATGCCCTTGCGACTGAGAACTGCTTTGTCGGATTTGGCCTCTGCTGAGGAAGTCGTACACCAACATTCGAGATGATGCACTCTCAAAGAAAGTCACAGACAGCTAATCTAGAGACACTACGACAGTTGAATGGAGTATTGGGCTCAGCAATTGCGATGGAGTTGGTCTCCCCAGATTAAAAGTCAATAGTCAACATGGACTGCCCGCAACTCAAATATGAATAGAGTCGCATATGCCGCATCAACATGCGCACGGGACTGAAACCGTCGGCCGAGCGTTCACGTTCCGTAGATCTAGTCCATCCCGCCCGGGACACCAGGCTGCGCTCCCGCATAACGCCCGTCGGACATAGCGGCGCGGCCGCCGGCTGAGTTCCCTTCTCTCGGGTCCGCGCGCGCGGGTTGCATGTGTCCTCCTTGAGTGTCGGCTGCATTTGATGGAACGCCTCCATGTTAACTCTGCGCTGGTTTGAGGCTCGCCGAGGAAGCACCGCAGGGTGCATTCGCTGACTCGGCTAACATACATAAGGCCCAGCAATACAATAGAGCATAACAGGTATTGATACATTCCTGAACGAGATTCGTGTTAGGTCACTTGCTTTGATGATCGCAAACGGCGGCTGCAGGCAGCCGCGTACAGTACATACACCCGGCGGCATGCAGTGATGCACCTGGGACCGGCCCGCACATCGCATCGCGGCGACTTCATGTTAGGAGTCCACGCCACCCGCAACCGGGACACGAACTTTTGCTTTCTTTGCATAGGCCGAAACTGGAACTGCACGCCATAGGCACGTATACTCGGAGATACTGACTCATGGCACTGCCATTGTACAGCCGTCGTATTCTTCACTCTCAATGTTTGGTCAAGTCGTGCCGGAGGAGCCGTTTTAAGGATTGAAGTCTGGTTCAACGTCGCACAGCAGGAAGCTTACCCAAACGACGACTCTCTCTCATAGCCTCAATTCATCAGTCACCTCCACCTGTCAAATTTTCAGCGCTCAATGATCCCCAAAAGTCCGTTTCGCTCACTTTCGATCTGATGCCGTCTTGCTCCCGAGCCGTGCTCGTTTCACGACCTGCAGCACCTCCGGCAGAGCACAGACTGCCCCCCGGCGCCGACCACCCTTTTCCCGTGGTGATATTTTGGGCACTGCATCGGCAGAAACGTCGTGTCTCTAACCCGGCGTTCTGACCGTAAGGCGGGCCCGGCGGTGGGTAAACGCCCTCGGTACCAGTCTCATGCCGTTTGCTCCCGCGTGCAATGCGCATCATCAATGGCTCGTGCACTTGGGTCAGACGTACGTAGTCGCGGAGATGTGGGGGCCAGGCTGCAAACATTGAACGATGGCTCAAGCTCGAAGAGGAGGAGGGAGAGGAGGCCCTGCCAGAGTTGACTGTAGCTGCATGTCGGCACATAAGGAGTAGACGGAGCGGCCTCTGCCAGCGGGTTGACGATAAAACCTCCTGGCATGCGAGGAGTTCCTCTTTAGACGAGTCTTGTGTAAATCTGGACTGCGTGCATCACCTGGCTCGATCATAGGCTCATGCCATCATGAGAAAAAGCAGCATCATCCTGCAGCGGCGGACCGGCAAGATCTGGGAGGAGATTCCGGATCACTGGGCGAGCACCATCAACTCTCCCGACAAGGCGCAAGACCCGGCGGCGACGGGGCCGCAGTACCTCACCCGCGTCCAGGTCCCGATCGTCCTCACGTCCATCACCTTGGCCGCGTTCCTGCTGCTCCTCGACTCGACCATCGTCTCGACCGCCGTTCCGAGCATCACATCCGAGTTTCACTCGCTAAAGGACGTCGGGTGGTATGGCGCCGCCTACCAGCTGTCGAGGTGCGTTGGCTCATGGCAGATCTGTGGAATACTTCACGTTGTATGCCTCGACAGACATGGCTGTGCTGACTCGAGTTTCATCGCTCAAACAGTGCCGCTCTCCAGCCGCTCGTGGGCAAGCTCTTCACGCTCTTCAACATCAAGGTCGTCTACCTCTCCTTCTTCTTCGTCTTCGAGGTCGGCTCCGTGGTGTGCGCCGTCGCCAACGCGTCCTTGATCCTCATTGTCGGGAGAGTCATTGCCGGCCTCGGGGTTGCGGGCATGTACACCGGCGGCATGATCATTGTCGGCTCGTGTATTAAGCCTGAGTCACGAGCGCGTGAGTAACTCCGAGCTTTTGGACGCGAATGGGTGTTGTGCTAACGGGTTGTGAAGTCTGCACCGGGATCATGATGGGATGTAAGTCGCTCCTTGCCTCTCACGTATACCGGCCGCCTTTCTTCCAGGGCCAACGCCCCGAAAACGATATCTAGATTTGAGACAGTCGATAGTGTGCACAGAAGCTGAACATACAAACGTGCAGTTGGACAGCTCGGCCTCGTCAGTGGCCCAATCATCGGCGGCGTCCTCACCGAGAGGCTCTCCTGGCGATGGTGTAAGTCAGCATTGAAGCCATCCAGTACCCCAAGATGAGGAAGACTGACTGACACGTCCCGAAACAGGCTTCTACATCAACCTCCCGCTCGGGGCCCTCATCTTCGCCGGCACCGCCTTCGTCAAGCTCACCAACCCCTCGCCGCTCAAGCCCGTGCGCTCCATCCTCCCGACGCTGCACCGCACGCTCGACCTCGTGGGCTTCGCGCTCATCGCCCCCGCCGTCACCCTCCTGCTCGTCGCGCTGGAATGGGGCGGCGCCGGCGACTACGCATGGGGCTCGACCGTCCTCATCGGCCTCTTCTGGACGGCGGGTGTCCTGGGCGCCGCCTTTGCCGGCTGGATCTGCTACATGGGCGACGCGGCGCTCATCCCGCCGCGGCTGTTCCTCAACCGCATCGTCGTGGCCTGCTGCGGCGTTACATTGTCCGTCATGGGCGCCAGCTTCGTCTCCACGTACTGGCTTCCCATCTACTTCCAGACAATCAAGGGGGATAGCCCGATATGGAGCGGCGTGCACCTGTTGCCCAATGTCATCCCGTCTCTGGTCGTGAGCATCATCGTGGGGGCCCTAGTTGGCAAGGTCGGCTACTACCTCCCCTTCGCCGCGGCGGGTGGCGCCATCATCGCCCTCGCCGGGGCTCTCTTCACGACACTCACGCCGTCCTCCGACGTGGTCGCCTGGGCGGGCTACCAGGTCGCCCTGGGAGTCGGGCGCGGCCTCGCCGTGCAGGCGGGCTACCTCGGAATGTCGCACGCCGTGCCGGCCGAGACGCTACCGCTGGCCGTATCGCTCATGATCTTCTCGCCGTACCTCGTCGGGTCCGTGCTGCTGACCCTCGCGCAAGTCGTCTTCACGACCACGTTCCGCGCGGAGCTGCCGCGCCGGGTGCCCGGCGTCGACGTCGACGCCATCCTCAACGCCGGGGCGTCGGGCGTGCGCAAGGCCGGGGTCCCGCTCGACAAGCTCGCCGACGTGGTTGGCGCCTACTCGGCGAGCGTGACAAAGGTCTTCTACCTGACTGCAGTGATGGGCGTGCTCCTGTTCGTCGCGGCTCTCTTCTCGGGATGGGTCGACACGCGGAAGAAGGACCTGCCGCCACCGCCGCCGCCGGTGCCGGCACAGGAGACAGACTATGGATCGGATACGGAGCTTGAGGACAACCTCACTTGGAGCGACAAGCTCGACGAGATGTTTCCGCGCCGGGCCTCAGGATCAACGGCCTGGTAGCGTACGAGAGCGTTTTCTTTACCATTGTGTTATTGATTGGGGTTCATGAGCGTGCTCGGGGCTGACTATGACTTTATGACACACAAAGCGGGTTGCTGGGCGGGCATTAGAAGTCCCGTGAGCTTTGAATTGGCTTTTTTTCCCTTCTTGTAGATAGTCATCTGTCGATAGAATTGATGTTTCTCTCAAGCTTGTGACCTCGTAACATGGCTTTGCTACCTATTGATTGAACTCACTATTGACAACCCAAGTTCAAGACACAGGTTCTGCCTGTGCACGACGCCGAGAACCGGCGCGTCCGTCACAGCACCCTCCCCATTGGCGAATAAGACGCCTGAATCACCGATTCAATCGTCTGCTCTCGATATATCTCGGGCAGGATCACACCACCCGCATCCAATTCACCCACCTCAGCTGCAAGCCACTTTCAAGGGCCACACACACAAACCACTCTGTGCTAACTCGCTGCTGCTCCCGCTCCCCCCGCCCCACGGTAACGCTCCCTCCCGGCGGCCGCCTTCCCCTCCTCAGTGGCGAACAAAACGCCCCCCCGTTGCTGGCATGCGGCTGCAACTCAATCCCGCCGCAGGCAAGCCGCCGCCGCAGCGCAGCAGCAGGCAGATATGTAACAAGTAGGAGCAACGGGGCATGTCGCCTCGCCCTCGAGCGCAACCTCGACTTTGCATCGCCACTGCTCTTCACCTACGCGAATAGCAATCAACCCGAGACTCCAATCCGACGTTTGCAAAAGCATCACAGTCGAACAATGTCCTCGTCGGCCACCAGCATGCCCATCCACCCCACCAAAGGTCAGCAGCGAACCGCTCCCTCCCCCGCCGTCGTCCCCAGTCTCGTTCATGGCCCCCCCCGGCCCGCGCCAGAAGCTCCCGCCCTCCTCCTCCTCCTCCTCCTCCCTGCATGTACATGCACACACTCAAGGTTGTCATGTATGCTGACCGGCCCGTAGAGGAGGCAAAGGCCGCGTCCCCCACGCATCCAGACGCCCACGCCGCCCACGCCATGGACCACACCAATTCCTGGAAGCCTAGTCTAGACCGCCGTCAGAGCTGGAGCAAAGAGGACCAGAAGCACGCGCTGCAAATGTCCTCGCTCGATGGCGTCAAGACGGGGCCCGGGTTTTCCGAAAAGTAGGAGATGCTGGCGAGGGAACAATGCTTGTTTTGCAGGATGATATGAATGGTCTGCAATGTACACGTAAGGAGCATGAGCTATCACTTGGAACGGCGAGGCAAGGCACGTTGCTGTGTTGGCTTTCATTGTAATAAAAGTTGATCAATTCCCCGCTTGTATCCCATATCCGTACGCCGTGATCCCTAAACTACAAAGAGAATGGTGAGTGAGGACTTGCTCCCGCCTGGCACAGCACCCTACTGCTCGTCTTGAGCCAACCCAGTCAATGCTCGTCGCCAGACGGCTCGCCGCCGCCCATCCCCATGCAATGGGTATTCCGAAAAACACGTTCACAGACCCTTCGGGCCGAGGCCATCCAGCCCTCCCGTCGAGAAGTACTCGCCCAAAACACCCACGGCGTATGCAATACCGGCCACCCAGACAGTGCCCACAACCACCTTCCTGCCGAGGCTTCGCTTCTTCTTTCCTCGATACTTCCTTCCACCAGTATACGTCTCCTCGCTCAGCGGAGGCGACGGCTTGGCCCCCTCGCCGGCAACCCCGTCGTAGTTGACAAAGCCCGTCGGGCTGGCAAAGTTACCCGTCACCGGCTTGCCCATCATGTCGATGGGGTTGACCGGGGCCCCCATGGCCTGCGCCAGCGTTGATTCAGGCGAACCCGGCCGGACCTTTCGAAAAACGAGCATGTCGCCACTTCCAGACACGATCTCATACCCTTGCGACTGAAGTGGCGCGAAGTGTGGGAGAAACTTGGAAGGGTTGGACAGGCGCAAAAGGACCGCAGCGGGCGATTCGGACGAAGTCGTTTCGTGGACACCAGATGTTGTCTCGGCAATGGTGATGGCTTGCGTCGTTGGGTCATACGCCAGGATCTTGTACAGGGCTGGGCGCTCCGCTTCGGCCTGGTCCATGGACGCATTGAGGGTTTCCTTTGGCGCCTTGGCCTTGTGGTGTTTGACAAATGTTGGCCATGTGGGCTTTCCATTGCACTCTTCCGCGTAGCTCGTCTGCAGACCCCGAGGCAACTTGCAGTAATGATCCTCGTGGCCCGCCAGACCCCGAGGGCTAGCAAACTTGGCCCTTCGTCGAGTGGCGCCCTGGTTCAGAGCAGGCTCTAACTTGGAAGTCTCTTGGGGGAAGCTCTCGTCCATTGAGCTGAACTCCGTGTCCTCACTCTCAACGGTCTGATCGGTAACACGTGCGGCTGCTTCCCGGCCGTCTTCGCTGCGATTGTTTGGATACAAAGTCGACTTTGAGCGAGAGTTGGTTGTGCTCCATGATGACGCAAACTCTTCGGGAAAGTCGCGCACATAGTTGCCAGTCAAAACCGGCTCAGTCTTCTTCTTGAGGCGACCGACTGTGTCTTGCGCAACCTTGGACTCGGCGTCCCAGTTGAGCTCAAGCTCAGACTTGGCCCTTTCCAACTTGCCCTTCTGGCTGCTGTCGCGAACCTTGCGGAGAACCTCGGCTCGAATCTGGTCGGCTGTCCTGGAGCCCAGCGGATCGTCTCCTGTCGCACCAGACCCATCGGCAGAACTTCCAGACGCGGATGGCCTTGATCCAATCGAGTCGAAAGCCTTCAAGCCGTTTGCAACGACGTCCGGCGCAGCTGCAGGTTTTCCGTCCGGCTCGTTGTGCATCACAGGCTTGTACTGTGTTAAGTCGGCATAGAATTTGGTTGCCTCCTCTGGATGGATGGGGTACCTTCGGCTAGGGGAGTCAAACTTGCGTGGCCTATACTTGTCGAGATCCTCGTAATGCTTCGTGAGCTCTTCCGGATGAACATGCGTCTTCCTGCTCGGTTCCTCGTAGCCGGCCGCCGGGTACTTCGAGAGGTCTTTGTACTGCTTCGAAGCCAGCTCGGGATGGATGCGCTCCGTTTCAGGACCAGCGTTGGGGAAGGCCCGGTACTTGGGCAGGTCCTCGTACTGTTTGGATGCCTCCTCAGGGTGGATGCGGGGCGTGGCTGGGCCGCTGTTGTCGTATTGAGAGTACTTGTGCAGATCCTCGTAATTCTTGGAGAGCTCCTCGGGAGTGAGCTTCCTCAGCCCATCCGGTTCGTTCCAGCGCACCGGTCCATACTTGTGCAGGTCGTCGTATTGCTTGCTGGGGTCTTCAAAAGGCACCTCCACCTTGGGGGCGAGCGGTTCTGCTTTCGGTGTGGTGTCTTGCTGACTTGCCTCATGGGCTTGCAGGATCGAGTCGCTCGCGACGAAACCCTCCTTGTAGTCGGCAAGGTCGGTGTACTTTTTCGACTCCTCTTCTGGGGTCAGTCTACGTAGACCGTCGGGCTCGTTCCATGCCACAGGGCCGTAGCTCTGGAGGTCACTGTAGTTCTTGGAGAGTTCCTCGGGCGTGAGCTTGCGCAGTCCATCTGGCTCATTCCAGCGCACCGGGCCATACTTGTGAAGGTCATCGTAATGCTTCGAGCGCTCCTCGGGTGTTTCTTTTCGCAGACCGTCCGGCTCATTCCAAGAGACGGGCTTGTACTTGTCGAGATCGTCGTATTCCTTGGACTTTTCCTCAGGACTCAGTGGCTGCTTTGCATTTGGATCGTCGATTTTGACATTCGAGTACTTGTCGAGATCCTTGTAGTTCTTGGAGTCCTCCTCGCGGGTCGTTTTGCGCAGGCCATCTGGCTCATTCCAGCTAACCGGCTTGTACTTGTCCAGATCCTTGTACTTCTTGGACAGCTCCTCCGGGGTAAGCTTCTGCGGGGCGTTGGGGTCATCGAGAGGAGCAGACGAGTAGCCCGACAAGTCATTATATGTCTCAGGCGTCTCCTCTGTGGCGGCCCTCTTGCGGTTCGTGATGGGGTCGATGCCACTATCGTGGTCCCCCGCAGTGGTGGTAGCGTGCAGGACGGACTCTGGCGTGACGTCGACCGGGGGCCGTTGCGAGTGGAGAAAACTGCGGAGGTTCTGCAGGGGCATCCACGGATCACCGTGCTTGGCCCGAGCTTTGTTGGAGCCAAACAGGTGATCGATGGCCTCGCGCTCGACGTCCTCAATGTTTCTTCCGGGGCGCAGCCCAGACAGATCGTCGGACCAAGACTTGACCGAATCGGCGTCGCAATACCTGCCGCTGAGGGTGGCCCGGCGGGCGAGTCCGCGGGTCAGGATGCTCTTCATGGCGGCCTCGGCATCATCGGGGCGGGGGCTGTTCTCCCACGACAAGTTGCGGTTTAGAGATTCCATGTACTTGTAGCGCATGCCCTGGTGGCGGCGTCGGGCGTCACGCTGCGCACCGCAGTCGGCGCGCGACGACCAGGGCCCGAAGCGAAACGCCCGACATGGCTGCTGGCTCCGCCGAGATCTCACCAGGCAGGTGCCGGCGGCGGCGAAGGGAGCCTGACGCGACGACTGCTGAGCGATGACGATGATCCTCGCGCGGGGCGAAGGCACGGACGCGCTTGGAAGCATGGCGACGGCGGGAGGTGGCCAAATAGCCCGCAGGTGAGGCTATCGGCACTGCTGGGAAGCGTGAGCAAGACGGCCGCAATGCGACGACGGGTATCATGCAGACTGGTCGAAGGAAGCAAGTGTCAGAAGGAGAAGTCGGTACGTACGAGGGCGCAGGCGTGAACAGCTATCGCTGCATGTGACATGGACGAGGTCGCGCGGTTGAGGAAGCGGAGGCGGGTGTGTTCGGGTGGACGCGGCGTTGGTGACGTAGGGCCGACGGGTGAGGAGTGTATCACGGACTGCCGGCCAGCAGCAGCGGTTGGCAAGGCGATCCAGCAAGCAAGCAAGCAGGCGGTTACGGCAGGCGTGACGTTCAATGCGCGGCAGGTTTGGGGGCAGAGAGCAAAAGTGAAGGCGAAGATGGAACTTGATGGAGGAACGGGAGGAAAGCGGGCACGACGGCAAGGAAGCTGAAGAGGAGAAGACGGGCCGGCTCGGTGCAAGGTGAGCGAGCTGGTGCTGCCCTGCCTTTCAGGTTGCCTTCCCGGGTTGCCTATTCACGACGGGATCCAATCCCATGCCGCCGTCTCGCCTGTCTCTGCTGTCGAACGCCACCCCAAGCCGCCAGCGAGCGCTGTGTTCGCAGCTGTACGCGCCGCTGCCACCCGCTGGCCCCCGCTGAACACGGCCGGCGCGGGCGCGCAGCCATGGCACTTGGGCAGCGCCTCAGCGCCTCAGCGCCAGCGAAACAGCGAAACAGTGGGGGCTTGAGGGGGGGGCTTTGGGGGNCTCTGGACGGCCATCGCAGCCACCGACGCACACAAGCCCGCTGCGAGACAGTGAGGGGTACCGCTGAAGCCCCGAGTCTGTCCGGCGAGCGGCCCAATCACCGCGCCCGCACGACCAGCTGAGCTCCACCAGCAGCCAACGCCCCCGTTTTTACCCCCCCGCCGGTGCCTAAGACAGCGACAGCCGCTCTTTCCGAATCCGGAAATCCGGGGACGAACCTGGTCGGTCATCACGTGCGATCGGAGGACTCGCTCCTTGACCGTCTCCATCGTGAACCCGCCTTTGACGATTCATTGACGTGTTCCTCGAAACATCCTTTCACCGGTAGGGACAAAGCACCCGGCATCGTTCACGAACGTGTGCCCCTGAGCGAAGGCACGGCAGCGCCATGCTTCCTTGTGGCCGGGACGGCGATCGCAGTGGGCCTCTCTGGCTTGACACCTGAGACAATTATCATGCGGCCTCAGAGCCCCTGGAACCAACGCTTTCCAACTGACTTGGACCCGACCCGCACGTCGCAAGTCACAGCCACAGATACGCAACAGACGTCATCGCCCGTTTATTGACGCCAAAGCGCCGTCCGAACCAACCGCGCCAGACCAACTGTGCGGCTTTGATCCCGAAAGACAAAGCAACGCGGTGGTATCAAGATACACATTGTGGAGCGTGAAGGCCCAGAACTGATAGTGAATTGGCGCGATCTGTCTGCCACAAAGGACTGGAAACGACGGTCCGATGCAGGCCATCACGAGAGCCACTCGTCGAACCACGCCACCGCCTGTCGGAACGCCTGGTCTCTGGCGAATGTCTCGACTGGCACGTCCACGTTGCGGCGCACCGCGAACCCATGCTCCACGCCGCCGTACAAGTTGATTTGGTATCGCTGTCCCGTTTTCACGAGTATATCCTCAGACGTGTGGCGCATCTCGGCGGGGAATATGTTGTCATTTTGGGCGGCCGCGATAGAAAGGGGGCCCGTGATGGCCTGCAGCTCGTGCTCTTGAACCAACGACGGATGAGCGATGAATCCGGCATCGATTCCGCTCTTGTAGTGCCGCACGACGTACTGCGGGCCGCCTGTAAGCATGGCGCAAGCAAGAAAGATTGACGGACGTCCGTGCTCGTCCTTGTAGACTTGCCTTGGCTCCAAAACAATAGCCCGCGGCGGCAATCTTGGCGATACCCATAGCCCGCATTGCCTCGACCCCCGCCACAACAATCGGGTCCACGAATTCGGCTATGTGAAGGTGTTTCCCAGGCACGCCGTGGTTGATCCAGTCGATGATTGTTGTCTCCGTGGTTCTATCTGCCGGCAGTGAGTCGCCGTCAAATAGGTCAGGAATCAGCGTCGTGTATCCGCTCGCGGCAAAGCCGTCGGCCATCAGCTTGCTGTTCTGCCATATCCCCCGCACATCAGGTAAATATAGGACTCCGCAGCCTTTTCGGGCCTTGCTCTCCGGAGCCTCGGCTAGGTATGCATCGATGTTGCGGCCGATCTTGATCATCCGGCCCGTGGGTTCGCCTCTATATCATGTAGGTTCAGCGCCGGATCTGCACTTCGCTGCACTCGAAGAGGAGCAAAATCTCTCGATCATCTTCTTTGAACATGTAGACAGCCCGCCGCGATTGATTGATGATGGATTGGGTGCTTGAAAGTTGAGAGCAAGGATTGTGGCAACCTACTCGAAGGCTCTCCCGGCAGCACAGCACGGACCAGGAGGATGCGAAGCCATTTTTGCTATCGTTCAACAGTGCAGTCAATCGTGAGTTGCGAAACTAGTCAGTGTTGGAGAAATTGGCTGGGCATTCATCTGTTCTCGGATGTTCATGTTGAGTTTCAGGCAACGTCGCGGTGACGCCAGCTGTCGGCAGTAATTCCTCCGCTTCACGGAGCCCTGTCCGCATGTTGCACGGCATGCAACGATGGCTGACGCCAACAAAGACAACATACAGAGAGCAATGAGATACTTGATCAAGCGTGCTGTATTGAACTTTCGCACGCAAAAATGGATTCAGTTGCGCCGACGCATTTGGGGCAGACTTGCGCCATCCACCGCGATTGCGAGAGGCAGCTCGTCGCAGTCGCTGGGTGCCTCTCCCCATTGTTTCCACGAATCTCGTATGCGGGACTGAAGCATCACATCGCCGGCTCAAGTGCCACCTGGGAACTCGAAGACAATGCTGGGCTGGCGACGAAGCCGCTCAAGTCCGAGCCGCCGACCAGGCTGGGCAGAGTCCCGAACAGAACTAGAATAAGGCAGCACAAAGTGTGCTCAACCAAAACGCAGAGAGGCCCAATGCGGGCAGGGTAGGCTGCATAGGCAGAAGTGCGGGGTGCTGGAGACGACCATATAAGGGGGTATTCTGACTTGACGACGTCGCCGCTCAGGCTCTGATCGTTGAGGGCATGGCGCGTTCCAACCGAGCTGCTGGCTTCAGCAGGTCCGCTTGATTACCCGGCCAAGAAGAGTAAAACATGATACGAGACTATGAGATTGCCCCTATTTCGAGAGTTGCGATGCTCTGATAGCGTATCGTGGGTGATTGGAGCCTCATTTGCTGCATGTAGAGAGAAGGTATGCCCTGACATGTGTCTTTTTCACCTCTACGACACCTTGCCGTCCGACTTTTGCAATCGACGAAAGGCCATCACGCGACAAATGGCGCTCAGGCGAGCAAGCATGCAGGGATATCATTGCGTGACTCACTGTTTGAAACCGAGTGAAGCGCGCTTCTCGTCCGAGCATGTTGGTGATTGATGGCGACGAGTCGATGCCAGTGCGCGCTGCGAGTCAGCCGTGCATGCAGGACGACATTCCGATACCGCTCCCGCCATTATTCATCATCGGCACTCTCTCCTGCATTGATAGTCTCGGAAATACTACGTTGGCCCTTGTGTTGATTGCCGAGTCGGCAGCAGCGGACCGCGGGCGGTGGCTCGTGGGCGAGATCTCGTCATCGGATCCTGGACGCCATAAGCTTGGCTCGCGCCAGTCGCTGGACGACACTCGCCCACAACCCGACCCAACAATCAGGCGATGCTGCTGCGCAAACGTCCCCTCGGCGAGCATGAGGCAATCAACCGGAGCAATAAGGCTCAATCGAGGAGTCGACATGGGGCCCAAGATTCGGCAGGCTGTCTGATGTGTCATCTGCATTCGCTGCAACGCCGGCGGTCGACCGCGGCCGCCGTTGGAGCTGGGCCGCGTCTCATGCGACTCTCTCACATGGAGAAAATGTCCGTACGAAGCAGGCCCAGAACGAAAGGACAGGCACGGGACGGGAGTTTCTTGCGATGAGTTGCGGGGCATCGAGCTCGCACAACGGTATCGTTACACCATCCGCGACTGAGACAAGCAGCCGGTTTACGCGATTTGGCGGGACAGATCAACGATTGATGGCAACCGGACTGTCGCCGCGGCGGAGCACATGAAGGCAGAGGGCATCACAATTCAGCCGGGACAGCCTGGAGGTGTCGGTGTAAGACGGAATCGCGCACCAATGCCGCAGCATGGAATGAAGTCGAAGACAAGACATGGGGAGCAGTGACGTTGCGTCCGTGTCACCGAACCACTCCAGAGCCCATAGCCCACAACCTCACCTCATGCACGGCTCGTACAACATCACCAGCACAGACAAGGAGCGAGGGGCCAGGCCAGAGCGCGGCGCGCCGCCCAAGTCGGAAGGCAAACAAGCTCGCACCAATTGGAATCGGAATCTGTCTCGGCCAGGGTGATCCGGCCGCCATTTTTTGCGGGGGAATCGCTGACGTTTTAAGAAAAAGTTATGGATCTGAAGCAATTGCGCAACCTGGGGTTGCTATTAGGCCTTGGGCGGTGGGGATTGCGTGCTCGCCCAGCGCTTGCACCGTTCGCTCGCTCACTCTCTCACTTACTCACTCACCACATCCACCACCACCACCACCACCACCACCAGCCCGCACCGCCCGCGCAACCGCGCCGCCAAAGAAGCTCTGGTTTCGCAATCGCCCAACTACAGTGGCGTGATCCGCACCATGCTCGCGTCAACAGCTCCCTCGACCCCCGTCTTGCACGCCCCCCCTTCTTCCATCTGCCCGCTCGCCCCGCGCGTGCGCAGGGCAGCCGTGACGCAAAGAGCCCGATAGAGGGACTTTTAATGTCCGCCGGAAGGTTGCACAGGCCGTGTACCTGCTGCGGGTGGGCGGCGGCAGGGTTTCAATACATCCACGGCGGGGGAGGGGGGGCGTTCGACACACCGCAGACACTCCGTGAGACGTGAGAACGAGACCCGATGGCCAGAGGGCTTGATCGGTAATACGGGCCACTCTCGCTTTCGCCATCTCTTACGTGATGGATGCCATTGCGGGGAGTGGGCAATCCGGGGCGCCGAGTCGGAAGTGCGTCTCCGAGCGTGCTCTCATCCAGGGGGCGTGCAGAGCCCATGACTTACATGCCGCAGACGCCGAAAAGGTATATAAGACGGGGGGACCGGGTTCTTGGGTCGTTCCTGGTTGACAAGCAAGCCATCACAAGTCACTTGATTACCTACGAGCTGTCTAGTCTCAGCCATCAGATCCCCTTATCAGATCAATCTCATCGAGTCCCCCCTTACACACAACAGGACGTCAAGTCAAGTCATCACCATGGCTCCCTCCGTCGTCGAGACGACCACCACCACGACCCGGCCTGTGCCGGCGTACAAGCTGCACGTCGGCAACTACAAGGAGATTGACGCCCACAACGTCGACCGCGAGACGGAGACGGGCGAGAACGGCGCCAAGGTGAGTTGGACCGGCTTCTCATGAGCAACATGGATCACACCAGAAATGGATCAGGGGGGACTGACACGATGGCCTCAAAACAGTATCCTCACTACCTCCCCACATGGAACCGCGAGCAAAAGTGGCCTGCCCTGGAGCCCTATGAGCACTACGAGCACGGCAAAGACGCCGACACGACCTTCCCCAACTTGCTCCCCTCGTCCGTCTCCGTCACGCACCTGACGCCCTCCATCGGCTCCGAGGTCAAGGGCATCCAGCTCTCGTCGCTCACCAACGCCGGCAAGGACGAGCTCGCGCGCTTCGTCGCCGAGCGCAAGGTCGTCGCCTTCCGCAACCAGGACTTTGCCGACCTGTCCATCCCCGACGCCCTCGCCTACGGCTCCTACTTTGGCCGCCACCACATCCACCCGACGTCGGGCGCCCCCGAGGGCTACCCGGAGGTGCACCTCGTCCACCGCGGCGAGAACGACAGCGGCGCAAAGGAATTCTTCCAGGCCCGCACCAGCTCCGTCGCCTGGCACTCGGACGTCTCGTACGAGCAGCAGCCCCCCGGCACCACCTTTCTCTACATCCTGAACAAGCCCGACACGGGCGGCGACACCATCTTCGTCGACGCCGTGCAGGCCTACAAGCGACTGAGCCCGCTGTTCCAGGAGCGCCTCCATGGCCTCAAGGCGACGCACTCGGGCATCGAGCAGGTCAACGCCGCGGCCGCGCGCAACAGCATCAAGCGCCGCGAGCCCGTCGTCAACGAGCACCCCATCATCCGCACCCACCCGGCCACGGGCGAGAAGGCCATCTACGTCAACCCCCAGTGTAAGTCTCTCCCCACACGCAGAACACCCTACATTCGAAGAAAAACGCAAGTCTGACTGTTTGTCACGCACAGTCACCCGCGAAATCGTCGGCCTCAAGCGCGAGGAGTCGGACGCCCTGCTCAAGTTCCTGTACGACCACCTGGCGTACGGCGCCGACTTCCAGGCCCGCGTCAAGTGGGAGGAGGGCACCGTCGTCATCTGGGACAACCGCGTGACGCAGCACAGCGCCATCGTCGACTGGGAGAACGGCCAGCGGCGGCACCTGGCGCGCATCACGCCCCAGGCCGAGCGGCCGTACGAGACGCCCTTTGACGGCTGAGGGGTCTGATCTGCTATGAGCAACGAAAAGGGAAACATATTTTGAGAATTTTGTGAAGGATTGGGTAGCAAGCATGTCATGAACCTATACTACATTGCCAAGTTCAGCTCCGGAGACGAGAGAGCTCTCACGGATTTATAATTGAACAATTGATACATTAAAACACATCGTCGATCGCCAGGCGCTTGTGAATGGGAAAAAAGTAATCAAAAGGCGCAACACTCAGACTCGGCGGAATGGCTTGAACTTGGCGTCCATTTTCGTCGCAACCCCTCCCACAATGGCAGACCCCGTACGCGCAGAAAAAGCTGATTGCTAAGCATCGCGACGACGCGGCAACGCCCAGGCGCCCTCTTATACAACACCGCGCCAAGTCCGCAACGGCGTGACTCACTGACACGAAACTCCGCAGAGTGCCAACGCGAAGACACGTGCGCGCAGGGCTGCCTGCCTGCCTTTACCTTTTGCCTCTCTCACACACACAAGCACGCACATGCCGACTACACACACCCCAGCTGTTTAAGCGTATCTTCAAGCTCGGATGTGGCTGAGCGGAAGACGGCCGGGGTCAGACAGCCCTGGCACCTAACCATAACGATCGGGTGGGACTGCCACTCCACTGCGGCGTCGCGATACTCTGGCTCGCATGGGTCCTGGTGGGTGAACACGGTGTAAACGATGGGCAGTTTTGATCCGAGTGTTGCTGCTTGTCGCGGGTGAGTTGAGCGGGCCATTGGTAATACACAGAATTCGCAATGAGGGTTTTGAGGAGGATGACTTCATGAGGGGCTCTGATGTGCATTTGTAAGTGCGGACAATGACGCTGAACGTCGTCTCCAATGTTCATGATCGCCTATATAAGGCCCGTGTAAGTCAAGCATTGAGATGAGCTCAAGACAACAACAACAACAGCAGCAGCAGCAACGACTCAGCAGCAGCAACGACTCAGCAGCAGCAACGACTCAGCAGCAGCTTCTTTCAGACCCCCCAAAAACAACAAAACGGCAACTTTTTCTGTATCCAATAAAGTTTCTACATTCATCATGTCTCGGATCCTCTCCCTCGGCATCGGCAACATGGGCGCCGCCCTGGCCCGCACCCTCCTCGCCTCCAACCCATCATCATCCACCCCCCTCACCATCTGGAACCGCACCGCCTCCCGCCCGCTCGTCACATCCCTCGTCGCCGCCGGCGCGCGCCTCGAGACGGACCTCGCCGCGGCCATCTCCGCCGCCGACATCATCCTCATCTGCGTCCTCGACTACGACACCATCTACTCGGCGCTCGCCTCCGCGTCCGCCGACTCCTCCTCCACCTCCCCCCTCGCCGGCAAGACCGTCGTCAACCTCACCAACGGCACCCCGCGACAGGCCGCCGCCGCGCAGGCCTGGTTCCGCGAGCGCGGCGTCGCGCGCTACTTCGACGGCGCCGTCATGGTGCCCCCGCAGCTCGTCGGCACGCCGCACTCCTTCCTGCTCTACTCGGGCGAGACGGAGGCGGCGTTCCAGGCCAGCGTGAAGGACCAGCTCGCGTCCGTGGGCAGCGCGCTGTACACGGGCGAGGACGTGGCCTCGGCGGCGACGGACGACCTCGCCGCGCTGGCGGCCATGTACGGCATGTTCTCGGGCGCCTTCATCGGCATCGGCCTGCTGAAGAAGCAGCTGGCCAAGGCGGCGGGCAAGGGTGATGGAGCCGCGGCCAAGGTCAAGGTGACGCCTGCGGTGGAGAGCGTCGTGGTGCCGGTGCTGACGGCGTTGGTGCCGTATGTCGGGCTCATCGCCAAGGCGGTCGACGAGGAGGCGTGGGATGACGACATGGGCAACCCGCTGGGGATGCAGCTCGCGGGCGTGCGCAACATTCTGCAGGCGTGCAAGGACGAGGGCGTCAACGGAGGGGCCCTGGAGACCTTGGTGGGACTGATGCAGAAGGTTGTGGACGAACGGGGTGGTGCTGGAGGCGTCCCCGAGGTGGCCAGGTTCATGGTCGAGTAGTGACATCCTCTCTGCCAGATCAATAAAATGATGTTGACTGGTACTTCGCTGAAACGTTCCTTACCGGCTGAATAACTCGTTCGCATCAGCATGCGCATCAGGCCTGTTTCACATCCGTCTTCTTCTCCCCATCATCCAACATGTAATACCAATATATCGCCGTCTCCGCCTTATGCTCCTCAATCGCCCTGTACAAGTACTCATCATACCCCCCAAACGAAAGCCCCTGCTTCTTGTAGAACCGGCACGCAGGCACGTTATTGCTCTGCGTCTCGACCCGAATCCCCTTGACGCCCACCTCCCTCGCCCACTCCACCACCGCACCAAACAGCCTCTTGCCCTGGCCCTTGCCGCGGAGACTCGCGTCCAGCGCAATGGTGTTAAGCGTCGCCATGCCGTTCCAGTCCTTGAACGCAAACGCGTAGCCGAGGATGCGGTGGCCCTTGGCGGCAGCGCCGTTGTGGGCGTCGTTGTCGTCGGAGGAGGGTGCGGTGAGCGCGAGGATGACGCTCTCCGCGGTGCCAGGCTCGTCAAAGTCCTCCTCCGCAAAGCCGTAAGATTTGGTGCGCGGCGGCACGACGGGCGTCGTCGCGATGGGTTGGTCGAGCGCGAGGTGGTGGTATGGCTTGGCGACAACCTCGGAGATGTTGAAGGAAAAGTCGCAGGCGGCGATGTCTGCCTGCGTGATGCGCGGCACGCGAGTGATCTCCATAGCGACTAGATGTGTGTATCTCTTGGTCTGAGCTGCGTCTCAGTGTCGTTGACCAAATTGCATAACCCCTAGAAGATGCGATGGCAATATTGATCGTAGAATGTACAGAGACGGGTCGAGCTCATATATACCACCTCACATCAATGAGTTCGTACGAGGACACGTAATTGCCTCTGAGGTCTCTGGGGTCAATAACCCCCGCCTAGCTTTCGTGCGACAGTCCCAAGAGACAGCGCTCTCTTGCGTGCGCGTCGTGGAAGCAGTTGGAGTTGAAGGGAAGCTCGACACGATGCAGACAGCCAGGGTCATGGAGAGGAGCCAATCGGCGTGACTCAATACGGCAACACTTGCCGCCAAAGGACAGTCCATCCAGGTGACCGATTGGGCAATCTCTGCGGCAGCATCTTTGGTTGTGAGTGGAGCCTCGGAGCGGCAGTGATAGTCACGAATGAGCCAGTCACTTGCAAAGAATAATGAGCTGAATGCTGGCGAGGACTGTGTGTCGCAATCAACTTGATTCAAGCATATTTACTGCAACTTGTCGCGTCCTCGTTGTGTCCGGTATTCCAACGCTATGCTGGCAAATGCCACACCACCTTGCACACCAAAACATGACATTACATGGCATTATAACTCTTCCAATCGTGGTATCAAATGTAAATTCCCCAATGCACACCTCTACACGCGCTGCGTGCCCGCCTCGTGCTCCGACTCCGTGTCTGAGATCTCCTTGGCCAACGTCTGGGCACCGGTGAGTCTCGGGTTGCGCAGCGCGAGAGAGAAGCCGATGAGCGGCACGCAGAGGCAAATGCCAGTGATGCACAGGAGGCGCTGGATGTACTGATACGCGTGGCCGACGGCGTCGCGCTCCGGCGTGCCGAGGGGATAGAGGGCGATGACGTTGCCGAAAGGATCAGCGTACGCAAGGGGCGCCAGCGTCGCGTTGATGGGGCTAAGAGTCTCCTCCAGCTTGGAAGGCAGCAGCTGCGACCACATGGCACCAGACACGGTGTTGCCGAGGGCAGAGCCCACGTTGTAAACGGCAAGGTAGATGCCGGTCATGACGGCCAGGTTCTCGTGCTTGAGACCGACCTGCAGCGAGGCCTGCGCCGTGTAAGGGAACAAACCACCGGCGAAGCCGAGGAGGACCTGGGCGCCGATGATGCCAGCCTTGCTAGCTCCAGACGGAGATCCGCGGTAGTGGATGAGAAGGCCAAAGGCAACCATGAAGAGGCAAGTACCGGCAACGACGAAAACCTTGAGGCGGCGGACCTTGTAGACGATCATGCCAAGGATGACGCCGGTAATGACGCTGGTGAAGGAGTAAAGCGAGGTGATGCGAGTGGCAGCTTTGACGGAGAAACCAAAGGCGACCTGCAGGACGGTGTAGAGGAAGTCGGCCTGCATGCCCCAGGCGAAGTTGAGCAGGATCGCGATACCCATGGGCGCCCAGACAGCACGGTCCTTCATGAGAGTGAAGGGAACCAGGGGGTGAGGAGCCTTGAGCTCCCACCAGACGAAGAACGGCACGCAAACGACACCGACGACGAGGGGGGCAATGACGTGCGGCTGCTTCCACTGGGCCTGGAAGCCACCGGCAATGGTCAGAGGCACGAGGATGAGGGCGAAGACGGCGATGAGGAGAATGATGCCAATGACGTCGAGCAGCCAGAAGAGCTCGAGGGAGAGGTTGCGGAAGCCAAGCTGCTGGAAGGAGGAGCGGTAGTTGACGAGCAGACCACGCTTCTTGGCGCGGTGCGAGACAACCATGAGGCTGATGATGAGAGGCAGGGCGCAGACGGGATAGATGATGCACCACATGCCAATGCCCCACTTCCACGTGGTGTTGGCGAGAACAGCGTCGCTAATGTCGCCGCTAACCCAGGTGTTGATGATGAAGGGCAGGGCGGGGATGTAGCTGAAGAAGAGACGGGCGCGCGTCGAAGTAATATCGGCAATGACGACCTCGACAAGCAGGATGATCATGGTGTAGCCGACCTGGTAGATGACGCTGCCGCCGGCAAAGGTATCGACGTCGGTGGCAACGGCCTCGACGATGGTGCCGATAACGTAGAAGACGATGGAGATGCAGATGAGCTCGACACGGCCAAAGACATCGGCAATCTTGGCGGCTGTGGGCTGCGCGGCGGCGGCGATGACGGAGCGGATCACATTGACGGTGGCCTGGAGCGAGTGCACGCCGAAAGAGGCGGTCGCGGTCGGCTGGTAGGCATAGCGCAGGGTGCCGTCGAGGCCGTAGGCGTATGCGACGAGGAAGACGCCCAGGAAGATGAAGATGCGGTCGACAAAGGTGATGCACTGGGAGAGCGCCTCGACTCGGGCGACACCGGGCGACTTGATGTCCTTGACGGCGTCGGCAGCCGACAGCGGCTCGCCGTGCTGCCGCTCGTTAATGTCGGTGTCCTTTTCGTGGGTGGCCATGGCGGGCGTGGTCTTGCGTCGGTCAAACGATGCGACTGTTCCACGAGAGCGGGCCGCGCGACGAGGCGGAAGGGTGATGTCCGCGGACGGAGGAGGGTGCGGAGAAAAGGCGACGAACGCAAGAAGCAGTCCTAGAGGGGGAAGATCCAAGGAAGGATCAAGGAAAGAGACGAGCAGGGTTGCAGTTGCCTTTATGCTTAAGGGCTCCGGATGCGGAGACACCGAAGCGCACCTTCCTCACGGACCGACGGACTACGAAGAGCGCGGCGGCCCCTGCTAGCACTCCTGAGGTAACCTTAAGTACTTGTTCGCCCCGTACAAAACCGCCTGCAACATCCTGTCACTCATGCCAACGTCCACGCGACTGGAGCAAGAAAAAAAAAACTCGCTGACCCCGACCCCCGATTGATTAGATAAAAGGCCGAAGAAAGCGCACCTGGGCGCGAATCGACATGGGCCCCCATGCTGGGGCCAACCTTCATTCGCTGCTAGTGGGCACCGCGGCGCCTCGTCGCATCCCATCCCACGCCGTGGAACCCCCATATTATCCAGAGCCACGCTTGCCACGGCCGGTTGCCACGAGGCCTGCTCCAAACGGATGCCACCTCCGCGAGCCAAGGTCGGGTGCGCAGTTTTTCTCGATCCACCACCAACAGATGGAGGTTATCCCATGAATCTCTTACGTGCCCTGCCCATGCCCATGCCCAGCCCGGCCCAGCCTCTGGGACCCTGCGGCGGCGGCGGCGCTGGGCCAGCAAGGTTATCAGATGCATCAGATTATCTCGGCTTCGCGCGCTAAGCTGAAATCTCTTCCTGAGCTCAGCGCCACGCGCGCCCAGCCCGCAAGGTAGCCACCAAACTCGGGTCATTGGCACGCGGGATTGGCCGGAGACCGAAACTCAGGAATCCTGCCCGCCGAGATGGCGTTTTCCCCCTCTCGCGCGTGGGTTGACCGACCAAGTGAGTGACAGCAGATGGATCTTGTGACGGCCGCAGTCATCTTTGACGGCCGGGCCCACCGCGCCTGTTGGGCTCCATGCCAAGCTGTTGTTCTCGCGCAGCGTGTGCTGACGGCGTTGCCCATCACGCCACATGGCCGTCATCATCATGGCCGGCCGGCAGTCTCACTCCATGCAGCCTGCTGGCAGCAGCTCAGCTCGCTCAACCAACATGGCATTTCGCGCATGCGGGCGTTGCATGTTCAGCACGGAAACTGTGCAGCTGCAGGGAACGCATTGATCACATACGCAGCCCGGCGGTCCTTGTGGCCTCCCACTGCCGCGTCGAGCTGAAGTAGAAGCCATGCTGGCCAAGACAGACAGACATGCTCTTGACTTCGCAATTGACCCAACGCCAAAAGGCACAGCTTTTTTCCCGCGTTCTCGACCGGCCGGTGGACTTGATCGGGTGGACTTGATCTGACTCGAGATCAGAGGGCCAGCGCTGGGCCGTTGATGTGAAAAAAAAACTCAATCGAGGTGAGAGAGCGCCCAGTCCGTAGAGCCAAGAGTTGGCACACCGACTACTTCGTGCTAGTAGTTGGTTGTACGTGGTTATGAGCGCCGGTGGCCCCGGCATCCAGTGCCAGAAAGTACGATGAACGGATGGCAACATGGCGCGTTGCCAGATTCCGAGAAGGTCCGGAAGACCCTGCGCCAACAGGTGGGACTGCCAAGGGTCCAAGAACCCGCGGGACTGGGACTGCACCAACACGAAAACAGCATCGATGCTCCGGAGGTTCCCCGACATCCACCGCCGCCCACAGCCTCGTTCGAGCTCTCTTGGCTGTGTCTCCCGGCCGGAGCTTCGGGTCGATGAATGAGGCTTGTGTTGCGGTCTCACTGGGCCAACTCTTCAGCCTGATTGAACCTGAATGAATTGTCATGTTGCTGACAGTTGAAAGCGCTGTATACTTTGTGAAAGACATCACACGACCGCCTCCTCCCGCGTATGCACAAGGGTGCCGGCGACGCCACCCGACTGAGAGCAGCTTGCCGCCCTTGACATTGCCAACAAGAACAATGCTGCAAGTCATCGGGCATGTCAGATAACCTACTTGCACGATCGAGCCGAATTCGCTGCGGTCCAGTTCGCGATGCCGTGAGACAATGGACGACAAGCTTAATCTAGGGTAACCGGATGTGTATGGGCGAATGAAGCACGTACAGGAAGAACAGGCCCGACTTCACGCCCACGCCATTCCGGCCCAGACAGGCGTGTCGCTGAAAAGATCAATCAAGATACTCGACCTCGCAGCTGCGGCATGGATATCGACGCCACGTGCTTTCAACATGGGACGCGTATTGAGGTGTAGGTGGAGTCAAGAGTGGCGCTGGACTGCATTCATATTTCAAAAAACGTCCTTGGATCAATATACAGTGCGAGTAGCTGTAAGGCCGTGTGGCTCAATGGCAGAGCGTCTGACTACGATTAGTTAATCAGAAGGTCGCAGGTTCGACCCCTGTCTCGGTCAATACTCCATTGTTTTTTTTTTTTGCATTTTTTCGCTCCTCCAACAACCCACCACCCTCCTCCACCCCAGCCCTAACTCCACTCCCGTCGATGTATTAGTCTATTTTTTTTTGCTTCTGAAGAGGGCTTCAGCAGCTGTGTAATGCTTTGACACGCAGCTTTGCATGCTTCTTCTGGCCAGTCGGGTCCAGCCTGGAAGTCTCGGACAGGCAATGAAGTAGCCTTTATGCTGAGGATGCTGGGTTACTCGTAATGCACCACCTTCATATCTTAGGCGCTGTGTCAACATCTTGGCTTTACATCGTTTCAGGTTCCCCTCTTCGCCGGTTCTCATCAAACCAATGCGCTTCCCGCCTTTTTGTTTAATATCCGTATGCGGCGGTGTCACATCGCGGAGTATTTCGGCAGTTACTCGTACACCACGTCATGCCGTTGATACGAGCCGTAAACCGGATGGCTGAATGGCAAGATGCAGCGCATCATTGCATGCTGCAGCCATTCAGGGGTCACACCGGTCAACGGCAACGGCAAGGGTGCTCCACCTGCGTCTCTATTCACGGCACGACTGCCAGAGAAGGTGATGCCTGGAAGTCCCATCCTGCCGCAGGGATAGAAGTGCCGTCGGGGCCTCTCCCCGCCCCCAGCCGCAAGCCCGACTCCAGCCTATGGCCTTATGAGCCTATAATACCCCATACAACATGCATGCGGACATCCCAGGTTTTACCTGCCTGACGCTGCAGCAGTAACCCCCTCCTCCCACGACGTCCCATTCAGCTTGTTATCGGCAAGTCGACCTGAGGTGCTGCCGCTGCCGCCGCCAGACTCCTCATCCTCGTCGTCGTCGCCGCCCGATACGAGTCTCGTGTCACCGCCTCGGCTGGGTGATTCCAAGCTTGCGATGCATCGATCGGCACGTATATGTAGTTTCAGGGATGCGTTCCTGGAAAGTGGCTGGCGCGGGACGGTCGTGTCCTGCAGCCACTTTTTGATGCGATTCGGTGGGTTTCTGGCGGCTTGTTACGAAACTCCTGGGAGAGCGTTCGGAGCCCGGCTTGATCCTTGCTTTTTTGCTAGCCGTCTGGGGCTGGCTGGCTACGGGTCTAAGAAGCATGAATGAATATGCTTAAAATGCCACGACTGGCCTTGTCTTGAACGGCCCATTGTGCGTCTACGTAGTCTCCGCAAACCCCCTTCTTGTTGGTGACGTCCCGGGTCGAGGTTTTACTCCCGGTTAGACGTGGGGTTGAGTCCTCAACTCGCTCGACGTATGCATTGAGAGTGCGACCAGCTCCTGACGTTCGCTGCCCCATATCCCATCATGTATGGACTTTTGACCCTCGTTGTCGCGGCCTCTTGTGCCATTGCGCACGACGGTCGCCCCAGCCAGCCGCGGTACTTAGCAGGCCGATTAGCCAGCGGCCGTGTCCCACGATCGCCGGGAAAGCACATCTTCGGTCCAGCCGTGACGAAGCTTGAGAGCCGGAAAGGTACAGTCGACGGCCAGTGCGGAGTTGAGTTTGGGACGACTTGCCAGAGTGGTGACTGCTGCTCCATCGAAGGGTAAGTCCCGAGTTCACCTCACCCATGTCGGGTTAATTAGTACGGCTCATTGACCTTGATGACTGTCACTAACTGTCGAGCAGATGGTGTGGCAAGGGACCTGACTATTGCTCCTCGCCGGACTGCCAGCTCGAGTACAGCGACAGCTGCGACGGGAATATCCGGCCGCAAGGAAGGGACACGGAGAAGGTGGCACGCCCGAAAGTCGGAAATGTGCCGTACGGGCAGGGCATCTACGACTGTGACGTAGACGGGACCATTGCGCTCACGTTTGATGACGGACCATACACTTACACCGAGGATCTGCTCAACTTGCTAAAGGTATGCTCTGGGTTCCCAACGTGAATCCATGCCGCGTCAGCCTCTGGCCTGTCACTTACACGCTCTCGCAGAAATACAACACCAAGGCGACCTTCTTCATCACGGGCCGCAACTTCGGCAAGGGCGCCATCAACGACCCCGCCAAGCCCTGGCGGGCGCTCATCAAGCGCATGTTCGACGAGGGCCACCAGGTGGCCTCGCACACGTGGTCGCACCAGAACCTCGCGACCATCAAGCAGGAGACGTTCCGGCAGCAGATGCTGTGGAACGAGGTGGCCATCGCCGACATCCTCGACGGCCGCTTCCCCACGTACATGCGCCCGCCCTACTCGTCCAGCAACGGGCAGACGGACGCCTGGCTCGGCGAGCTGGGCTACCACGTCGTCTACTTTGACCTCGACACCGAGGGCTACCTGCACCAGTCGCCCACGGAGATTCAGGTGTCCAAGGACATATGGGACAGGACCGTCAAGGGTCAGAGCCCCGCCAACAATACGTGGCTCGCCATTGAGCATGACTCCATCGAGCAGACGGTGCATAACCTGAGCGAGTACATGCTCAAGTCGATGGCCAGCAATGGCTTCCGGGGCGTCACCGTGGGCGAGTGCCTGCGAGACCCGCCTGAGAACTGGTATCGCCGCATCGACGCCGTGAACAACGGGCGGGTGTCCTCTGCCGTGAAGTCAAGCACCACCAAGACCACGACGAGCACCAGCACCAAGCTAGTCTCCAGCACGAAACCTGCCACTACGAGCATCATGACCGACGCCAGCAGCACCGTGAAGCCAACTACCAGCACACAGCCCGCCACCACTACCCCAAGACCGCCATTCGACCCGTCCATGGGACTCAGGTTCTCCAAGCGGGTCATCTACAAAACGGTCGAAGTCGTGCCAGTCCCCGCAACGGGCCCAGCCGCCACCGGACCGCCCTCGAGGGGCGGTCGCTGCGGCGCCAAGTTCGGGGGCATGACCTGCATCTACAACCCCGTCTCCAAGTGCTGCTCCGAGTACGGCTGGTGCGGGTCGCTAGACTCGTTCTGCAAAAAGGGCTGCCAGCCCAACTTTGGGATTTGCAAATAATAAAGGATTCGATGCCTCGGCGCATCGCTACGCAGATGAGGGGTGTGAATGAATGAACGAAATGCCAATGAGCCGGCGGTCAGCTGTGTCTTGATGACGGGGAGGAAATGCGCCTCACGATTGTAATGTACGGATTGGGTATTAGCTTGTAGGGCTGAACGGGAGAGACGCCTCTTTTGGTCTGGGTGTGTGGTGTTCCTTCGACATGAGGCTGTGCTATTATACGCGCTGCGCTTGTGACATCGTGGACTGTGGTCGTTGAGTGTTCGGAACTTCGGAACTGCGTCACCTGCCACTGTACACCGCGGGCAATGGAGCGATTGCAGCTCAGCTCGCCATGTGGCAGGCGCCTCTTCGTCTGGGATAAACAGGCTTTGTGTGTTCACCCGCTGGAGTCGTCCCGAGCCGCCGCTTGTGCTAGTCACTGCTGCGGTGCCGAGTTGCCGCTGGCCCGTCTAATAAAAGTCCACGAGCGACAGGGGCAGGCCTGGTGGCTTTTCCCAGCAGAAATAAGAGAGCCAGGCGAGACCGTTCAGCTTTCTGGCATGTGTAAATGACAATGGTGGCTTATTGTCATGTCCTCGATGCTGTTCCTCCCTTGCGTGAAAGGCGCGTCTGGCGCCTGGGTTGACCGAGCATCGTTTCAGTGCGACGGCCTCTGCAGAGCCGCACCATGACGATGGAGAACATTGAACCCCAGGGTGCCACCTCGCCAGAGGGCGCCGTAGCTCATTTCTCGCGATCCCAAGCGCGTCTCCACCGCAAGCGCAAAGCCGCCGCCATCGTCGACTCTCATGCGCCTCATGGGGGTGGGAACTCCACCGAGTCAGGTCCATCACCCCGGGGGTCGCTCCCCCAGGAGTGTCTCTGCGGAAACTCGCGCCAACTGGCGACGAAAGGAGCGTCGTATTGTCGCTGCGGATACGAGCGTCTATCTGCCCGTGGACGAAACTGAATCTGGTGTCGGCTGCGAGCAGGGACGAAACTGTGCCGTCGACGTGCGTTTATCAGCACCCATCGACTCCATACAAGTGAGGTAGCTGCCAAGACCTCGAGCGCAGCTCTCTCTCTCTTGGCCTCCCTTTCCTTATTCTAACGACGAAAAAGGAGGGCTGACTGAGCTCTGCAAGGCTGACTCTCGCTTCACGAGCACTTTTCCAGTTGGGGATTGCTGTGGCGGCGGCCCAGCGCGTTCGGATGATTCGAGACGCAGATTGATGTTACGTGCCAGTCGACAGCAGCAGCAGCCACACGGGCTGAGCGACCAAGGCTGAGACTAGGCAATTAGAGCGGCCGTCGAAGTTCCAATGGCTCCAAGTAAAGGCCGCCTCTAATACTACAAACTTGGTCTGCTCCTCTAAATGGTGAACATAACGTCTGGTGCCAAAGTGATGCGTACCATCAAAGGTTTCTATCGACGCCCCCAGTTATGCCGGCTCAAAGAACGGAACCCGTCGCCATCGCAGCGGAGACGCACAACCAGACCATCGTGAAACTGGAGCCCTCAGCCCTCGAACCGCTGGGTGGAAATGGGGCACGACGGACGATCTCCCCATCAAATTAGCGGGCGCCACAAGCTCGACACCGTCTTCGCCTCCGTTCGCCGGTCCCGCGGTCTTGTCCCTGCGCCTCCGCGCGCCGGTACCGAACCCAGCCCAGCCTCCCAATGGGCTCTCCCCCCCAAGATTCATCATCCGAGTCCACAGCAACGACGCCGTAGTTCATGCGCCAGAACCCTTCAATAACATGTGCAATGGTCTACGGATTGCATTTGTGAAGACGCTTTGGCCCCTCTTTAATACAAAACGCCAACCTCACAGTCCCAAAAAGAAAAGGTAAAAAAGGAAAACGAACCTAGCACATGGACAGACTCCATCAAGCTCGCCCCCCCCCCTGCGCAAATTGCACCTCTCAACCTCGGGTTCAGGAATCAGGCACGACATGATGCAAAAGCAAGGCTGACCCGGCACTCGCTGCGACCAAGCACGCTTGGCACCTCCCCACCGCAGGGCTGACCCACGCCCAAACATCCAAGCGCATCCCTCCCCCTCGGCATCACATTGCTCCTAGCGGTTCCCACCCTTACTTCCCATGGGCCCTGGGCGCGCTCTTGCCCCTGGCGCCAGTGTGTTGCCAAACACCTACCTCGTCGCGAGAGCGCCTGCCATTCGCCTGGGAGCTGAGATTTGAGTGCACCCGCGCCCCTGGGCGTCTGGGGTTCGGGCTACCCGTGCGCGTGCGGCTGCCCTGAGGCTGGAGCGAGGAAAGCCCGCCCGCCCGTTGCCGGACAGGGGGAGGGGGCGTGTTTCTGCGGCGGCGGCCATCAATAGTAATATGGAGACTTCGACTGGTGCTGGTGCTGGTGCTGGTGCTGGCGCTTTCTCGTTGAGCCTCCGTCGTGACGACCCGGCACCACAGATGGCCGTCGCGACCCCGTGTTGCTGTGAAAATGGGCAAGGCGCGTTTGGACGGGCCTGACTAGTGCGAGTATATAAGAGCATCGTGGCCTGGCACCGCGGAGTGTAGCTGGTTCCCTTCCCCCCCCTTTACTCTCACACATACACTTACACCACATCGTCAACTTCTTCAGACCACGATAATACCACAGTTTTACTGTACTCTTCAGCCCTCATCCAAACCAGCAACACACATACACACACAAAATGCAGGCCAAGCTCGTCCTCCTCTCCGCCCTCGCGGCCTCCGTCTCCGCGACCGTCGACTTCCACGCCGCCGTCGCCGCCCGCGAGGCCCCCGCGGCCCTCGCCCCCCGCCAGACCGTCGACGCCGAGTGCCAGTCGGCCGTCCTGTCCGCCGGCAGCTCCATCCCCACGCCTCCCCCCGAGGTGGTCTCCGCCATCGGCAACAACAAGCAGACGGACCCCTGCAGCTTCTCGACGCCCGCCTCCCTCTCCAAGGAGTTCGCCAGCTACTCGTCGCAGCTCGAGTCGTGGGCCTCGAAGAACAAGGACATCCTGACCAAGTGCTCCGCCCTCGCCGACCTCAACACCATCTCCGTCACCTCGTGCGACAAGAAGGGCGGTGCCTCCACCAAGGCCACCGGCGCCGGCGCCTCCTCCACCAACGGTGTTGCCCGCGAGACCGGCATGGCTGTTGCTGCCATGGCTGCCGCTGGCATTGCCGCCATTGCTCTGTAAATTTGGACTCGCCACGTCGACGTTCAGGCTGTTTCAGATGTTCCAGGTCAGAGGCGGATAGCCTTGGCCAGGGAGAAGCTGTTTCGACTACCTACATGTATGCCAAGCGGGTCATCGCGGAGGCGAATTGGGCTGCTCCTTTGCGAGCGCACGTACATAAGACAGACCGGATAATACCACCACAATAATTCTCGATTGCGAGTGGCGTGAAGTCAAGCGAAGCAATGCTGATTTTTGCTCAAGGCTTGGGCTGACCTCGCTAGAATACAATGCAGGGGCTACAACAGCCAGTCGTTACTGTGCGCCGCTCGCTTGAGCCCCCTCGTTGCCCTCCGCACGACAGTCACATCCCATCTCCCTCTGGAATGCCTCTTTTTCCATTCCGTCGAACCTCCGTAGCGCCATCTTCGCCACGGCTAGCTTTGCGTCTCTTCCGACCTTGGCTGTATCGTGCTCCACTACCTTGTCGTGCACCATCAGTGCGCACACGGCATCATCCCCAGTCACTGCCGTGGCGCCCTGGTCCGGACCGCACGGCACTACAGATGCGTATAGTCGCCAGTTCTGGCAACCAAGTTGGTTCTGGAGCATCTGCGCCAAGGCAGTGACTGGGTGCCGGCTCGCATACGTATCGTACAGGGCCATGTCCTCAAAGTACGGCTCGATGAACGAGGTAAAGAAGCCCTCCACGACGCTGTAGTCGTACCGGGAGTCGACAAACATGGCGCCCACCAGAGCTTCCAGCATGTCTGACAGGATCTTGGGTGGTTGGGACGTGCTCAGCCAGTAGTCCTTGCGGCCTTCGGCTTTCGTGTTACCAGGCCCTTCTTCAGGGCGAGCCAATTCCCTGGCCATCTCCAGTTCCGCGACGTAGTCGCTAATCTGACCGATCAGGCTCGATGTTGTCATGAGGAGATGCTTCTGGAGGCCGAGCTGCACGCAGAGCGAACCGAAAAAGTGATTCGAGACCATGGCCATTTTGTGCTCTGTCAGCCACTGTGGATCGGCGTCTGGGAAGCGCCTGAAAAGATAGTCGACGATGACCAGATCTAGCAACGCGTCCCCAAGGAATTCGAGCCTCTGGTAATTGGGGATTGGCTCGTACGGATACGACGGGTGCTTGAATGAACTGCGCAACAGGTTGGGGCATTTAAATCGGTAACCCGTGGCCTCGGATATCTGGTCGACGGCCAAACGCTGCACAGCGGAAGCCGGTGCGTTCTGCCAATCTGGAACCCTGAATGCGTCGTAATAATCCGAGAATTTCAGCATCTTGTGGTTTTTGCTCCTGACCATCTTCGTCACGGCCTTGACTGCGAGGTCCATTTTGCCCGACTCCCGCTGCGACACATATGCGGCGCCGATCAATGCTTCGCAAACGTCTGCAACCGACTTGTCGGAAAGGTTGTGGAAATGCCCACCGGTTTTCGGCATCTTTCCCCTCTTAAGCTTGAGATCTGGATACCAGGTGCGGCGGTCGAAAGGCTTTGACCGGACGTATTCCTGGAGCTTGCGGTCAACGGCGTGGTTGAACAGGTTCTGATTGCAAACGAGTAGCATGCGTTCGACGTGGTACTCGAATTCGTTAGTGTTGGGGATGAGCGTGAATAGCGATATTGTTGTGGCCATCTTGAGAAAGGCATCGCCCAGGAATTCGAGTCGCTCGTAGTTGTTTCCCATGCCGACTTGAACGTCGACCTGCACGTCGCCATGCTCCTCGGTGTTGGAGCTATCTTTGGTGAGTGCTTCGAGTGCCAGATTCGGCTGGATGTCCAGGTCGAGGAGCTTGCAAGCTTCGAGCGCGATCAGGACGGAATCAAGGCGGTAGATCATGACTGGTATTATCATGGCCATGGAAACCATATCGATCGGCAACTGTCGGCGCGTCAGCACACATAAAATCCACCCACTGCCGGAGCTGTGCTTCTTACCTTGGAGACTCTCATAGGCTCGAGGATGATGCAGCAGCGCAACTCTTGGTTGTCTTCTGCAGTATACTCGTCGAGGAAGTTTCGGCGGATTGGCAAGAGTGTCGCATCGACGACTGGCTGATTCTCGTCCCATGTCTGTCTCCTGCGTGAATGAATAGTGAGACTGTTGCTGTATTCTTTGATGTTCGGTTCCACCTGCCGATATGCCCGACTTTTCGGCATTGGTGCGCCCTCGGGTACCGGATCACTGGGCCTCAGCGCTTTGTTGATGCCATGGATGATGAACTTGCGAGACCCATCCCAGGGATCCATGACCAGTTTGTCATGGAAGAAGTCCTCAGGCGCGCCGCGCCAGTCTGGCTGTTCAGAATGAGACACCTTGGTGACTGTCTCCCAGTCGATCCTTGTCGGGTCAGCCGATGCAGTCCCGTCGTCCATTAGGATTCGTGCGCATGGTGCCAGGAAATATGGCATATCCGCCGGCTGGGCATTGTAGTCCTTGCTGAAGACGTCGGAGAAGATTGCGAGAGTGAAGGTGGCCAGGTCGTGGAGCTCGTCCAAAGAGAGACGCAAAGGCCGCGATGAGGACACCAGGCGCGCGACCGAAGTCCGCCCCTGATCCAAAAACAGAAGCATTGGCTCAATATCTGGCAGCTTCTGCCTGGTCAAGAATATGATGGGGCTCGTGGGCCTTTGGACGGCCTCTGGCGAGTCGAGGACGAAGACGGAGTGGAAGAGCTGAGTTGGCAGGTCCGAACCTAGCCCGGACCACATCCCAGGCTTGATTCGCATGTTGTACTCGTGGCGCTTGTTCGAGCTCAAGGCCAAACGCGCGTTGCGCATCGCAGGAAGCATTTTGCCGAGAGTTGGTTGAAGATGGCTGTTGATGTACTTTTTCTTGATCAGCTCCACGCATGCCTCGAAGGCCGCAGAGCAGCGTGCCAGCTGTTTATTTCGCTGGGCGAACCCTTTCATGGACTTGAATGGACTGGTATCCGGGAAAATGATCGTGGCAACAAACTTCCTGCTTGTATGAGAAGGCGTGACCACGTATTCCGGAGAGAGGGACACGTCGGGCCCGCCGAGCGACGATACGAACTTGGCTAGGACCTCCTGGCTGGACGAAAAGGTGAGCCGAGCACCAGTCTCTGGTATCTCGTAGAACTTTTGCGTGATCCTTTCATGTTCCGCCAGGGTTTCCACGTCGAAGGTGTCTTGGATCTTTCTATCGGCAGGAAGGCCGGAGACGAACCGCCGAAGCGCATTGGCGTCTCTCGTTGCTTGCTTGAGCCGTCGAAGATGCCTCATGTTGCCTTCTTCCAGCATGCTGATGTAGGTTGAGTTGGCCTGTCGAGCTCGCCCTTTGGACTGAATGTATTGGATGGCAGAGTCGTAGAGATCGAATCGGATGACAAGGTCGCACTCGGGAATATCGAGCCCTTCCTCAGCAACCTGCGTAGCAAACAGACAGTTGAATTCGCCTCGTCGAAATCGCTGAAGGGTCAGGACCTGATCGCGAAAGGACATGTTCGCGATGCTGGCTGTAAGTGGCTGAGACCCAATCTGAACAAGGCTCGTGTCAGCGTAGTCCGCGCAACGCTACGTGTGGAGAGAACTCACCAGGTAAGATGAACGCATCCCCGGAACGTGCTTGCCGGCCTGCGAGAAAAAGATTGAGAGAAGCAGGGCCGTGTGGCGTTTTTGCACAAATACGATACATCGGCCCGTTCGCTCACGGCTGAAAGAGTCCCGAAGAATCTGCCGTAGTAATTCGACTTTTGAGGAGAAAGTCGCCGAGCCCCTGGCGGGCTCGCTTGCTGCATTTGCTGTGGCAGCCTCTCGGATTGCTTTCTGAGCCTCCTGAAGCGTTGCGAGCACCCTGTCGGCTTCGGTGGTACCAATTGGCGCATGCAGGGAGCTGACGGCTCCTTGAGCCTTTGCCACCCGTCTGCGAACTTCGTCGTCGGTCATGAGAAGCTCCCAGTACTTGTCAGCGCACCAAGGTCCAAGCGTTGAAGCCACGTCTTGGGCAGCGTCGAAATGTATGCGGTAATGAGTGTCATGGGACATGAGTTCCGAAAGCTTCTGGCACAGGGGCGTCCTCGCGTCTTCAGCATTCACCAGTCGCGCGTAGTATTCCTTGAGCTCAACCTGGTTTCGCTGGGCTAGACCACGGGCAAGAGCCTCGTCGGAGACTGTGGCAATTTGGCTGCATAGGATGCCCTCGAGCTCAAGTGCGGCCGCCCGAAGATCACTTGTTTGCGCGTCGACGGGCGATGCCGTCATGCCGAGGATCCGTGGACGGTTCGCTGGCTCTCGTAAATAATGATCCTTGATGATACGAGCATAGGGATGCTTCTTCTTCGTATGGTGAGCCTCATCGAATATGAGGAGATTGATCTGCTGCATTTGAATGAAGCCGCTGTTGAGACAGTCGAGGAGGATCTGGGCTGTGCAGACGATAACCATGCTTTCGCTGAATCGCTTGTCCCAGAAAGCCTTTGTCCTCATGATGCCGGCCATTTCTCCATGGAACTTGTCAATAGGGTGCTCCAGGTTGGCTTTCAAGACGCTGTATTGCTGGAAGCAGAGGGCAACCTTTTCGACCAGGAAGAATGCCACCTTTTTGGACTCTCCTTGAGCACGCCGCTCAAGCTCTTGATCCAGGGTGTGCCGCAACAGGAGAGCAGCAATGAGCGTTTTGCCAGCGCCTGGAGGAGCAGAGACGGTCAGTAGGCACGCTCGCCACGTGAAGGAGGATGGTGGTCGGACCTGTGTCGAGAACGATGATGAGGTTCTTATCCTTGGCCCTCTCGAAGAGTTCTATTTGGTACTCCCGCGGGGTCGAAATGATTCCTTTCTCGTTGCTCTGAATCATTCGAGCAGTCGACGTGCGGTCCAGATCATGCGTCCGCTTGTCAACGAAGAGCTTGGTTCCAAGGCGCTGGCTCTTTTGAACCCACTGATGGAAAACCGCATCGCCGCGGCGACGAAGCGTGGAGACATTTCGCACAGTCTCAGGGTTGGTTGTGAGCCGGTACCGGTCAGTAGCGTCGTCGTCGCTGTCGCTACCGTCGCCATCGACGTCGCCGAGAGGCATGTCTTGATCGGTTATCGCTGCCCCAGCGGTCTCTCGCATGGCGTTGTGCGGAGGGCCCGACGCAAGGGCCATTGTCTCCAAGCTCTTCGGCAGATCTGGCTCCGTGACCGGCACATCGCCAGCCAAGGCGACATCCTCATCCTTCACCATGTTTTGGTAGTGCCCGCGGGCGTCGAGACCTTTACCAAGCTGCTGATGCTTGGCGCTTTTGGGAGTTGACGATCAACCCGTTGGGAGCAACAAAAAGATCGACGATGAGGGAGAAGCCGAGAACTGCGACGAAGGAGATGGCGCGCTCTAGGAAGAAGACCAAAGAAAAGAATGACAGCCGTAGAAAGAAACGCCAAAGCGCCCAAAGAAATGCGCAGCTCACGAAACAAGAGTGAAGGATGGGAGCAAACGAAGGAGAGAGGCATTCACTGTGGGTGCAGTTGCACAGGTTCACGGGTGTGACTTTGGTGGGGCACGTGCCTGGAGCTGGCGGCTGTTCGCCCGTAACAACCTCTAACCTCGCGCCTGGTGAGCCACTACATACTGCACTTTTGCTCTCGAAGCACTCGTACCCCGCGCCGACTCTGTACCAGGCGCTGTGTTCGTTACTAGGTAATGTAATCCTCGCGAGTGTATTTCATAACTTGGACCTATGTTACAGAAAATGCCAGGCTTCCCAGCTATGAAACCACCACTGGCAAACGGCCTTGCCTGCATCACCGCTCCACCCCGCAGAGCAACATCAAACATACCATTTCCCCGTCCTCCAAGCCCTCCCTGTCTCGAAGATGACGCATCGTTCTGTAGGACGTGTTAATCAAGCTCAAGGAAGACGGGGCTGAATGGACGTTTGGGGCTTTCTGGAGGAGCTGGCCCTGCGACTGGCCCAGGCCGTGAAGGACCGCCCGTGGCGTTGGCGTTGCGGCCTCCCGATGGCCGGCCACCAGAAGTCTCTCGACCGCCAGCTCCCCCCAAGGATGCACCTCGGCTGGTAGATGCAGGCGCACCAGAAGAGCCGTTGCCAGCGCGGTTGGCCGAAGAGCCGCGATTGCCGGATTGTCGAGCCGTCACGGCTTGCGAGGTGCCCGTCGGACGGCCCTCGTCATCGCTCACGTCAGGCCAGCCATATGGGTTTCCTGGAGCTTGCGACGGTCGTTGAGCTGGTGCCGCGGGCTGTGGCCTGCGAGTCGGACCGGCCGTATTGCTACCCAGATTGGGCCGACCAGACGGGCCGCCTGTGTTCCCTGGTGGCCGTTGAGTCGGCGCCGCAGCTCGGGAGTTGCTTGCAGGGCCGGTATCGTCGTCGCTCACGTCGGGCCACCCATATGAGTTTTCATTGACCCTGGATGGACCTGCCGTACTGTCTCCCAGTGTACGGCCACCTTGGCGGCCGGTCGAACTAGGGATGCTGGGGCGCTGCGAAGGTGACGCCCGGTGTCCGAAGTCGCCACGGCTTCCGCTGCCGAAGGTATCAAACCCCCCACCTCGCAACGGGGAAGGGTCCCTGGAAGGTTGGTCATCTTGAAATTCTATCGACTCGGGGATCGCACTCGTCGGGTTTGGGGGCCTGCCGCCATACCTGCCATTGCTCCGTGAAGGGCCACCGCCCCGGCCCCAGGTGTCGGCATCTCGTGGGAACCTGTAAGCAGAGGGCGAGCGGTCTCGAGGTGGCGATCGGCTGTACTGCCTCCGACGAGTCGGTGGTCGGTTGCCTCGACGTGCTGGCGATGAAGACCTGCTACTGTAGTAGCTGCTGGGAGCACGGGATCTGTCGGAGTAACCATCATCGCTCCTGTCATCGTAGTAGTCGTCGCGATTGTCACCGGAGAAGTCCCGCCGTCTGGGCAATGAGGTCCTTCGGTTATTTCCCCGACGACCATTCGAAGGGTCTCGCGAATACCGCCCGTTCCCCGGCGACGAGAACGCAAAGGACCCAGACCTGCTGTCGTACTCAGAATCGTAGCTGTCGTAACCGTAGTCGTGCCGGCGATCATTAAGGGAACGGCCTGTTCGGCGAGGCGGAGCCCTGTCATAGCGACTGCGACTGCCTTGGCCTTCATCATGGTACCCTCCGCGCTCCGGCGACGATGTGCCGCTGGAGCTCCCCCCGCCCCATTCTTGTGCTTGTAGCCTGCGTGCCTCCTGTTCTGACCAATCTTCTAGCCATCGTGGATTCGCCATGGACTTCACCTGTGAAGAAATGCTGAAATGCGATCAGCCGGGTATGAGAGTTTTGTCTTTAGCGACTATTAGTTTCAAGGATACGGCAGTGAAGAGAAGGTGCGCAGGGCATTTATATTCTTGTCCGCTCATTGTTCTGGTTCCGCACTCGCATGCGCTTGTCAGTCAATGGGTCCCTTTGGTGTTTGGATGATTGCGCCATGTGCAAGCGTGGAAGCACCAGTACGCCATGCAAGTGATTCGCTTTCAAACGTGGTTCCGGCATTGTCACTTTCAAGGAATCGCGTACGACCATGAAATCACTGCGTGGAAGCAGCCCAGTGATAGCTCGTGATATGGCACCTGAGCACGTCCTCTGAGCGACACCATCCACCGTGACCCAGACAGTACGACACCCAGCACGAAGGGCGGCTGTAACCCAGCTCTGCGACCTGCATGCATGCTGTTCCGCATCAGCTGTACACCGGCCCGCCTTCTAGGGGTCCTTGGACAAGATCGACGGCGTATAACATCGCAGCCAATGGGCACGTCATGCCACGAGCTACTGTCTCATAGCAAAGACCGCGGATGGGCCTTCAGCGAAATGGGCGACTCAGACAGGTGCTATGGTCAATTGGCCTGTGTGTCAGATTGAGGTGTCGGACTTCCGATGGGTCGAGTCCCTGCCGACGATAAGAACTAAGCTAGAGTCCGACCTTTAATCATCCCCACAGTTGAACCTGGCAATAGCATCTTTGCGGCAGCGTGCGCTGGTTTCTCGTGCTTCGTCCTATTGTTCGCATACGACGCCATGCTCAAAGCGAGGCTGCGTGATGCCTCGCTGAACTCGCCGCGCCAAGCGCAGTTGCAGGCCCTGGCGAGCGCACGGACGAGGCGCACGCTAGGCCAGCGCCTTTGCCTCCCGGGGCTTGTTTGCCTTGCAGTTCTGGCACTTTACGTATCCAGAAGCGGACTTTCAACGTGGATTCCTCGAGTGCGGTGTGGCAAAGCGGACCATGGGACGCCCGAGGCAAGTGACTTTAGCTGGGACGACATCTCACCAAGCGCAACGCTCGAGTACCAGCCGTGCTTCGACGGCTTTCAGTGCGCTCGCCTTTTCGTTCCCCTGAACTGGAACGCCACGGCCGAAGAGCAGGCGAGCTGTCCCCGGGTCGCCATAGCCATCATCAAGCTCCCGGCGCGGGTCCCTGTGACAGATTCACGATATGGAGGCCCCGTGGTCCTCAATCCAGGCGGGCCTGGAGAATCCGGCGTGTACCAGGTCCTCTCCGATGGGAAGAGCCTCCAGGCCCTGCTCGATGCGCCTCCTTCGGATGACAACGGGAAGCACTTCGACATACTTTCCTTTGACCCCCGGGGCGTCAACAATACGACTCCGCGGCTGCAGTGCTTCACAGACTCGTCTGACCAGCAATCATGGCTCGCGAGCCTGCCCGATTATGGACTCCTGTGGCACTCTGAGAGCGTGACCGGTCTCGAGTGGGCTCGTGCTGAGGCCCTCGGAGCCAGCTGTGCCCACGGCGAGGGGGACAGGGGCATCCTGCGGCATGTCAACACGGCGCAGACGGTGCAGGATATGGTGCAGATTATCGAGAAGGAGGGCGAATGGCGGGCGCAAGCAGCGTCTAAACTCGTCTCCCGCTGGCAGGATCCAAAAACTGCGAGAGATCTCATGGAGCGCCTTGCCTATCATCCAGGCAAGGAGCGCATCCAGTACTGGGGCATGAGCTACGGGACACTCATCGGGTCCACGTTCGCGGCACTGCATCCTGACCGCGTGCAGCGCATGGTTCTCGATGGCGTCGTCGACCCAGCAGACCACTATTCTGGGGGCTGGCTCACGCAGCTGCAAGACTCGGACAAGATCCTGAGCAAGTTTAGCGAGTATTGCTTCGCAGCTGGACCGGACCGATGCCCACTCTATGCCAACTCGTCGGCCGCAGAAATAGAGGAGCGCCTCACAACAATCCTGCTTGACCTCAAGGTCAATCCGATCCCCATGGCCGTTACCAACAAAGACGGAGACCACGCCGGGCCCACGCTGGTCACGTACGGCGATGCCCATCTGCTGCTTCTATCGGCCGTGTACTTTCCCTTTGCGTCGGCTGCAAGTTTCTTTGACGTGCTGTTTGCGTTGGAAAGCAAAAACACATCATCGCCGGCGCTGAGGCGCATTGTAACGAGAAAGCACGCACGGGCAACTCGTTCGATGCCGGTCGATGGCGCCATACCTTATGTGTCGGCGCTGGGATCCTTCCAGGCTATATCGTGCATGGACTCGGGGCCGCTCAATTTGACACGAGAGACGTTCAACGAGTTCCTCGCTGAGCTGCAGGGTCAAAGTCGATGGTTAGGCCTGAGCTGGGCGCGCAACAAGCTCGCCTGCCTGGGTTATGGCATGGAACCGGCGTGGAAGCCGCCCTTCAGCTTTAGAACGCAGCAATGGGCCAACACGTCGCACCCGCTTCTCATCGTCGGGAACACACACGATACGGTGACGCCGCTGCGCAACGCGCGTCGCGTGTCAACGCTGTTTCCGGGCAGCGTGGTTCTGCAGCAGGACTCGCAGGGCCACTGCTCCCACTCGGCGCCGGCACCGTGCACATTGAAGGTGATACGGCGGTACTTTCAGACGGGGGAGCTGCCGGAACAGGGCGACGTGTGCGAGCCAGGATTCCGGCCGTTCCTTGGCTGTACGGCGGAGAGAGGTGGGCGCGGGCAGCAGTGCGTATTTGACGACGCAGAAGAGCAGAGGCTGTGGGACGTGGCCGTCGCTTTGGCCGACCCCTTTGGACTGAGATAGACGGCTCGAGCTTTGTCCACCGAAGCTGTCCGTGTGTCGAGGAGGTGAAGCAGCCTTAAACAGCGATTCATGCCTACAAATCGGTTGGATGCATCAGTAGAGGCTAGGCAGAGGATCCAATGCCTGGACAAGCAAGAATCCAGGATCTTCAAACCTGTAATCGGCTTGGATTGCCGATATCTTGGCCCAAGTCGGGACTTCATTCCCCGAGGCCGAAGAGGATCTCGTCGGCGTTTGAAATATCAGGGCTTCGGCATTCCACGCCAAGGTGTTCGACCCCCTTGGGACAGAAACCGCAATTCTCGCCGAGTCGGCTATCTGTCCGAGGCAATGCCCGCCGCAGTGGACCTGAAGGAGCGTGGCAACATCTTCAACGGACTTTTATCCGCCAATGGGTCGGCTTGGCGCATGGATGGATTGCCGATGATGAGCGGTGGCAGAGGCGGCTGGGCGGTTGATGCTGTAGCCTCTGTGGGGGTGCATGGGTGGACGGCGGGGGGAAGCAATTGCCGGCGGGGCTTCTCCCCGCGTGGCGCACGTGATGGCGCATTGCGTCTCCAGCTGTCCTGTACCTGAGCGTCCGCTATTACCCCGCTGCGCATCCACTGTAGCGGCGTCAAAGGCCGTCTGCGCCGTGCGGCAAATGGCGATTGCCGCACATCGCAATTGGCCGTTGTCGGAGTCGCGACAGTCGACTTGATCTCTCTCTCGACACCGCAGCTCCAGACTCAATTCTTTCGCATCTCCTCCTCATCCTTCCAATCTCCGTCCTTCTCCACGACGCGACCCTCATCAATGCTCAGAGCCGCCCGCACACTCACCACCACCAACAACGTCGCCCGTGCCGCCGCCAACATGAAGCTCCTCTACCCCACGTCCCTCAAGCTCAACGTCCAGAGCATCGAGGGCTTCTCCGCCTCGCTGCACGCCTACGACGTCAAGAAGCCCATCCCGGACGACCTCATCGACGCCGACGTCCTCGTCACCTGGTCGAACTCGGCCGACAACCTCAAGGATGCCGCCGCCCGCATGACCAAGCTGCGCTGGATCCAGTCCCTCGCCGCGGGGCCGAATGACGTGCTCAACGCCGGCTTCGACACCTCCAAGGTCAAGGTCACCACGGGCTCCGGCCTGCACAACTTCACCGTCGCCGAGCACGCCCTCGGCCTGCTGCTCAACGCCGCCCGCCGCTTCTACGAGATGCGCGACTACCAGCTGCAGAGCAAGTGGCCCGGCCACCTGGGCGGCTCCCAGCCCGACCGGCCCAAGGGCTCCTTCACCTCGCTGCGTGACGCCCGCGTTCTCATCTGGGGTTACGGCAACATCGCGAAGACGTTGACACCGCACCTCGTTGGCCTCGGCGCGACAGTGCGAGGCGTCGCCCGCCGTGCCGGAGTCCGCGATGGCATCGAGGTCTTTGACGAGTCTTCGCTGCCCAAGCTGCTGCCCGAGACGGACGCGCTTGTCATGATCCTACCGGGATCCGAGTCCACGCGCCACGCCCTGAACCAGGAGCGCATCAACCTCCTCCCGAACCATGCTTGGATCGTCAACGTGGGTCGCGGCACGTCCGTCGACGAAGACGCTTTGGCCAATGCGCTCGAGAAGGGCGACCTTGGCGGCGCCGCCCTCGACGTCTTCGAGACCGAGCCTCTGCCCGAGAGCAGCAGGCTGTGGAAGACGCCTAACCTCGTCGTCTCGCCACATGCCGCTGGCGGCCGGCCACAGGGCGCCGAGGCGCTGATTGCGGACAACCTGCGGAGGTTCATCGCGGGCCAGGACTTGCAAAACTCCATTTGATAGGCGCCGACAGAGAGAGCCGGGAAATGATCACATATAAGCGGATATAGACGGCAGCAAGGGTCCCGTTACGAGTTATGTATAAGAGATATGTGCATTGAGATACTGCAGCTTAAGCTGCAGCCAAGAAAGAAATCAAGTATATACAGATCCAAGCAGCCATGCCTTCGTCCAAGTTCCCGAGGCCACAAGCTCATATGTACGATTTTGGTCTGTCCGCGCGCGTCAATCGATCCGTCCAAATTTTGTCAAAACAATCTCAACAATGGCGTAGCACATATGTACAAAAAGTCGAAGTCGTGCTTCTTTGCCGATGATCTCGCCGCTTACCAGCAAGAGGTGCCGGCCAGGGACCAGCCGGTGAAGCGGTTGGCGACGTCGCTGGCGTAGCAGCCGGTGCTGCCGAGGCCGTTGTTCAGGTTTCCCCAGTCGACGGAGCCGCTGTTGTACTTGCGAGCGGCGACGTAGTAGGCGCGGGCCATCTCGCCACCGAGCGAGTCGCGGGCCCAGGTGTAGGTCTGCTTAAGACCGTCGCCGGAGGAGGTGCCGGCGGCACCGTCGCGGATCATCTGCTCAATCGTCTGCCAAGGGCAGGGGTTCTGGCCCTGGCAGGAGCCGGAGCCGTTGTGCGACTGCATGAGGCCGGGGTTGCGGACGCCGTTGTTAGTGGTCGGCACGCGAACGCAGCCCTTGCTCTCCTGCATCATGATGACGAGGATGAAGCGCTTGTCGAGGCCAGTGTCGCCAGCGACCTTGTTGATGGCCCAGTTGATGTTGTTGATCTCGTCCTCGGAGTTGTTGGCGCCCCAGCCGTTCCAGTTGCAGGAGTTGCGCATGGCGTTGAGGTTCTCGTTCCAGAGCTGGTCGTACGAGCCCCAGCGGTCCATACCGGGCCAGCCGTTGCCGATGGAGCCGTCACCGTTGTACTTGGTGTAGCTGTCGCCGAAGCGGCGGACGAGGTCCTTGGCGGGAGCCTCAGTGATGCTCTGCGTGGGCAGGCCCATGACCGCGGCCGAGAGGCCGGTGATGGCGATGGCGAGTTTCTGGAACATTTTGAGAGTCGAGTTGCTGAAACCTGAAGATGGTCGTCGATCCAGAGCGATTGATTGCTGGAGAGGTGTTTGTGTCTCAAGAGATCTGTGAGATTGTTTGCTGCTGATGGCCAGAAGAAAGATCTTGAACTCGAGGTCGTCTCGTCCCTCTTTATACTCGGCGTTCTCTCGAGATTGAGGCTGCGATGGCACAGGCAGAGCTTTGACTTGTCCGTTGAGAGCAAGAGGAGAATGGTGAAGAACTCCGAGAGCGGCTGCATTGTTACCATGAAAGGTGTCTGTGTGCCATCTCCGGTGGTATTCGAAGGAGGACCCCTTCGGCGCCGAGCTATGTAGCTGGCAGCGATGACGGCCAGATTCATTGGTCTACTCTCAACGGCCCAACTCTTCCATCTGCCGTCTTGGCATCTGACCTCTACAGCTCGCAGCCCAGGCAATCGGATCCTCCGTTTGAACCGGCGTCATAACCCGTTACAGATGGAGCGCCGAGACTCTGGACGCCATCGTGGCCACGTTTGCACGGAAGGCGCATCTTTGTGGTGCTTGTAACCACAACTCTAAGGCTCGCCACCACCCCAAGAACCAGTATATTCGTTTCGAGTTCTGAGAGGCTCCTCCTCCAGCGGCGTGAGGGGTAAAGCAAACGTTTCATCAGTCAACGTAGTCGACCATTGCAACTAATTTCAACCTCCCGAGCTACGCCCGCCAAACGATGAGGTTTCGCCGGGTGCTGCCCTGCCCCTGAGCGCAACTGCAGAGTACCCGCGACGACATGAACCTGCATGCCGCAGAAAAGAATCGGGTACACGGAAGGCCCCGGGAGCAGATATCGTCCGTGTTCTTGTGGCCCCGGCGGCGAGCCGCTGTACGCCCGGCCGCGTCGGATCGAAGAACGGAGACTCAGGGCTTGGCTGCTGACTTACTGAGCAGCTCTTTCACAGCCCGTTCCCGAAGTGGCGCCGCCAGCAGCGAGACTGTGTTGGTTGAGAGCGCACACAGCTAGCTTACGGAGCACTTGCTTCCTACGATCAACGGTGCGGTTACATGTCGAAGCTATGACCAGCGGCCGCGCTTCATGACGTCGACTCAGCCAACAGTACGGCCGAGGTCGGGGCGCCGACAGCCCCCGACCACGTTTTCTCCTTCCTATCTTGTCCTTGCACAAGGACTCGTGGCACCCAGCTCCATCGGTCGCCGCGGTCAGGGCAACTTGGGGCTTGGTCGGGACTGGGAGCCCCGTGCTTCGCCCGCAAAAAGCAAACCGGGATCCCGTAAGCGGCAGCGCAGACGTAGGAGCCGACCTTCTGCGAGGCGGCTATCGTACAACATGGCCCCCGAGCAGCCCGGGCGTTCTTCAGCGATTGTGCCTCAGGCGATCGGTGGTCGGGTAGAACCGACGTCGATTCGAGCAAGTCGGCCCGTCGTCTCAGCGCCGGCTGGGCTTTCTTCACGGACTTAAGGAACGAGTAGAGCGGAGTTTCTCCGTCTTAGCCGACGATCTGCGTTGTACTGTGCTGTACTGTAACTCAGCAAAATGGGCGGGCGTACATAGAGTCACCTATACGGTTGGATTGACACTTTACGCGCCTTACGCGACTGGAGGCTTCCGTGTGTCCGCGTCGGAGCACGCGACGTCCTCAGTCCTGCAGCTACCACATCAAGACTAGGCGCTTCAGCTCTCTCCACGTTATCACATTTGACAAGGCATCTCTGCAGCTAACGCCACCGTGGATGCTACGAACTGTATCCAGAACTCTCAATATCACGTTCGTCTCCACTCAATGCCTTGCGGTAGTTCCGGCCGTGGAGTGGAGTGGTTCATGTTGCGCGACGCAAGTTTGCGGCCCCTGCCAAGTACTGTACTGTAGGTAAGCTGCACATGTGTCGCAATCGGAGATGCCGGAGTAACGAGAATAAGGGACGAGGAAGGTCGCTTTGTCTGCTTACCAAGCCATAGGTTCTCGGAGAAAAGGGAACACAAACTGCTCTCGTCAGTTGATCGGGCACAAACTACCTGTACAGCCGATGGAGGCCCGCCATGGCACAACGCAGTTCAGCCGCCAGTTTCGCCAGCATTCGACCGATCTTTTTCCCGGACGATTATCGCTTGGCGGCCAAGTCGGACCGTTGAGCATTGTCGACTCCTTGAAGACAGTCGCCGCCTGGTTACGGACTGAGTCTGTCGATCTTCCAAACCTCACCCTCTCGTATATACACAAATCTGTCGTGGAGCCTCTCTGCCCTGCCCTGCCAAAACTCTATTCGATCAGGAACAACACGCAACGCACCCCAGGTACTTGGCATGGGGACGTCTTCTACATCCTCAAACCTCTTCTCTGTCTCGGCAGCACGAGCATCCAACTGGGCTCTACCATCATCTTCTGGCACTTGCCCGTCTGGCTGCAGTACCGCGCTCTGAGGACTGGCCCATGAACAAAGCTTACTGCGTCTCAAAGTCGTGGAGAAGTACTGCTGCCTTTCATCGTCATCGCAGAGCCTGCCCTTGCCCTCCACTCGGACCTGTCGATGCAGGGCGCCCCAGTAGAAAACCAGGGCCACGTGCTCGTTTGATGCTAAGTCGATCGCTTTTCTACTTGTTCCAAAGTTCGAGAAGAAGACGAATTCGCCCTCGTCACTGATGCCCTTGAGTTGTACGACACGTGAAGATATGCGGCCAGAGGGGAGGTGCGCAGTCGACAGCGTGCAGACCTCCGGATCTGCGATGCAAGCCTCGTCTTTTGCGATGGAGAACCAATTCTTGAACTGAAGTATAGGACTAGACTGATCCAAATCCGTCAGAGAAAGCGTTCCTTTGGGTAGCCCTGCGGCACCACCCGTTCGCGGGACTTCAAGGTGGCAGAGTTAGCTGCACGCTTCTACACAGGCATGGACCGCGTCCTTATGCAACGCAAGAATGACCTACACATGGCGTCGTGCGACGATGTCTCTATGATGAAAGACTTGCAGAATTGACAGGCCAAGCGTGCCAGAAAGTTAACAATGTCGGAGAAGTTCAGTGTTCCTGAACGTTGCCGTGACTCACAGAAGCGAGGCCAGCCTGAAAGGCAAGCCACTTTCTACAGCTATTGGCCGCTTTGACGTTTGACGCGTGCGCTCCTGCCTCTTTCGGGATCGACCGCGCCACATTCTCGACACCCAGTTTCGCAACATGGAAACTGCCGTCGGGCAATGCCACTGCCGCTGCAGACAACAGAGTCCGTAATGCAACTTGCTGATAGCACTCGATCTCCACGGTCAACTGTGCCTATTCACTTGTTTCGATTTGGAAATGGCTCTGAATTTATCTGAGCAATCCGCCACGTACATTTAGAAGGGGGTATGTAACTCGAATGTCTGGTCTCTTCCGTCACCCTGGGCCGTGATGGGCCTATCAATGCACGCCGCCCGACCTGGTATGCGCAGGGATGCTGAACCTTGATGAGTGCCGGCATTATTCAAATCATGATATCACTCACGATAAAACACGCTCTCTATCCGTGTGCCATACTTGGTTAGCCTCCGGTGCTCCGCCCCCACGGCATAGTCTCGGATCAAGCCTCCATGTCCGTTTCGGTGCCTAACCCAGGCACGAGCATGGCCAGGACAATGAAACTAGGAAGCCATTGCATCATATGCCTCGAAAGAGCATTAGACCACTCGTGTAACGGTCGTTGACCGAAGTTGGCCTGGCAGGAAGCCCGATCATATGGCTGTGAAGATCCTGTGGAGTTCTCTGCTGTGCTCAGCCTTGTGGAGAGAGCCACTAGTTGCATGTGGGTTTGTTCGCGAAATTCGCCGAGACAGTCCACAACGACGTTAGACTAAACTGACCTGGGTAGCCACCAAATCGTATCGAGCCCCTGGCTGTAGCTGGTGCCGGGCGCTAGGGTAGACGCTCAACGTTCCTTACTCGCGCACTGGCTCGACGGCCCCTTTCAACGTTGACTGCGAAAATATCTCTTCCTGCGTCGTCCTCCATGTTGTGCGTGTCGAACGTCGGTTTTGACCTCTGAATGAACGACAAGGCGAATCCTCGCATCGAGTCCGTGTCAATGAGAGAGGATGGAGAAGTCGGCCGCCCGGGATGCCCTGGGCTGCGACCACAATGATTCGGGGCTGGCTTCCCCTGAATTGGGGCGGTGCACGCGACACAGGCGGATTGTCTACACAGCCTTCGCGAAATGGCTTGTCACTGTCACATTTGCTGCGTCCATTTACTTTGTTCTCTGGGCTTATTCCAGTAAAATTGCCATGGTTAGCGGCAAGAAGCGGGAGTTCAATGTCGTTATCACGGGGCTGGCCATAGCATTGGGTTTGAGCACCGCCAGCTCGCTCAAAGGCATGGTGCGCGAACTCCGTTGGTGGCTCCTCAGTCTACGACAGTACTCGTCCAAAGAGGTAAGAGAGTGTTCACAGCCTGGGGGAGCTTACGAGACGATGCTAATACGCCGTATAGGTCGAGCTCATCCTGAAAAGCGAGCATCTCAGCTGTATGATACATTTGGGATGGATTTCGCGTGACTTGACCGTGCGGTTGTTTGTCCTGTTCTGGCTTTCGATCAACCTGGTACGAACCCTCCCCAACGCGCTCGGTCCTGCTCTAACAGCCTCGCTCCAGGCCGCCCAGATTGCTGTCGCAACGATCGGCTTGACGTACAACGTCGACCCTGCTGAGAACATGGCGGTCACGGCTCCGGGGATGGTATATATTCCCGATATGTCTGTGCTCCGGCCCATGGCATATTCCGAGAATACTAACCCCGGACTTGGTCTGCTGCGGTATACCGCCAACAAGTAAGACGCTTTCTCCTAGCCGATATAAGGGCAAAGCATGCTGATGCGGAACAGGCACGGACTATATGCCGACACCCTAGCCTTCGGCGCCATGGAGGACGTGCCCCGTCCTGGCACAATCGACAGCTCCAAGACACCCAACATGTTTTCCGACTGGAACTCGACCCGCTGCTCGTACGTCTTCTATGAATCGGCGCCGTACGACACGCCGGGAACAGCTTCGCCCGAGATCCGCGTTGCGACGAACCGCTCCGTGGCTTCTACAGCGGCTTGTCGCAGCCAGCGGGTCATCAATGGCGGCGATGGCTGGAACATCACAATCACCATCGATGACGGCAACAGAACCGAGATTGGGCTTCCCACCTTCAACGGCCCGAACCAGACGCTCTACATGACCGACTCGGACCAAAACCTGACAACCAGATGGAGCACTGTCAACGTTTTCGAGGCATCGGCGACGGACGCCTGGTACTACCAGTGCAACGTTTCCGTCGAGCAAGTCACCAATGCTGTGCTGCCGCAGCACAACGTCAGCGCTCTCGTGGCAACCATGGCGTCAGCGGGCATCGCGCTCCAGGGATATGGCGCGGCCTTCACCATCACGAACGACAGCAAGTCCCAGGATCAGTTTCAGAGCTACCCGCTCGAGTCCTTCTACGGGATGCCGCAATCTGGTGACCCCGTCGGCATGGCCACACTGTTGTCTCAGTTTGCAATCGGCGTCATTGCCAGCGTCGCTCGGTACAACGAACAGGTTCTGGCCCCTGGGCGGACTCCGCTGGAAACGATTGTGCTGAAGATATTCGACTGGGAGTATGTGCATCTGAACCTCGGACTCATCGTCGGGCTGCAGCTGCTGCTTGCTTCTGGGACAGTATGGATCGCTTGCCAGACACAGCCGCAGCTGTTGGCCGCGCTAGACATTCAGCGCTCGGGTCAAACAAAATCCTGACCGGAGATCACGAATTCAGGTTCACTCAGTCATCAGGCACTTGTCTGTTGCCTAGTCCCAACATGATTCCACTCAGCCCTTCGCCATCGAACGCGTGAAACGCAGGCCGCGTTGCGACCATGACCAGCTGCGACTCATCCCTTCGAAATGGATGCACCGCCAGCCAAGCCGGCCGCCTCGATAGTGCCTACAGCAGCGTCCCCGAACCTGGAAGCCCTATCCATCCATGACAGAGCTCGCCGACATCCCAGATCGCGAATCCTCGTCGAGCCAATCTTGTGGACGAAGTTGCAACTCGAGCTGCTGCGATGCACATTCCAGGACGTTTCGCCCGCGCCCCCCGACGCCATGAGACTCAGATTCCCCGATGATGCTCTCCGCCTGGAAAAGCTCGGGCACCGCTTGCGTGGTGATTTCGTCGACCGTGAGGATGCGATTCAGCGCCTGATCGTCACTGCGCAAGGCCCGCTGCAGTACTTGTACGTGGCAAAGCTGCACAAGCGTCTAAGTTTGTGTCTGACCGCGTCCGGAGTAGCTATAACCTCGCTTTCAGACTGGGAGGATATCGCAATGTCGTACTCTGTTGTTCGTATTACTGTCTGCGGAATGAACTTGTGGGTAGCAGCATGCCAGTGCCGCCGGTGGCTGCCCATGTCGACCATGGCCGCATTGTTTGTAGCCGGGAAATGAGAATAGTCAACTCATGCTTTAGCACTCGGCGCAACAGACCTGTCACGGCCTTGACTCGCATCAAGCTGCGGCGATATGCGTCCACAGAGCCACTGTACGAGCCTTACTTGGCAGCACTCCTGATTGCCCTTGCCCAGCAACAATGGAGGACTGTACAATCGACAACGAGGACCCAGGCGAGCGGCGTAAAGGTATGTTTCAACCATTGAACTTCCCAGGTCTTGTTTCACCTGCTAACGCGGGACACATAGCCTAAGTTGCTTTACAGTTCCGATGACACTGAGTTCATGCATTTATACACAACACAAGTGTCATCAACGCTTATGACCATGTTTGATGATCCGTCTTTCGCCCCGCCATCGCCAGAGTCTCTTTCGATTCAAGCCGTGACCATTCTATATAAGCCCCTGGAAACCCTGCGAGATCGTCTCCTTGCCTTGGTGCTTGAATCATCAAGTCTCGGGGGTATAGACAAGTCGGATAACCTTATTACATATTAACGGCGAGTCGTTCGGTACGCCGGGAGGAGGCCAGTAGTGGACAGTCATAGCTCAAGCAACTGCATATTCAATGCCGACATGGTGGATGTTCCTAGCAACTGATCACTGAGTCTTCAATACTAAGCGCTCCCATATCTATACTAGAGCTGGCTCATTCTTACCGTGGCATCTCTAAAGAAGATCCTCAATGCCCGTGCCCTCGTCCCTTCTATCCCTCCTGTTCCTCTTGCGTCCATGTCACTACATGTACCGCCGCACTAATACTCTATCTCCGCGTAGGCCAAGCTCATAAGAGCCAGAAGGTGAGATGAGACGATTCAACCGTAGCTCTTGTGGTCATTTCATCAGGTGCCCAGCGCTGTGCAACGCGTAAATGCTGCTGGCCGTGGCTATGAAATGTAGGCCATCAGCACCAATGGTTGCCCACAGTGCTGTCACATTAGTGACACCAGGCGCACTTAGGTATTTCTCAACCGCGCCCCCAGCGTTCCTCTCTCTGAGCTGCATGTTGGCTGCGAGCTCCTGTACTTGTAGCGGGCGCTTAACACACTAGGCAAGATTCCGGGCTTGCAAAGATGTGACTGTTGCCTGGCGGAGCAAGATTTGTTAACTGGAAGCGCCCGTGTTCGCATGCAGATGCGACAGCCAGTCAAATTTGAGGTTCGTCGCCGCTGGAGAGTGATACGCTGCTGGGCAGGAAGCGCCCAAGTCCGTGGCAGCCGTCGCAAACGCCCAGCCCCAGGTCATGGCCAGGGGACTTAGTATTGCGAGCCCGGCTTGTCGCATCCATTCTCAGCGGTGGACGATAACGTGGTTTATACACATGTAGGTTCTAAATATTCTCGTTGACCGAAATATAGCAACGAGGGACTGCTCATTTTAAGACATAAAGTCTCTGTTTCTTGAAGGTTGCTGGAGTAGAAGGGCTACATACGTACTACTTCTTTAGTATCTTTACCCGGTCAGCCGCTCTAATGCTTCTCGTTGCCCCCGTTGCACTCGCTGCCCTCGTTACCCTCGCTGCTCTCGTGGCCTGTGCCGCCACGCTCACATGTACCTGGTCTGGAAAAGGGGCGGCCAAATTGTGACGGCGCGTAGCTTGCACTAGTTTCATCAAAGCCTTGCCCAAAGCCTTGCAACTAATCATATTCATGGCGTAGCCGTTGGAGGGCGCAGCTCCGCCACCGTCCGCAAGTAGAGGGCGACTCCGCCATCTCCAAAGTCGCGCACCAAAAGCTGCAGTCTCTGCAATGCCTCTCTTGTTCTCCAAAAGATACTATCAATATGTCTCATGTGGTTCGGGAGAGGGTCCGGGAGCCGCTCGACAGCTTGGTCGAGTCGATCCCGGTACTGTGCCAGGCGCCTCGTATTGGTATCGGCCCCGTATTCAATGGCATCTAGTAGGGGCTGAGAGTTGACATCTGCCGACGATTTGCAAAACACCTCAGTCCAGTCCTCCCATGGCGCTGCCCAGTCGACATCGGGATCGTACTCCGTGGTTGCGTCCGGGACAAACCAAGGGGCGACCACGACGAGCGTGCGTAATGCAGTGCAGTGGGCCTTGACGACACCAAGCGTCTCCCATAAGCGAGGCCAATCGCCAGGATTCACAACCATATGCTCAATGTGACGCAGGAGGTCATGACGATCTGCGACGCGTGTCATTAGCTTGGCGTGGGCCTTTGCGTCGCGGAAGAAGAACAAGTGGCGGGCGGTGTTGAGCCATCCCACGCCTGGAACCCTGGTGTAGACCAGCCGAGAAACGTGCCGGGCTTCGTGACATGCCTGACTGACGGACTGATCTCGCCTTCTGCCCCTGAGCATGAGGCGGCGGCCTTTGCGAATCTCGGCTTTAGAAAGGGACCATTCCGCCATCAAGAGAGCGCATCGCCATATTCCGTGTCGCACCTCCGAGGGAAGCCGTGAGAAGAGCGAGAAGGTTTCTCCCGCGTCCATGGTTACCATTCATCGCCTTTCAGGAGGTCATCGCGGCCTGGCACCCAGTGTTATTGATTCGTTCTGGCTCGGGAGCGGGCCTGGGGATGAGTCGTTTGAGACTTTGATACTTGACCCGCCTCTCCACAATTACGAGGCTGAGCGCGTGGCATAGGCTTTTTGGCTGCTGCCTTGTGTTCTTGCCGAGAGGGGGACGGGGGAGGAATGAAGCGTCAATCCCTGCAGGACGATCCAAGGGGGGCGGAATCAATCCCAAGGTGAAGGTAACGTGCCGTAATTCGTCGCCCTCGTGCACACAGCGCTCATCCCCGTCGGCCTACTAGTTTCGTTTATCGCGATGGCATCCCATAACAACCCCCTTCCTTGGCAATAGTCGCGTGTCAATGCATGGCGATCCGCGGTGTCACGCTCCTGTCCAGTCGGAGGGCATTGGAAGCAGGCAGGGGTGGCCGCCTCTCCTGACACCGCCCTGTAGTAAATCAAACGCGAAATGTGACACTGTTGTTGTTGTTCTCCTTTTAGGGCATCTGACTACAGCGGGAAGCAACGAATACTAGACTTGAAACTTGACGTCCATTCAATGCTAGTCACACATACAGTAAGAGGCTCAAGATGCTTATTTTGACTCACGAGACTGATCCTGTCGTGTTCGTATCAATCTACATCTGATGTTCTAGTAGCTACGGAGCGGCACCCGCTTGGAAGCCCCCCCCAGCACGTGGACCTTGATGATGCGCGTTGTGGACATTACTCAGTGCCGATGGGGCACCTCCCACGGGCCAAAGGCCTCGAACCTTCACCCTACGGCGGTGGCGTCCAATCGCTCCGACCGGCGCTGCCCCTTTTGGGAAAACGGTGGCCGCGTGGAGCGTGGCTTATACGTCGTATTGCCTCGAGTTTCCCCCTCCGCTCCATGTTTCCTCCCCCCCGGGAGTTGCATCGGCCACTGGGCCTCTGGCGTCGGTGGGTAATGGGGTCATGCTGTCAGTCACCCAACAATGGCGATTGAAAGAGCTCTCAAAGTGCGGAACTGTCACCGAAGAAGGCCCAAATTCCCGTCGAAACCCGTTCGCGGAAGCGCGGCGGCTGCTTTGCCCGCACCAAGTCCGGCCGCTTTGAGGCCGATGGCGAGAGAAGTCGATGTCGTGCTCGCTCGTGGCACGACGCCGCACGAGTTTGGCTCTCGACATGACAGCAGGAAACGGGGGAGGATGGGGGAAAAGGCATCATAGCTCGGGAAAAGCGGCATGGAGCACGCAGCGTGTCTGGTGTGTGTTGGAGGGAGGACCGCGCCGGGCAGTGATGTGCATGGCGCAGCCCGCAGGGCAAGCCACAACCACAGGCCTTTTGTCACGCCGAGGGCAGTGAAGCGCAGCACAGGAGACGCCTGAGCCAGCCCCATCGATGGTGAGGGAGAGAGAAAAAAAAAGTCACCGGTGGTCTGGGACGTGGCGGTACCTGGAGGCGGGACTGTCCGAATGTCCGGGGTGGCTTAGGTGGGCGGCAGCGAGAGAAGAATCCATAGTTGACCCCCCTTTGGAGCGTTTGATGTTTCCCCCCGGCGAGTTTCGTTTCGTCATTCGTGGTCGTGTCTGCTACTACTTGAAATCAACGATCCCATGGGCCGTCCCGACAACGAGTCCCTGAGCTCGAGCACGCGACTCCTGCCTCCCTCCGATGCATGTGCTCAGACGACGCGCGAGCCCGCTCAGCACTCCAAGACAGACATGTTGGCCCCGATGCCGTGGAGATGTGACGCCGACTACCGCTACCGCCGCCGAATCCAACGCCAATGGACGACGAGTCCCCCTCCTCCTCGCTCTCGCTCCACACGCGGGAGCTCCTGCCGCATCACGAAGAGCCAGACTTTGGCGGCAGCAGCAACCTGAGCTTGACCCCCCTCCCTTCTTGTTCATGTAGTGCCTCCCTCCCACTCCTCTCTCGTCCAACGTCAAAATAAGAACAGTCGTTTGACAGCCCTATGCAGCCCAGTCCAACTCTCGCGTCGGCAGCGTTGCCGAACCGTCCCCCCCTGACTCCACGGCCCAAGCCCAAGTGCCAAGACTCTCGCGAGCCGACAGCTCCGATCTCACACCCCCATCACGGTCTCTAAGTCTGTTTGACCGACTGCACATCAGCCCGGCATCTTCGACATCCTTGAGCCAACGCGGGGTGCCGGCACGCCATCCTGGCCCTGCCGCGTCGTCGTCATCGGCCCTGGAGGCCTCCCGTGCCGGCCCGCGACTGCAGAGCGGAAGCGGGAGCGGGAGTGGCAGCGGCAGCGCCGCCGCCACTAACAGCAAGAACACGACGACTGCCGGTGCCTCTACTACGACTACTAATACTAATACCAAGCAAAAGTATCCCGCAAACCTGACCTGCCCGCTGTGCTCCAAGCGCTTCACCCGTTCCTACAACTTGCGCTCGCACCTGCGCACGCACAACAACGAGCGCCCCTTCGAGTGCTCCGTCTGCGGCAAAGCCTTTGCGCGCCAACACGACCGCAAGCGCCATGAGCGCCTCCATCTTGGCGAAAAGCAGTTTATCTGCCGCGGTGATCTCGACATCGGGGGACAATGGGGATGCGGCCGCGCCTTCTCGCGTGTCGACGGCCTGGCGCGTCACCTCCGCTCTGACATGGGCAGCGAGTGTGTCCGGCCCCTGTTTGACCAGGAGATGAGGCAACAGCAACAACAGCAGCAGCACCAACAGCAGCAGCAACAACAGCAGCAGCAGCAGCAGCAGCAGCAGCGGGGAGTCATACAGCAACTACCGCCGCTACAAGTCCCCACCCTGTCAGCGACAGCAATGATGACGCCGACGAGAACGACATCACTGACGCAGCATCTGCCGATGGGATACGGGGCACCGCAGCAGCAGCACTTTGGAAGCACGGCGGCAGCATCGCCCATGGATCTAGACGGCGGCATGACATGGCCCTCGCTAGATCACCAGACGACGGCGAGCTGGACGAGCATGGCGCCCCTTCCCGCCGCGCTGCTGGCGCAGTACCCCTCGCTCGCGCGCATGAGCTGGTCGCCAGCGGCAGCATCTCCCAGCGCGGAGCCGTTCTCGGCCATCGAAAGCCTGTTCGACTTTGACAGTGGGACGACGAGCGATGCCGCCGGCTCGCGGACACCAGGCGCCGGCTCTGCTTACACCAAGTGGTGGAGCTCCTACACAGACGCGTCCAGCGGCATGAAGGCCCAGGAGCACGGCGAGGATCACCCAGACCCGGGGCAGTATCGATGAAGATGAAATCGGCGGAAGAGGCCGACTATGGCAGCCCGTGACTACAGTACATGGACATACTTTGTGTCTGTTGGTCTGAAAGTCTGGAGGAGGCCAAGCCCTTCTGATACTCGTCACGGCCCGCGAGAGACGGCCCAGACTTCGACGTCGATTCGAGCTGTCCGATCCTTGGGCCTACTGGCCCTGCCTTGGCGTCTCAAAGGGGAATGGAAATGATGGGAGCAACACGTCACGACACCATGGTCACAGAGATATCCGCCGCCATGCCAGGCCACGTTCGAGTCGTCGCCCATAAAATCAAACCCGCCTCCTCTGGACGTTACTCATCCTATTTGCGCTGCACGGGATGTGATAGGGCGCGGGTCCCCGCGCCTTGATCCGCCGTGGGTGCCGCTTGATCCGCCGTGGGTGCCGTTTGATCCGCCGCGGGTGCCCGCGCCCCTATCAAGTCCTTGCGCTTCACCACCGGCGCGGCACTCCGCATCGTCCACATCCCTGCCCCAGGTCCAGCATGCCGATCCCAGCCCTCTTCAACCTCTGCCTTTAACCTCGTCATGTATTCCGCGCTCCGCAGGTCGAACCAGTGGAAGATATACTCGACCTCGAGGTCGCGCACATCCCTTTTCAGCAGGGCTATGACCGCCTTGCACCGGCTGCGGCGGCGGCGCCGTGGACTCTCCTCCGCGTCTGCTTGTTGTCGTCTTCCACTTCCTCGCCTCCGCTGCGCCACAGCTGCGCCCCCTCCTTTAACGTCGCCGCCATCGTCGTCGTAGAGCATGACTCGCAGCTGCCGGATAAGAAAGTACCGAAGCAGGACCCCGTGAATCAGCCCCGCCATCTTGTGCTCCGTCCTGACCGCCTGGTCGCGCTCGAGGACTAGCGGTACGGGCGTGGCGTTAAGGAACGCGGTAATGATGGCCCGCGACGGGATGGGGATCCAGAAGTCGGTGGAGAGCGGGCGGTACTTTAGTTCCCGCTTCAGTTCCTGGACGTTCGCCGTGGGCAACGCATACTTGCAAATGGGACTGGAATCCCAAGGTGAGCTGTCTCGACGTCGGCTACTGGGAGTTGGCCTTGGTGTTTTGGGAGGCATGATGAAAAGCAGTGGCGATGGCTACTCCAATAGATGAACGGAGAGAGTGTCCGTGGCCGCAGAACTATTGAGCCGTCAAAAGTCTCGTGGTGCTTTTGCATCTTATAGGGATAGTAGAGAAAAGAAACATTGCTTTGAGCGGCGGTCCCGCCCTGAAGGGAACAAACGGACGGCCAAGCCTGTTCAAACACCTTTGTCGTCGTGCTGTGAATCTGCGCCGCAAAACCTGCATGAATCGCGTGCAGTCAGAACAAACCTGCTGAACGTCCCGGCAAATATCTGTTCAGAAAGTCTATTGTGTCTATGATGATGGTGACGGTGATGAGGCTGCTTTGCCGCCTTTGGCCTTCGTCTTCGTGGCGCCCTTTTGTTTCTTGGCCTGCTTTTCCCTCTCTTTGCCCTTTTTAATGGCGTCGACGAGCCCGCCCAGCTCCTCGGCCTTGCGACGCTCCTCGTCCTCCTGCTCTTGCTTGTCCTTTTCCGCCTTTTGAACGGCGCGCTTCTTCGCCTGCGCCTTTTCCACGCGCTCGATGAGCGCGTCGCTCTCCTGCCACAGCGTCTTGGCGACCTCGTCGTCCCTGACCTCGGCGCGCGCATAGTCCACCTCCATGCACTCCTTGACGAGCTTGCCGCCGGGGCCGCGGCCCAGCTCGCCGTCCATGGCGGCGTAGAGGATCGACTGCGCGGCCTGGTACGGCGACTTGAGCAGGAACCACGGCACCAGGTAGCCGACGAGGTAGAGGGCGAGGCCGGCGAGCGAGCCGCGGGTGAGCCAGCGCCGGGTGCCGGGCGTGCGGCTCAGGCCCGGGTCGACCATGATGACGCGCGCGTTCATGGGCAGCTGGTCGGGCCGCTTGTACGAGTCGAGGTGCTTCTGGAAGGCCTGGCCGAAGACGTTGAGCGCCATCTTGCTCCGCGCGTAGGCCTTGCCGGGGGACCAGGTGCTCTTGCTGAGGGCCTCCTTGAGCGACGGCGAGCCGATGTACGAGGAGCACGTGGCGACGATGATGCGCACGTCGCGGTCAAACTGCTGCGCCTTGATGGCCGGGCTCAGTATGCCCAGCAGGTGGAAATTCGCCAGGAAGTTGACCATCCACGTCTCCTCGATGCCCTCCTCCGTCTCCCGCCGCCTGCCCCCCGGGGGCGTCAGCGTCGCCGCGCAGAGCACAATCATGTCGAGGCGTCGCGGCGGCGCATTGTCGATCCACTTCGTCGCAAACTTGCGGATGCTATGCAGGCTCGAGAGGTCCACCTGCTCGGCGTAGACCAACTGGTTGCCCGTCTTGTCGCGCAGGTCCTGTATGTACTCGACGAGGAAGGGGTCCGACGCGGGCGAGTGCGTGAGGAGGACGAGCTGGGCGCCCCGGGCGGCGAGCTCCTGCGCGGCCTGCGCCCCGACGCCCGAGGTGCCGCCCGTGAATATCACCACCTTGCCATGCAGCGGGCGCTCCGAGGTGTTGGACCGGCCGGCCGTCCAGCGCTTGAGCGTGTAGAGGACGGTGAGCGTCAGCGTCGTGTAGAAGATGGCCCAGCGGTTGTCGCGGAGCCAGTCGGGCGGGCCGTGCTCGATGACGTAGAAGATGAACGGGATGGGCATTTTCGCTTGGCGGGCAGGGCAGGGCAGGTAGGTCTCGCTCGTGCGAGAGCTTCGGGGGGCGTTACCGGCGTGTCGTTTCGGCCATTGGCGAGCCAGATGATGCTGTGTTGAACGGAGATGGAAAGGCAGCGTCGAGGTGACGTTTTGTTTCAGGGAGCTCAAAGCTGGGCCGCACGTGACGGCCCACTGGTAACTATCACCCACAATACCACTGCTCCGGGTCTCCGACTTTTTGCCCCGTCATTCATCACAATAAACTGCCCGACCTCTGAAACGAGAACCGTTGCTATAATGTTTTCTCATTCCAAGGACTGCCCTATTGATCATGTCGCCTATGGCCTGGCATTGCCTCCTCCTCGAAGCCTCAGCTGTTAAGTGGAACACGGCATCAACATCGTGCTGCAGCACTACTGCCACAGCTTACAACATGATCTCGTGCAATTCATCAGTATTAAGAGATACAAATCATCACAGTCTCCAGCAAAAGTACAGTCTCAGTGGCCATTGGTTCCCTTCTCGTGCTTGTGCTTCCTCATCCAAATCTCGCCAATCGGGTCTCCGTGCTCGGCAACACACTTCCACTCGCCGATGCCCAACTCACGCGGCGCGCGCCTCACGCCCCTCCCACCGCCGCCGATGATGAGGTTCCCCGGCCGGTAGGTCTCGTCCTCTTTCAGCCTACGAATGACGCTCCCGTGGACGCGCACGTTGGACGGAATGTCGCGCACCTCGCCGCGCGGCAGCGGCCAGCGGATCGGCTTCCACGAGCCGTCGCCCTGCAGGTCCATGCGCCGGAACGGCAGCCACTCCATAAAGTTCCAGGCCGTCACCGCGATGGTGCCTAGCCCGTCGCCGTAGACGAGCGAGTCGTGGATGCGCGACGTGTGCGCCTTGTGCATCAGCTCGTGGAACGTCGACCGCGGCATCGTCTCGTCTGGCTCATCCGGCGCGCGGTCCTTGCCGTTGGTGATGTCTGGGCTCGCTGGCATTCCGTCTTTGACGCCGTTGGTCTCGTCCTGGACGCGAATGTCCGGATTCTTCACGCGAGTCCGCTTCCCAGCCTGCGGCCCGTAGTGGTTGACGAAGCTGTCGCACATGCATCCCATCTCGGCTACCTTTTCCATGTCAAACGGCAGCCCGGCCTTCATGGCCTCTCGCACCATCCACGCCAGAGGCACGTGGCTGGCGCTCTTGCGCTCGTCGAGGGCCTCCCAGCCGCCACCAATGTCGCCATGGCCGCCTGCAAACCACACCTCGTCAATGTCCTTGCTCTGCTCGTCTTCCTCGCACTCATCCTCGGAAGGCGCGCCGGATGCGCACGACTGGGCGTCGGCGTCAGGCCCCCGCTGGCGGGACCGCGATCGGGGCCGATATGGCGCGTAGCGGGCTTGCACCATCGACTGCCTCCTCTGTCGCACGTTGCGGCGCTCAGCGTCTTGGTTGGGCGTGAGGAACGCTGTGCTTGCTTGTCTCTCGCGCCCCGCGTCGGGCTTCTCTGTCGTCGCCGGCTCGGCACCCGACTTTGCAGCCGTCGAGGCCGTCTGCGGCCTATGAGACGACCCTGGTCGATGCGCATCCATGCTCCTTCGAAACGGATCCAGGAACTGGTCCATGTGAAGGTGATGGTGATGGTGACGGGGCTTCTTGGAGCTCGGATGCTTCTGGTACATGAGGTCCTGGCGGAACTTGGCCCGTCGCTCGTCGATGCTCACGGCGTGACGGATCACCTTGGCGCTGCTGCGGGCTGTGTATGGAAACTTGCTCCGTTGCATCCACGCATTCTCAAACTGCGGCACCGAGTTGACCGTGTCGAAGAGACCCAGGAAGCGGATCCTGCCCACGGGCCGCGAAAACGTCTCGCGGAAGCCCTTCATGAACTCGTGCATCTTGTGGGCCTGCCTGTCCGCCTCGGTCTCCTCGCGCTCCTCCTGCTCCTCTTCTGACGAGTCGTGCTCGGGCCCCGACGAGGGCCGCCGGGCCTGCCACTGCGCAAAGGCTTTCCACGCAAATTTGACCATCTCCTCGTTGCCGTGCGACAGCAGGCCGATGTGATCGAGCATCTCGGCGAGGAAGCGCGCGATGTAGGCGCCGCGGCTGAAGCCAAACATGTAGATCTCGTCGCCCGGGTTGTAGAAGCGCATGAGGAAGCGGTACCCACCGACGACGTGCTGGTCGAAAGACGACCCGACGGCCGAGTCCTTGGCCTTTTGGTACCAGGACTTGACGCGGGCGCGCAGGCCCGAGTGCGAGAGCGAGTCGGACACGACATAAGTGCCGATACCAGCTGTCGACATATGGCGTTAACAAGGGCACGCAAACATGCCGCGACATGACGGGGATTTGGCTGTAGACTCACGCTGGTAGTAGTGGTACTGGTCTCCGGCGGTGCGGTCGAGCATGCGAAAGATCTTGAGGATGTTGCTGTCGCTCTCGTCGCCGTGAAACTTGTTGCCCGTGCCGTCGAAGCAGAGGATGAGCTTGCGCGGGCCCCTGTCGCGGCCGCGCGCCGTGCTCAGTGCCGTCTTGGGGCTCATGGCGCCGGCAGAGAGGTAGTCTGATCCACCGTCGTGATAGGGGGCGACGAGTGTAGTCTCGCGCGCGAGCGCAGAGCTCGGGTCCAGGAGTCTGCCTGCCATGGCCTATTATGTTATACCAGTGCGCCGCTCTCCTTCGGCAGTCGTCGGACGCAGCGTCTCCTCCTCACACCAGCTGAGATGCCGTGCTGCTGTGCTGTTGTTGTTGTGGTGCGTTGGACAAGAGCAACCTCGGAGGTGCGAGCTTGACAGAACGGGTATTCCGCGATGGGATGGCTGCGGTGCGACAACCTCGCTCTTGAACGACGAGTTCCAGTAGGGGCAATGCCGGGACGACGGGGTTGAAGGGCGGGAGGGGGAGCTGCTGTGTCTCGGCCAGTCCACGGGCACACATATGTATGTATGTATGTACATACATGTATGTACGTATGGGTAACCGGGACGAGGCGATGGACATTGCATTATGTTGCGCCGGCCCGCCTGCGTAGCTTCAACCCCGTGGCCGCTCCCGCCTGCATCATCCGACAGGAAGAACGGACCGTCCCTCATGATCTCCAGCGCCCCGGCTCGTGGGTCGTCGAGGCTCAAAACGGAGCACAAGGTCCACGATGCATCGCGGGCGGAATGGCCCTTGCCGCCGGGCGTCCTCGAAAAGGGCAAATGAGGCGTGCGGCCCGCGGGCTGAAGTTGATGATCACTGCCGCTATCAAGTGCTGTGGACCGCCTCTCCCGCAACGGGCAGCATGCAGCATGCAAGAGCCGACCGGGGTGGCTGCTTGGGCTATGGCGGCATTGGCCAATCGAGGAGAGGATGTTGTCTCCCGCACCGCAGTTTCTCTGGACTTGGGGCGAACGCATGTCTCAGAACGGGCGACCAGAGAGGGGACCAGAGAGGGCGGCCGGGAGAACCAAACCCAAACAAGGCGACGTCGATGAAGAGTCGCTGCTCAGCCGCTGCGGGCCATCCCTGCCATGTCCATAACGGGCACGTCACACTGCGCGCGGAAAAAGAAACGCGGGCTTGTCCGCTCATCCAAATGTCCGATGCGCATCGCTCAGAGAGAAAGCTGGACGGACTGGGGGTTTTGCGAGCGGGGAGCTGAGCTGTTGTCGCTTGCTCATCTGGTCGACCCGTGGCAAGCCGGATCGTTGAGAGCGACACTCTCCCTTCAACCAAGGCCTGCCGTTCGTTGCAACGCGTGCGAGTGCGACATGCTCAGTCGGTAATTAAACGGTGCAGTCCGGGGTCTTGGGGGGACGCCCTCGACGATGGCACTGTTTTTGATGACGGGAACCCTTTGCAGTAACACTTCGTATGCTGCATCGCGAAGAACAGCCAATGAGCCATCTCCAGCTCAGACACGGCCGTTGATCCATCGTGGGCCAGAACCACCGGAGAGGGGAGGGGCAGCAGGCCCGTCGGGTCATGACACATCGCCTGCAGCCATGCCGGCTTGCGTCTGCCCGCCCGGCACAGCGCTGCATGTTGTACAGAGCAATATGTGTGCTTCACTGCATGTGCATTGTAGGCCGGGGATCGACTGACCATCGTGCGCCGTGTTTGCTTCTTGGAGTGAGGTGTGGCGTCGGTGCAGGGAAAGAGCCAGGAAAGAAAATCACATGGGAAAAGCGGGTGTCTTGAATATTGATGCGGTGTGCGTGTCTGCTCATGGTAGACGAACGAGCGGGCGAGGAGGGGGTGTTGAAAAGTGAGGTGTAACGTGTAGGTTTCCGAATGCCGAGCTCCTTCGAGACGCGGGTGTTTTTTGTTAGTCGTCGACTAATACGGGCCGTCCCGCGCGGCAAGCGCTACCAACGGCGTTGAGGCGTACCAAACTGAATTGGCAAGTTTGTTCTTGCACCGCCAGGAAACACACTGCCGCGGCAGGCCATCGCCTTTTGGTCATGTCGGACAGGCGTACGAAATGTACTCCGTGCAAGTACTTGGATTGACAACCTACCCAGACGCAAAGTCGAGCAACTTATCACAAAGTACCTGAACCTGATGCTAATTCATTTTCGCGCACGAGCCTGGATACGAAGTACAATACACGACCAACTGCCGCCGCCTGCTTCCATCACGGAGGAACAAACATACAGGCACCGAGCGAGTCCTGCCCTATCCTCGCCTGTCCACCTCACACCACCCCATCACCATCATCATCATCACCATCATCACCGGCGAGCAGTCTCGACCCCCTACAGCTTACTATCCTTCCACGCGGGCTTCCTCTTCTCGACAAACGCACGCACCCCCTCGCGCATGTTATCCCCCCCGTCCATGCGCCGATACACGCCCGCCTCGACCCTCCGCGTGCTCGCCTGCGGGTCCTCGGCCTCCCACCCACCCAGCAGGCCCTCGCGGCTCACGATGACCGAGTCCGGGCTGCACTCGGCCGCCATGGTGGCCGCCCAGCGGAGGGCCTCCTCGACGGTGGCGTTGGCCGCCGCGAGGTCTGCCTCCTTTTGCTGCTGCTTCTGCTTCTGCTGCTGTTCCTTGGATAGCTTCTTGGCTGCCTTTGCCGAAGCCCCGCGGGTAGAAGATGGTGACGACCACAATCCTGGAGTTGACGGTGATGATGATGCCCTCACCACACGGTTCACAATTCCCCACTCCTTCATCTCCTCGGCCGTATAGTCCGTCCTCCCCAGCAGGGCCATCTCGCCCGCCCTCTGCCTGCCCACCGTGCGCACCAGCCGCGGCAGCGCCCCCGCCACGGCCACCACCCCGACCCTCACCTCGGGCAGCCCAAACGTCGCGCCCTCCCTCGCCAGCACCATGTCCGCGTTGAGCACCATCTCCATCGCTCCCCCCAGGCACAGCCCATTGACGGCCGCCAGGACCGGCTTCTTCCCGCGACGGTTGCTCAGCCCGCCGAACCCGCCCTCCGCCCAGCCGTCGTCGCGCGTCTCGGCGGTGCGCTCCCCGCGCTCGTTCTGCCCGTCCCACTCCTTGAGGTCCGCGCCGGCGGAGAAGGCGCGCGCGCCGCCCCCGCCCGTCACCACGGCGCAGCGCAGCCACGGCTCGGCGTCGAACCACGTCCAGAGCTGGTGCAGGGCGGCGTGCTGCGCGCGCGTCACGGCGTTGAGGTGCGCGGGCCGGCTGAGCGTCACGAGGAGCACGTGCGGCCGTGGGAAGGCGATGAGCGTGTCTGGCACGGGGGGCGGCGCGCTGTGGAAGGTCGGCGTGCCGGGCGCAGCGGAGGTGTCGGACTGCGGCCCGCCGACCAGGTTGTAGAGGCCCTTCTTGTCGACGTTCATTGTGGTATGTGTGGGCTGCTGTTGTGGCGGCGACTTTGTAGCTTGATGCGATGAGATGAAGCCGGTGTAAGGTGAGAGTCTGTGACCTGCTAGAGTCCAGCTGTATATATCGTGGCAAAATAGAGCTGCTCCGATACGATTGCCGTCGTACAGCTTCCTCCGAATCAAATGTCCTATTCAAACCTCTCAATGCCGCAACATTTGGGAGATGTCAGACTGAAGCTCACTTTCGGAAGAAGTCATGGCGGGAATCTGGGGAAAACCACCCCGAGAAGTGGAGGTCTGGGCGTCCGCCCGCGCGGGGGAGGCGGCGGCTGTTGGGTTGGGGAACCTCGGCACCTCCACCTCGGCCCCAGGAACCGGCCGTCGCGCGCCTCGGACTGTCGACGAGCTAAGGGCCGAGCAGCTATTATCAGTCGTCGTTTTCGTCGTCCAACAAACACAACTCCGGTCGCGCACCACTCCTCGGCCCCCAATGCCGCCTCTACGTATTCCCATCACACACACGCGAATCGAATGGTGCACAGTAATACACGGTTTTGTATTCCCTACTCCGTACATCAATGTGGTCATGCGCGAATGCCGCCCGTACGCCCATCGGCCCTCCAAACGCCCGCACAGTCGAGTCCACGGCCCAAGTCGTCGTCTCGTCCTCGCGTAGCCCCTTCGGTTCCCTTCTTGAAGGGTAAAATGACTAGGCCGTACAGCCGCCAGTCAATCCAGTGGCTGCAGGTCTCCAACGAGGTCGTCGGCGAAAAATAAGAAACAAGTGTTTGTACATGAACAGTTCCCTCTTGGAACACCCCAATGCAAGAGTCTGGTCCCTCCAGACACGGCGACTGAAATGCAGGTCATCGTGGCACTCCCGGTGCCCATCTCGGCCACCTAGTCCATGTGTGATGTGCTCAATTCCACCCATGTCAATGTCAGATTGTATGCCCATCTGCAGGTACACCGGTGTGAGTGACGGCACCAGGGCCTCATATCTCGCCAGCAACCAGAACCGTCGTCTCGAGGGCGGAAATGTCCAGACTTCAAAATGGTATCGAAAAGGACCTCTCCGTCAAATCGTATCGTCTCACTCTGCTCGTCATCTCGTCTTGTAAATGGCGAAGCCGCAACGGCATCGCACCTGCTGCTTGTAGCAGCTCGGCGTAGAGCACTAGGAGTGCGTCTACGCAGGCAGCCCACGCTTCTCGCATTCGGTGAAGAAAATCACCATTCGCCAGAGCTTCTTGACCAGGTCCTCGGCCTCCTCGTCCAGAGCCTACACGCGACGTTAGCCATGGTACTCACTCACACATTGACACCTCCAAAGGGATAGGGAGGCTTACCCCTTCGAGCTCTTCGACCAGCCCGGCCGCGGTCCCGCGCTTGCGAATGTGCTCCTCCACCGTCTCCACCAGCATCTCCTCCTGCACACCGAGATACTCGACAATCTTCTTCTCCACAAACGGACGGAGGCGGTCGCGAATGATGCCCTCGTCCATGTACTCCCACTTTACCTCCCAGTCCCAGAGGCCATCCTTGTCCGTCGGAATCTCCTGTGCCAGCGATCTGACTGCCTGAGATATCTCCTCCTCCGTCATGCCAGCACCCGACGGCAGAGGCTCCATCTGCAGAGGAATCAGCGGCCGTTTCGCCACCGGCTCGTTGTCCTCGTCGTCCAGGAGATTCTCCACTTCGGCAATGGTGCGTCGCTGGGGCACCGCGCGAGATGCCTGGGCTCGCTGGGCGGCTGCTCCCAAGGACAGCTTGAAGGGTGCCGGAGCCGGTGCGACAGCGGCCGGGCGCTGGCTCATCTCTCGGTCTTGCTGGTCGAGGAAAGAGTCGGCTTGTCCGCGTGCTCTCTCGAGCTGCTCCTGTTCCCGACGCTTCTCCTCTTCCTCCTCTCGGCGGTCTGCGTCGTCGGCTGCCTCCTCGATGGCGCGATCGATGGCGCGCTTTCGTTCCCACTCGGCGCGGTCGCGGTAGTACGGGTGCGTCTTGCGTGCGGCCTCGACGTCGTCGTCCCATGCCTTTTCTCGCGCAAATTGCTCGTCCCGGCGCCGCTTGCTGAGCTCAGCCTCCTGTCTCTCTCGCTCCTGCTCGCGCTCCAGCGCCTGCTGGCGGATACGCTCTCGCTTCAGCCACTTGCGTTCCATTTCGAGGTACTTCTTGTGGTCCTCGTCCTCTCGTCTCTGGATGCGTCTGCGCTCCAATTCATTGTCGCTCGCATCCGTGTCTTCGTTTTCGCTCTCGTGATGCGCGCCACTGCCATTAACAAACGAGATGCCGCGATCGGTTCCGTTCTGGCCCTTGGGGCCCGTTGGAGCGCTTGACACAGCGCCACCTCGAGGGCCGACCGGAATGTTATTGGCCGACGTGTCGTTCTGACGCTGGTGCCGTCCGGCAATCTCCTCCTCTCGCCGTAGTCTCTCCATGTCGCGTTGGTTGCTGCGCTCACGGAACGCTGCGATTTCCTTCGCCACAACCTCTCGCATCTCAGCAGGGATGTCGGCCAGCTCGTCCTCTTGAGCTATCGAGATGTTCACAACTTCCACATTTGAGGGTGCGTCCGTGTTGCCCATGGGCGTGTCGTTGGTCGCGTCGGTTCGGGTGCTGAGAGGGGGGTAGAAGAGCTCGCGCTGGACCTGCTTGACGGCACGGCGTGCGGCGTCCAGCCGAGCCTGAAAGTCTGGGTCGCCGGCCTGCGACTCTGCCAAGGACTCTTGATGCTCCGCAATCACCTCGTCGACATTGACCAGGAGTCTGGTCTTCTCGATGCCCTCGTAGTTGTCGTCGTCCTTGGGCGGCTCAGCAACGCCGGGCTGTCGCTTTACCGGAACCTCAAAGGTTTCTTCTTTGAAAAGCTTGAGCGCGATCGAGATTGCGTCCTCGTCGTCGAAGAGTGCGAACCCAAATTTCTTGTCTTTATGGCGGGGCCAGAGACTTGTCGAAATATCCCACGACAGCAGTCTACCGACTGCGCTGCACAGGTTCCTGACATCTTCCTCTCTGGTGAGCGACTCGGGGATCTGGTAGAGGACAAGCGATCGTAGCTTCTCGTCGGGGGTCGGCGGGATCAGTATCTGGGGCTGCTCCCTGTCTCGTCCAACCCGATCTCTGCCCGGTTCGCCGCGGCTATCGCTGCCCAGTCCCGGGCGACCACCTGAGGATGTCGACGGTCCGTCACCTCGCCCGCTGGGCGCACCCGTGCCGAGTCGAATGACAGGCGCGTTGAAGTTGATGTTGGGCATGTTCGCCGGGGGCTGGAAGCTCGCGGGGAGGCCGCCGGGGCGGCTCGACGTCGAAGGCGCGTTGAAGCCCTGGACACCGGGCGGCGTTCCACCCATGCCTGGGGGAGGAGCCATACCTGGTGCCGCCAAGCCCATGCCAGGTGGTGGGCCTGGGGGGAGGAGAGTGTTAGAATCGATGCTCATCTCGTCGTCGCTGCGAGCGACGGTATAGGATTCTGGGGAGGAGGGTGCATCAGTACCGAGACCGCCGGGAGGAGCTCCCATGCCGGGAGGCGGTGCGCCGTAGCCACCATAACCGGGAGGCGGCGCGCCGTACGGGTTTCCTGGGGAGAGGCGGGTGGTTAGCAAGCTGTTTCGCGAGTTTGTTTTCCCTCCCGGAATAGTAAGGTCAGCAGGCAAGCATACCTGGATATTGATTGTAAGACATGTCGCCTAGGTCGTCGTCGCAGTCGAGGAGTTGTTTGGCAAGCCTCGATCAGATCCTCTCGGGGCCTCGCGACGCAACGACGAGCTCCGCACGCCTGCCGTTTCCACTCGCCAAAGAGCCTCGAGCCGCGCCGAATGACCAATCAACAAGTGATGTGCAGCTTTCGCAGACGATCGGGGAAGCGATGGACGGGTGCGCGCTGTGCAAAGAGGCGGGTGGGTGTGCAGAATGCGAGTTTTCGCAGCGCAGTGTTGGAGGTTGTGTTTCTCTTGAACTGCCTGCCACCTGCGAGGCCGCTGTTGGAGCCGCTTCTAGTGGTGGAGTTGCCTGTCGTTGGAGGGTCCGCTTGCTGGGTCGTAGCCTGAGGTGATGGAGGTGGGCAACTTTTTTTTCGGTGCGGGCGACTTGTCGCGTGCGGGTGACGCGCCGCCAACTGCAAGTACCAACAGCACGGCTTGGTGCAGCTCCGCAACAAAATTTCTCCGGCAGCCGGGCGGTTTTTCATCCTCCGGCCATGCTCCAAGCTGCACTGCAACTCATCGACATTTCCAGCCCAGCTTCGCTGTGAACGCAACCAGGCGCATCTTAGTCGTGCCAATTGGCGGCCCATTGACGCATTGGTTCGCCAAAATGTGCGTTTACACACTCGATCAACAATCACATCGTCGCTAACCTCTCTCAGGGCCGCAACCACGCGGTACAGCAGCTCCGTGCTGTCACGGGTGCTCGTCTCGTCTACCCACGCCCGCGCATTCTCAACCTCCCTCCCCATGCGCTTCTCTCCCTCGAGCTCGAACCGCGATGCCTCGTCCTCGTCATCATCGTCGCGTCCTCCGCGCGTTCGCTCCAACCCTCTCGTGGGCAACTACGTCCCCGCCAAGCCACAGCAGCCTGCCCCAGGGCAAACACCTCCCGTGTCGACGGAGCACCCCCGATCGCCCAAGCCGCCCGTCTCGAGCGCCGAGGTCCCTCCCAATGCCGACATGCCGCCGCCTCCGCCGCCGCCTCCCGCTTCGACGCCGTCCTCATCAGCGGCTCCCGCTGCCGAGACCGCCGATGCCTCCGCCGCCACTCCCCAGCAGCAGCACCCATATACGGCTGCCGACTCCTCCACCCCTTTCAACCTCGACATCGCCTCCATCATCGCCAACAAGTCCGCCGCGTACGGCCGCTCTCTTGGCATCGGCGACCCGCTCACCCGGCCCAAGGTCCGCGCCAAGGCCGTGGCAGGACGCACCGTATTCATCAAGGACCGACTCACGCCAACGTCGGCGCCTACGCCCACCGTCGCCTTGCGCGTCCTCGACCGCATGTGCCGCGACCAAAAGGTTCGCAACAAGTACCACTCGCAAAAGTTCCACGAGCGCAAGGGCCTCAAGAAGAAGCGGTTAAGGAGCCAGCGGTGGAGGGCCCGCTTCAAGACGGGCTTCAAGGCCGCTGTGAGCAGAGTCATTGAGCTGAAGAAGCAAGGCTGGTAGAGGCCGAGGGCGTGTACAACTACGTGATGGATATCTAGAGCAGGAAGCATTGTACAATACATGGTATACGTCGGTCACCAAATATCAAGCGTGGACAAGCTATCATACTTCTCGTGTCTCATTTCTCGTTGCAAGCCGCTCAAGCAAAATCTTCCGCACGTCATTGAACCATACCGCCACAAATCATGGCCACTCGTCGTCCATCTTCGTCGGGCTCCCCATCGGGCTGGCCTTGATCTTTGGTCGGGATCTAAACACCGCCTCCATATCCTCCTCCCGCATCAGCTCCTCCGTCAACGCCAAGGTATCGTCCCCGGCCTCCGGCTCCTCGCTCAGCTTCGGGAAGAGGCTCCCTTCCCGGCGTGGTGGTGGTAGCTTAGACCTGCGTAGTGATCTGCGCCGCTCCAACTGTGCCTTTTGCTTGGCCTTTTCCAAGCCCGCCATGCTGCGCCTGGTGCGCGCAACCAGGTCGTCTTCGTTGCCAGTCTCATGTTCTTGAGGTGGCTCATTGGCTTCAGGGATAGGAGGCGATGGCTTCTTTGCGCAAGGCCCTGTTCCCAACGACGCCGGTCCCGCCGGGTTGGGATTCGAAGACAGCGCTGGTGCGGGATCGTCCAATTCGCCATCCAGAAAAGGGTTCGTCCTGGCCATGGACAGCCGCGTGCGCTGCGCAAGTGACAGGGTATGTCGAGGCTTGGACCGTTTGGTGGGAGACGGCGATGCGTTGTTCATGGATTCGAGGATCTGGTCAGCAAGTTGTTGCGTCGGCGAAGGTACAGTTGGCGGCAGTTCTTGGTCCGGCCCGTTCCGCTTTGATGGCCCATCTCCGAGGGGAACAGCCCTGCGGCGAGAATCTGCCTCCACCGTTCGTCGCGTCGGGGACCGCTTTGAAGGAGACGGGCTCGACGGCGGCGAGGAGTCCCACAAACCCCTGCGCCGCGATGCGTCTAAGGGCTCCTCGTCGTGGTCTAACAACTCGTGAGCGGACTTGATCGGGAGTTCTGGCAGTTTCGAGGACTCGTATGCGGTCGCATGATCAGGGCCCGGGGCGCCGGGAAGATGTGGTTTGACAGGCAAACGCCTTGCGATGGGCGGCTCTTCTCTCCTCGCTGCGGCTTCCGCTGCTTCTTCATCCAAGTCACTCATCTCTGAGACGTCGTCTTCTCCTTCGCTCTCATCATCGTTCATGTGCGGCGGCCCATGTTGCGGTCTCGCCAAGAAGCTCGTGACCTTCGTGCCCTCTGCATTGCCGCGAATCTTTTTCAACTCGTCCCTCAGTCCGTCCACGAGATCGCGATATTCATCCAGCATGGGCTGCTCGCGCTGGGTTATGTTCCTTACTCCGCGCATAGCCCCTGGACCGCTGATCTGGATATCCCAATGCTTTCCAAACTGGAGGTCGATACCCTTGGTCGCCTTCCTCTTGTCTGCCTGAGCACGGCGCTTGGAAGGCGAGGCGGTTGAATGTTGGCCCTGCTGCCCTCCAGACATGCCGACTCGAAGACCCTGCCATCTGGCCAGCCTCTCTCGGAGCACATTGACGCGACCGTCAAGTTGGTTGAGAAGCCCTCCGTCTTCCTTCTCAATCTCGGAGAGCCTTCCCTGCTCCACGCGCCTCCAGACTCTATCCATTGGCATGGTGAACAGACCAGAAGGATGGCTTGCTTCGGGGGCTGAGTCGCCGAGCAAAAGGGCGCTCATCCATTTCTCATTGCCTGTCCAGTTGCCTCGCACCATCCGCCGCGTCTCTTCAAGGGCAGTATCAGATAGCGCTGCCTCGCCGTCTGCACCACGCCGTTGCTTTGCAAGAAGCACCTCATTCCGGCGTGCCACGCCCCTCTCCTTGACGCTCAACAGGTCGGCAAAGTCGGCGTACCGAGACTTGGCGGCGGTCTTCGTCTCGAGCAACTGGCGGATACTGGCTCTGTGCGCCAGGGACAGCATTTTCAGTTGCGTATTATCAGTCGAGTACCCGCGTTCCTGAAGCGCCAGCTCGAGGGCGGCGGCAGGGTATGCTCGACCCGCCTGCACCTCGTTGGCAGTAACCAACTTCAGGACAGCCGTGGAAAAGACAGCCAAGGCCTCCTCGAGCCGCTCGCCCTTGCACTCGTCCAGCATCGTCTTGCGGATGACCGAGTCGCGGCCAAGAACGCCATTCTTCTTTGCATTTTCCAGCGCACGGAGGAGTGCGGCGCGTAGGTTGAGGGACTGGGTCTGGTCGAGCGGCGGGAAGAAGGGCTTGAGCTTCTGCAGAGGATATATCAGTATCTCGTGCAAAGTGGTCGTAGTGCAAGACATGACGACGGAGCACTCACATTGGCAGCTTCCTCTGGGTCCCAGAGGGAAAACAGCCGGAACAGGGCCCATTCAACGCAGTGAATCCTGCGCTTCTGCCCTTGCACGCTCGCGCCAGTCGTAGCAAACGTCTCGGCCGTGATACCAGGCCAGTCTGGTAGGAGGTCGAGGTCGAGGAGGCGCAGGTTGGTGAGGAAGACGGACACGGACGACGGCCCGGTTCCGTGACTCGCGCGCGAGGACGAGCTCCCCGTGGCAGCCGGCGCCTGGGCGCGGTGCTGGAGCGGTCGCGATGAGTTGGCGGGCACACGCGAGCTCGGCGGCGCAGCAGCTGGACGCGTCCTCTGCACCGCAGCCATGATGCGCGTTAGTTGTTGGTTAGGTCCTCCTCCGATGTCGACGCGAAAAGGGAGGGGTGGCCAGACGAATGCATCTCAGGCTATGTGAGCTGCACTCGACTTTTGCGTGTGCGTCCCCGCGGTGTGCTTGAAGGAGAAGAGGAGGACCAGGGGTTGGAGAGCTGGAAAGCTCAGCTGGTGGAAGCTGCAATCCATGCGCTGGTATATCCTCAGGCGCAGCTGAGTGCCGAACACAGACCCCGCCTTGCCCGCTATGGCGCCTGCTGTTATGCGCCCGTGGTGGGGTCAAGCTGCCTGGTTGGGCTACCAAGGCAACCACCAAGGGTCAGTCCCCAGCACGTGTTCAGCGGTCAAGACCCCGCTACAGTTGAGGTGAGGGTGAGACCCCCAGGGCTCCGCCAGGTGGCCCCCGGCGAGCTACAAGTTGGTAATTTACGGAGGTATAAGTCCTGCGCTGAGCATCCGGCAGCTGGTGTTTCACCCTGGAACAGAACCGAAATTCACCAGACCGGCAGCATTGAATGCAAACCTACATCGAGCAGTTCAGAGGGAAGCATCACTGCATGCCATCATCCAATGATGGGGCCCTCTTCCGGTCCCAAGGATTAGTGGCATGGGCGACAGCCAGGCGTCATCAGCCATCCTGCAGGGCCACCACCACGGCCACTGTAAGGTACGAGATGCCGTTTGTGTGACGTGTTGGCGTCAATGTTCATCGACATGCCTGACTAGACTGCTTTAACCCCGGCGAGACAGCTTAGATCAGAAAATCGCGATCTCGGCTAGGAGACTGATTGCCGTCTTTACGTCGCCACCTCCCCAGGCCTAGCCAGAATAGATGAAGCTCCGCTTGTCATCATGACTTCATCCTCCGTGCCGGCACACCACCATATCCCACTGCAAGCAGACACTTGTTCATGTCTCGGTAAATCGCAGTCTTATACCTTCAACATCGCCCAGGTCACAACACAAGGACCAACCGAGCATGCAATCTGCACTACGAATCACACTCCGCGCAACAGGTGCGGCACGACCTGCAGCTCTCCGCCGCCCCTACCACAGCACAGCGTACAACCTCCTCGCCTACAAAGACGCCCAAGAGCGCCATACGCTATCGCCACGCAGTGACGAGCACACAAAGTCTGCCACAGACGATGATGTCGCGGCGTTGTTGGACACTGCCTTTGGCCCCAACCAGCCTCGGCCCGACAAAGTAATCATCTCGGCCGAAATCGAGTCCAAGGGGAAGCCGAATCCGCTAGAGGCGAGCGGCGCGAACCAAGAGTTCAGCAAGCCGAGAGGCGATGAGCGTGCTGAGCAATACAAAGTCGTCGTTGAGAAGGCCGAGAAAAGCCGTATCGGGGGTACGCCAGGCAAAGGGGAGGTGCTACGGGAATACCAGAAAACAAAGAAGATTACCAAGTTATCGTAACAGCTGGTGTAAATATGCAGTTCAGGCTGAACATATTGCTGTCCTGTTCCTGCCCATAGATCTAGTCAAGTGTAGTGCGGCCCGAGAGCCATGTCCGCTTTGTATGCAGCGGGTAGTTACATACCACCCAAGTCGCAGCGATGCTACCGTAATATCTACCACAAACTCTATCCAGCAGTTACTTTCGGTGTTCCTTTGAAGGACCGTCAGTAAAATTGTCGTCATGGACGCGTCATATTTAATCCTAGACCCCTATATAAGGGCAAGACACGTCCAGCGTCAAACGCGGCTCAGACCAGACGACCAGGCAGCACCTCAATCTCACCACCAAGCTTATCGCATATTCACCACATTGTCGCTGAGAACCACTCATCCCAAGATGGCTTGCGACTGCGGCTCAAAGTGCAATTGCAGCGGTCCCAACAACTGCACATGTGGACAGGCCTGCAGCTGCAAAAACTGTGGCGTAAGCATTAAAGTCGCGTTTCCCGATGGCAGTGCTATACTAACTTCATGAGCAGAAATAGTGACGAAGTTGTCTTCCGGCTGGGGAGGCGCACGAACCATCAACCAGCCACCAGACAGGCTAAGCCGTCATTTGACCTTCTATGAAGTGGTGGAATACTGTACAATCGCTGCAATAAGGCTACCTACCTAGAAAAGAATGCGAGGAAGTGGGATCGCACCTGTCGATTCTCGACCTTGTGAAGAAGATGGGCAAGAGCTATGTACGAAGTACATTCCAAACGTGGCTGTCGAATCATCGATGCCTGAGGTCTTCAGCTGAATGCGAAGTAACAATTCCTCTTGTGCATTAATCTTCATGTGTAACAGCCATTCGCTGTCAAATCGGAAACCTAAGCGCCCGCTGCATGAAGCCTGGGATGACACCGCCCCAATCCTCACGGCTGACGAAGGCCGATTCAGCTCAGCCCGCAGTGCCACTACTCAACTCGGCCAGGCATCAATATCCGCGGACAATCCGACCCTTCTACCTACATCAAGCGCTTTCTTGTCGCGACTTTTCCTCCACGGCAATCGATAGACGCAAAGGCATCATGCCACAAGTATCGTCCATCGTGAGAGGGCTTGATACGCCCCAGTCTACGGAAGAGCGACCGAGAAGTCCTGAGACAAGGCTTCGCGAAAGCCCCGACATCTTCTCCATCTTCACTCTCACCGTGTCGTTTGATATCCCGTCTTGCGACCTCCCTTCGTTGAGGGGTATTCCTGGGGAGAACTCCAATGTCCCCGCAAGAAGCTATGGTTTGGGGACCGGTGTGTCGTGCGCCGTGTCCATCCACAAGACCGGCGACGAGGAGGCGGAGGCTTGCCCACCAGGTCCGTGATAACAAGGCACCATGGCGATCAAGAGTCAGGACCTGCGATATGACTGACCAGCAGTGCGCGACTCAGGTACCCTCGTTGCACTCAAGAGGTACAGCGCAACCCCTGACGACAGCCCTGGGGGTGGGCAGGCAAATCGGAAGCTGTGCCAGCTGCTCTGGCAGGAACTGAGCGTCTTTACGCATCCGTACCTGCGACGCCACGAGAATATCTGCCAATTGCTTTACGTAGGCTGGGACAGCAACTCGATTGTGCCGAATCTGGCCTTGGAACTCGCACAATATGGTAAATACCGAGTCGTAGTTCTACGCCGGCCGAGTGGAGCTTACATCTAATGTCAATTTTCGAATCAGGTACTCTGGAGGACTGTCTGCAGCACCTTCGCTCCTACAACTCGCCACTGAGGAAGGCCCATCTCAGCTGCGACATTGCGCTGGGTCTGGCGGCCATTCATGCTTGTGGGATGGTGCATGGAGATATCAAACCCGGAAACATCATCATCCAAAGCCATCCGTCACGGGTCGTCGTGGCCAAGCTGTCCGACTTCAATGGAGTCAGCTCCGCCGAGAGCTATGGATCAAACCCGTACTCATTTGGCACTCCCGAATGGCAGGCACCGGAAGCGGTAATCCAAGAGCCAACAATCGACTGGCAGCTTTGCGACGTCTACTCTTTCTGCATGGTCATTGCTACCATCTGGACGAGAACCGGCTACATTCCTCCGGGCGGTAGCTTTCTTGACAGCTGTCTGCAGTATCAGCTTGACAGCGAACAGAGGCGAGCCTGGGCCCTCGGCTGCAAGCTTGCGCCTGATGATTCAGAGACAAGCTTGCTCGGGCTAGCACTACGCGTGATATATAGCGACCTTAACATCTGGATTTCTTTGCCCAGAATCCTCACTTCCGGACTACCAACCGAACCGTCCAGTCGGCTTGAGATGGCCGTCATGGTGAACACTTGCTTCTCAGACTTTGCAACCCAGACGGGAAGAGATCTCAGGTAAGTATGACGCCTTCGTCGGTTGGTCAATGCCCACGGTCAAACGTTTACTGAAGCGTATCGTCAGTTTTGCACCCGCAGATGCAGGCTTCGTTTCAAGCAAGCCATATGACGCCGCCGACGTCTTTGGGGAGATGTTTGTACGTTCCCGCCACTGGAGCACCTAGTCGACTTCTCGGTCTCTGACGCATGGCCTTGCAGGTTTTGAACTCCTCTTACATCCAGCGACATAGATCATTCAAGGGAACCATGTTCAAGGCCTTGTTAGCGGCCGGCATCAATCTCCGAGACTCGGTGGAATTGCCAACCGTACTCGATGTTGAGGAGAACCCTGCGATGACCGACAACGATCTTTATGATTTCCTTATGACCCAGGATATTCGTCTCAAAGATGCCCTCCACGAACACGGCAGTCTTTACCGGTTTGCCGGATTCGCAGCTAATATTTCCCTCTCGTATCTTCTGGGCATTGGGACTCCGGTGAAAGAAGATGCTGCCATTTCATGGCTGCGCCTGGCTGCCCGAGCCGGGGAAGGTAACTCCATACATCTTTTTGGCCCCCTTGAGCAGTCCATCAAAGTGCATGAGCCCGAGATTCCCCGCAGGCTCTGGTGTGCCTTCGGTACTTTGGCAGGCTACTTTCACACAGCCGAGTGTCTCCAAGACACGGACCCGGTCCTCTACAAAACAGCAATGAAGATGTATCGGCGGCACTGCTGGGGGAGACGTGGTCATCAGATCAACAGCATTGAGCCGTATCTCCCGGACTGGGTCGCGCAGATTCGGCAGGATCCTTCTTTAGTGAACAACCAAGTCCCAAGTCGACGACCTGAAGTGCCCACCAACATCAAGGAGACTGCGCTGCACCTGTGCGCTGCCACCGGAGACCTCGAATCCGCCATGTACCTCGCGGGCTTGGCTGATGCCGACATTAACGCCGTGAATTCTCGCAACGAAACACCGATATTCTATGCGACACGGGCTGGTCAGTTCGAGATTGCCAAGTTTCTTTTCGATCAAGGAGCCGAAGTTGATGGAATTAGTACTGAGGGCTATGGAATCGCGCACGTCCTATCCATGATGGACGATGACCATGGCGCAGAACTAGCCCCCTTGTACGTCTCCCGTGGTGCCGCCCTAAACATCGCCGGCAAAGTGTCGCAGAAAGTGTCCAGAGACAACCTTACCCGTGGCAGAGGGATACCGCTATTCTGGGCTGCTCTGCACGTGCGTCCATTGTTATTTGCGGCTCTACTCGAAATGCACACGAAACCAGAGTTCCGGATCAGTCGAGCCGATGCCTTGCAATTACTCACACTGCTTTCGACTCTGCACCTGCACAACATGCTGGAAGCTGCCCTCGAGCTGGTGCAGGGCATCATTGACCCGGCGCAAGAGTCACCGAGAGATCCAGACATTGATAGTGTCCAGCGTATGCTTCAAGATTTCAGCATCAGCCCGGCGGAGCAGGACCATGACGGAGCATTCGTCACACCAGCCATTTCAACTGCCCTCCTCTTCAAGGCGATGGGTAACTGGCCTACAGATATTCTCCATCGGCGCTATATCTCACGCAATATGTTCAGCCGCAACAAGGAGAGAACTGTATCCGTTCTGCTGAAGCAAGGAGCAGATCCTCTTGCCTCCACCGGATCTCCCGACTCAGGTGAAGATGAGGTACAGCACAATACTCCTCTTGCTCTAGCCATATCCGCTGGTGACACCCGCACTTTCCGCTTGTTTATGGATACTGTCAGAGAGCGCGGCGTGGACCTGCTTCCGTATCTTGCGCACCCAAGGCGCTGGGCCGGGTACAGCGCGCTGCAATGGAGTATATACAGTGACGCCCGGGACATTTTCATCCTTTTGCTCGAGGAGTACCCTTCGTTAGCCGATCTAGTCGGGGAGTATGGTCGCCGGCCACTCCATTCGGCGGCAATGAAGGAGTGGCCTGGATATGCCGAGGAACTGCTCCGCCGGGGCGCGAGCCTATATGACCGATCACGCGACCGGTCAACCCCCTTTATCATGTCTCTTATGCACAGCCCAAATCTTGAAGTCGCCGAGCTCCTCGCTCAGCACTGCGACGACATGAACAGCATCCTGGGTCCTGATACGGAAAGCGGCTTCACTGCCTTTGGAAAATTACTCAGCGCCTTGGTCGGCTACCGCATGGACTTTGGTATAGACCGCCTTCGCTATCTCGTGGACAAGTTTGGCGCGCCGTCGTTCTTCTCCAAGGTAGACGAAGCAGATCACGAGGACGTCACGGTGTTTCGTACAGTGCTGCTCGAAAGAACAGCGCCCATGGACAGGGCGCAGATTGCCCTTGAGACGTCTGTTCTAGAGTTCCTGTTGACGATTTTTCCTGACCGGGTGGACTTCATCGACTACTTTGGTGGGGCTTCACTGCATTACGCGGCAGCGTACGGCAACTATCCGGCGGTCGAGGTCCTGCTCCGGCACGGAGCCAACGCGGCGATCGAAACGCAGCTAGTGAACGGAAGGGGGTTGGCCGGATACACCGCCCTCGATCTCGCGGTTCAGCGTCAGCGAGACGGCCCAGGAGATTGGATCCTCCGTGGGACACGGAGCGAGATAGATGCCTGGGAAGCGAACATGAAGAGCACCATACGGGCCTTGGTCGAGGCTGGAGGCGGCGAACCAGGCAGCGGCGTGCCGTTTCTCGACCGCCTGATGACACAGCAGGCAGCTGGCCGATTTTCGATGGTCCAAGTGTCAAGGTTAGGCGGTACGTAGTCACGATACTCCTTCCTTGGCAACGCATCACACTGTTCCCTGAGCTTGGGCTGACGACGTTTCTCTAAAGACAGGCCAAGGCGCTCCGACAGAAGCGGCGACAGCGACTGGCCGCTGACACTCCCGGACGATGGCCCGGGACATGCACAAGCAGCATCCGAGGCGGCAGGTCATCAGTTCAGCGAGCAAGACAGGGAACTGACAGAGATTATCGGCGAAAGCGGGCTTTCTGTTCGGATGCCGCAGGGGTCGCTGAACATGTTGCAGATGATGGTCGGGGCCGTGAACCCAACTGTGTTGACATCAAACATGATGGAGAGTCTCCCTCAGCCTCCTGCGGGATATCTCGACACTTTGCAGGCGGAGGTCTCGCAGAGGAGGGCCGACAGGTCAAGCTCTTCCTTGTCTTTACCTCCAGGCTGGGAGACGAAAAATGATGCATCGAGCGGAAGGGCGTACTACGTGGACCATAACACGCGGACGACATCGTGGCTGCGTCCCACACGACGAGCAGAAGACGTCCGGAGCAGTGGTATTGATGGATGGCAGAGTGAACGTAGTGGGTTTCTTATGTGAATAAGCTTCGATACCAATCTCGAGCTCGTGCAGTTAACAAGAAAGATGCGTCAATCGTCATGCAGAAATCCCGGTGTCCCCATGGCAAACCCGAGACAATTTGAATGCGACGAGGTTGCCAGCCCAAAGGCAATATCAGTCCCTCTCAGACAAAGAGTCAAAGTTGCCAGCCCAGAGTCGAATCTCAGTCCCTCTCAGGCCAGGAGCCAAGTCCATGTCCTTACGCCTTCAACGTAGCCAGCGGCCTCACCACCTTTTGAAAGAACGCATCGCTCAGCGCCTTGGCCTCGTCCGCGGCGCTCAACCCGCCTGGCACCCCAAACGACCCCGTCAGACAACACTTGATGACGTCGACAAACGCCCTGCCCACCACGCCCGCGAGGTCGTCCCCAAACCTGCCCTGCACGTCGCCGAGCATCGCCGCCGACACCTCGCGCATCGTCATCCTCCGGTAGCGCTCCTCGAAGACGGGCCGCCAGTGCGCAATCTCCAGCAGCACGACGCCCAGGCTGTACAGCTCCTTGGCTTTCGTCCACCCGCCCGAGAGCACCTCCGGGTGGTAGTAGACGTCGAGCTCGGGCGCGCCCGTGGGGCGGCCTTCGAGGGAGGCGTCGGCCGCGGGGCGGCTGTACTGGAAGCCGGCGATTTGCGGAGCCGTGATGTCCACGCCTTCGTTTGCGTTTGCGCTTGCGCTTGCGTCTGCGTTTGTTGGCGTAAAGAGGATGTTGTCGCTGCGCAGAGACTTGTGAATCCAGTTGGTGGCGTGGAAGAGCGACACCGCCGAGGCGAGCTTGTAGGCCAGCTCGAAGCGCGCGCCGAGGGGGGGCCGGGTCCGCGCCTTGCTCGCGGCGCGGAGCAGGTCCCACAGCGGGACGGGGAGGCCGGCGGCGGCGGAGCCGCTACGGTAGACAAGTCCGAGGCGGCGGTTGCCGCTGTTGCGGTCTCTGTACTTGACGTCGTCGAAGACGCCAACGCACGCCGGCCGGTGAAAGGCCGCGGCGTTGTCGGTCGAGAGCAACGCGCCGAGGGCATCGACGCGGAGGATGATCTCGCTCGTCAGGCCGCCGATGTTCTCAATGGCTTTCCATTCGATCCACACCGGCTCCGGCAAGCTTTCCGGCTCCCGGCTCGTGTACGTCCCGCGAAAGCGACTAGTCGTGTCGTTGGACTCGGCGTTCAGGAACGACAGCTCCGAAGCATCAATCCTCTTCACCCTGGCGGCCAGCTGCTGCACCGTCTCGCCCTGCAGCTGCTTCAGCCGCGCCGCAAACGCCAGCAGCGAGGCCGGGTCGGTGCCCGGCGCATTCTGCAGCGACGCGAGCGACAGCTGGTCGCCGAGGCCGCTCAGCACGCCCGTCACGATGCTCAGGCTGTCCACCTCCTCCCGCGTGACGACGTCCCAGAGGTCCTGGTTCAGCGTCGACAGCCGCGCAATCAGCCCGGTGAACTGTTCCCGGTGCCGGGCCACCCAGCGGATGCGGTTCCGCTGCGGCACGCGCGCGCGCGCCTCCCCGAGCATCGTCACCCACTTGCTCTTGCGGTGGAACGTCTGCGGGCCCGCGTCCGCCGCGTCGGGCAGCGCCACGGGCTCGACGTGGAACTTGGAGATGTACTTGATGGCGAGCTCGTGCGTGGCGTTGATCTCGGCGATGATGCGCCAGATGGCGTCGCGGCTCACCTGCGGCTGCTGGAGCAGCGGGCTGTCGGTTGCGCCCTCCCTTTCCAAATCGTCGTAGTCGTGGCTATCCTTATCATCGTCGTCGTCCTCGTCGTCGACGTGGACCTTGAAGCGCCGCGCCCACACCCCGAGCTTGACCTTTTCGACGTAGTACTGCGTCGAGGCGAAGCGCAGCCCGTTGTCCTTTGCGCACACGTCGGCGATCATGTTGAACCCGTCGACGGCGCCCTTGACGGAGAGGAGCAGGCCCCCGACGGCCAGGGGAATGCCGGCAATCTCGAGTCCCGTCATGGCTCACGGTTTTTGTCGCGCTGCCTCATTGTTCACTTCGTCATGGCCGTTGTTCTAGAAAGGTGTTGCCAGGGATTATTTCCCTCTGATGAGCTCGTCGCAGCCAGCCCGCCATGGGCTGGCTTTGACATTTGACCATGGCTGGGACAGTCACATGGCTGGCTGAATCCCCTCAAAGTTCAGTCAGCTCCTTCAGCTTCCTGCAGCAATTGATGACTGCAGCAGCACGGCCCCTCGTCCCCGGCTGCATTCAGCCAACGAGATGATACTGGAATGGGGCTGCAATGAAAGCCTATCCTCGAGCGACAAAAGTGAGAAGCCACGGCCTTGCCCAGTATAACGTACCTTATACATCATTTATTGCTTCGTGAGAGGTACCCCCAGGCCGGGTAGGAGGAGAGTCAAGCAGACCACTTGCAAGGTCAGAAAGGCGACGCTTAACGCTCGGTATTTCCAATTGCTGCAAGACCATAGTCCATCAACTTCACCTACAGCTTACATAGAAAGACCACGAGATCTGCTCCATCCCAAACCATCATGAAAGCCATGCCAGCATTGCACTCCAACCACATTCTCCATCGCAAACTCATCAAGTCACCCTCCCATCGCTCACTCTCCCGGCCACCTCAGATACTGCTGGTCCTCCGGGTCGTCCATCCCCCAAGGGTACGTCAACCCCCCCGGCCAAACCGCCCCAAGGCTCCTCCACATCCCAACCAGCTCGTCGTAGCTCCCGAACCCGTCCCCGCCCGTCGTCACGTTGGTGTCCACGGGCCCGTACAGGAACCACCCGCTCAGCGGCTCCGCGAGCACGCCCTTCCGCGCAGCATCATCACCGCCGACGCCGTCGTCCTGCCTCCTCTCCTGGCGATTTTCCTCCTCCTGCTGCCGCTGCTGCTGCTGGTGAGGCGGCAGCAACTCCTTCCGCCGCACGCCGATATTCCCGCCCAGCACGTACGCCATCGTATTCACCCCTTCCTCCGGGTAATCCAGCATCTTGAGCGGCGCCTTCGCATACCCAACCGGCAGCGACTCCAGCAACTCATCCACATACACCACGTCCCCGACGACCGTGTACCCCTGCCTCCGCGCCTCCTCCGGCGTCATCGGCTCGTCTTCCCCCTTGCGAACGCGCAACCCTCCCGCCTCCCTCCAGTGCAGAAACCCCGTAATCCAGCCGGACATGAAAAATTCATGCGGCCCTGTTCCGCAGCTCACGCCCCTATCCGCAGTCACAATCTGTCCCCAAAACTCCCTCACCGCGTCGCTCCCCGGCTCGTCCCACGTCTGCACGAAGCGGCTCAGGATCGGCCGCAGCGCGCGCGCGTACGCCGCCGGCTCGGCGCCCAGCCGCGGCAGGTGCTCCAGCTTGTCCAGCAGGCGCGCCCAGTCGGCCCGCTCGCCGAGCAGCTGCACGGACGGGATGCCGCAGCGGATGCCGCCAATGAACTCGAAGTAGCGCTGCGTGAGGCCCATCATGAGCACCGTCGCCGTGATGTTGTCGTGGGCCGTGCTGGTCGTGAACCCTGGCGTGATCCAGTCCAGCAGCCAGTCTGTCTTGACCCTTTGTTGTATATGCTTCCCGAAGGCGCCCACCACGCTCGGCCAGTCCAGCTCCCTGACGATGATCTGCTCCCGCTCCGCCTTGTCGACGAAGAGGTGGCGCAGCTCGTCCGCGTGCTTGGCCATGTAAAAGTTGAGCTGCGTGAGGATCTCGAACCAGACGACGTCCGGGCGCAGAACGAGGTGCTGGTGTTGCGCCCACGCGTCGATGGCGCCGCGCACGAAGCTTCCCGATGAAGGAAAGATAGTGCCGTCGACAGAAGAGAGCTTCCCAGTCCCATCGTCAGCCATGTATGACGAGTAGAGTACTTGCGGCGGCTTGTAGGCGTTCTTCGGAGAGACCTCCTCGGGACAGCTCCTTTCGAATAGTTCGCGCGTCGTCGAGACGGCATTGTGCATCCGAATCGGCAGAGGCTCGACGTCGCTGATCGGTACGATGATGCTCGCCGTCGAAAGGCTACCAAGTAGCCCAAAAAGTAGAATGTTGATCATGGCGGGGACGATTAAGCGTTAGACCATCCGTGTTGTTTGCAAAATTTGCGAACACTTGCCGACTACCGCCGGGGGGGTTGGCCTGATGGATAGGGAGAGCCGAGTCGGATGAAGTCGAACGAATATACGCGGGACTCGAAGCCGTCTTATACAAGTCCCTGTCTCTTCACAACACCTATCCATTCAGTTCTCTTGGAAGGAGAAGCGGTCTCCTCACGCCGTCAAGACACGTTTCGTTGCAAGTCCGGGTTCGCCATTTTGCAGCCTGTCTGGGGTGTCGGGCAAGCTCCTTAGCCGTTTGCTGAATACGAGATTGTACCTGGCGGGTTCAGTGACTCAAGTCAAGGGTCTCGAGTCCCCCCATTCTGCTTGGCGCGCCACGTTTAATACCCGATGCCTCATTTGGCCCGCGATGTGTCCTCAATGCGGCAAAGCAGTCAGGCAAAGGACGTGACTGGAAAAGGGGCTCCCGGGCATGAAGAAAGTGAAGCGATCAAGTGTCACGAAAATGAAATCTGAAGGTGTTGTAGACTTGATCAATTTGAGCCGTCATGATATCATCTATATACGGGGACCTTTGCCCCTAATCCCAGGCTCGGGCTCTTTGGCCCTGCCAAAACTCCGTGGTCCGACCCATGCGCCGTGCTGCTTGGCCAAATGATGATGAAAATACAGGATAAAAGCATTGCCAGCAAAAGAATCATGACAGGCTCATGTCTCGTCAAAACAAAGCGTCAGCGCCCAGTTAGATCCTAGGCCTCAGTCGCCTGCGAGGGCGCGATGACAGAGACGACCGGCCTCGCCGTCAATCTTCACGGCTGTCGTCCTGGACACGCTTGACGCGCTCCACCAGCTGGGGATAGATCTTTTCCGTCTTCTGAATGCCGCACACCTTGGCGACGACATCCTCGGGCTTGTTCTCCGACATGATCTTGGCCAGCTCCTTGGACTCCTCGTCCTCCTCGACGTTCTGGAAGCGGAAGCACATCTCAATGGCATCCAAGAGGAACTTGATGGGCTGGTCGTTCTCGGCAAGCTCGGCGGCAGGGCCGATGAAGCGCTCCTTGCGGGAGAGCTTGCGCAGAGGAGCTCGGCCAACGCGCTCGACGGCGTCCTCCAGATGGGGGTTGCCGATGCGGCGAATGATGCGTTCCAGGTAGGCGGTCTGCTGGTCCTCGCCGACATCGTGCTTGGAGACGAGGAGGTTCTTGGTCTCCATCAGGGCGCCACGGACCTCGGCCATGATGTCCTTGTCCTGAAGAGCATCGTAGACGGTGCTCTTTCTCCGGTTGTAGCCGTGGTAGGCTGCGGTGGCGTGGCCAGTGTTGACAGTGTAGAGCTTGCGCTCGATGAAGGGCTGGAGGTTGTCGACCCAGTTGATACCCTCGATGGCGGGGATGCCAATGTCCTCGAAAGGAGTCTTCTCGACGACCCACTCGAAGAACTTTTCCAGCGTCACGTCCAGGCCAGCGTTGGGGTCCTGGGCTGGGACAATTCTGTCGATAGCAGAGTTGGCGTACCGGGCGCGCAGGTGGTGGTCATCGAGACGCTCGGGTCTCGTGTTGCGGGGATCCTTGATGTACTGGGCAAGAGTGTCGGTGGCGCCAATGGCGTTCTCGCAGGCAATGACGTGCAGAGGCGCGTCATCGGTGGAGCGGCGGTCGATGCCCTTGGCGATGACAGGAGCGATGAACTTGAGGATGTTGGGGCCGACGGAGCAGGTGACGACCTCGGCAGTGCGGATCTCCTCGATCAGGTCCTCCTCGTGCGTCTTGGAGTTGATGGCGCGGTAGTTTGTGATGGTGTTCTCGGCAGTGGCGTCGACACCGACCTCAATGACCTTGTAAGAGGGCGTCGCATTGATGCGGTCAATCAGGGAGTCGACGACATCGGCGAAGACCACCTCGTAACCAGAGTTGTGCAGGAAGCAGGCGACGAAGCCGCGGCCTAGAGAGAAAGTCAGTAATTGAAAACGATCAATCCAAGCATGAAAGTGTTGCGGTTCGCAAGTTCACCACGCAAGCGTCGCCCAGTCATCGGCGGCGCTGGCCAGGGCCACGGTGGGCACCGGGCGCTGCAGCGGGCGGACTAGGGCGGCTTGCAGTGGGTGGGTGTTGGGTCGGGTGAGGTGAGAAGCTTAGGGACAAGCATGGGCGCGGAAGATGACGTACCGATATTGCCGGCGCCAAAGTGGACAGCCTTCTTGCCCATGGTGAAAACGGTGCGAAGAGACGGTGGGTGTGAGTGTGTGTAAGTCGAGCGGTGCCCGAATCGCCTCGATCAGTGAGATCGAGGTGAGTGCGTAGATGCAAGAGTAAGGTCAGGTCAGGCGTATATCAGCAGAAGAGAGGAGCTGATATGAGGCAGATGGTTGCGAGTTGGTGAAGAGAGATAAACGGTATCGTGCCACAAACGAGACGGAGGGGGGGGCGGCTGGAGTTTATATAAACTGAAGTGACGACGGAGGGAGGGACGGCAGGAGCGAGGGAGGGAGGGGCCATGCCAAAGCAATGCCAAAGCAGGAGCAAAGCAAAGCGAACCCGATGCCAGTACCTGCCAGACGGGACGGTGGGATGGGAAGCAGGGAAGGAGGGGCCCGGGTGAGTGAAACGGGGCTTTCCCGCCCGTGGCAGGCTTGCCGCACCAAGTACCACCTCATCCATACCAGCCCATGGCATGGCAGCCTGTGACGACGACGGCGGCGGGACGGTTGGGACGGGGGCGTGGCATGGCGAACGGACTGACTGACTCTCGTCGTCCAACGCGGGCAAGGCCAGGCAGGGCAAGGCGACGGCAAGGCAGGGATGACGGACGACCGAGTGACGTGACGCGGGCATCGCAGTGGAGCCGGTCGCTCAAGGCGCTCTGGACGCCTGTTGGGGGCCCGGAGGGGCTCGGGTCGGCGGGGTGGGGCGGCGGCTTGCCAGGCGCGCAAGCTGGCTGGCCAGGCTGCCGGCTGGCGCCTGCTGATGATGCTGGGCGTCCGCTGTAGATTCAGAACAGGGCACCAGGCGAGGAGGCCAGGTGGGGACCCGCAGGGCACTAAGGTTGAGGAAGTTCGCTGGCGGGGGCCTCCACTGCCCTTCCTCCGAGTCGCCGCAGGTCAGTACGAGTACAGCGGGGGCCCGTCGTCGCCTGTCGCCAGTTGCCGCAGCACGGGCGCAGGCGGAGGGGCCGCTATCTTTCCAGCGCTCGTCAGGCGCCTGCTCGTCCGGTCAGAGCACCCGACCCGTCGTCATCGTCATGCGTATTTCTTTCATCAGAGTTCCATTGTTTTAACATCACGACCGCCGCGATCGGGATACTCGAACAAGCAATCACTGACCGCCGCCTCTGCACGTTTTGCCCTGCGCGCCCCAACGAAAAAACGAAAAGAAAAGTTTGACTCGCCAGCTGTCGCCTCACCCGCCGCCTCCGTCTCAGACAACGCACGTCGGCCGAGTTGAGTTGCGCGCCGTCTGCCTCAGGGCCAAACTCTCGCACCCCCGGCGCCCCTCCTCCCTCTGGGACTCCGCCGCCCAGCACGCCTTCCAGGGGCCGGGCTTGGGCTGCGCAGCGCGAATTTACAGGGCCGTTTCAGCGCTAGCCACGCTAACGCGGTGCAAGGCTCCCACCGTCCAGTCGCCGCGCGCAAAAGGCTGGCGACTCGCGCCGCCGAGGACCCTCCGCTGGAGGGGCCCAATGACGCCGCTGCGATTGCGGTTGGGACCTGGGAGGGCGAAACGGAGCGTCACGGTGGCACAGTCGGCGGCCGGACCCACTGCAACGTGATGCACGTCAGCCATTGGGCCCTGCGCCAAGCCCGGACAAGCCACCACCTAGCCTGACCTCAGGCGCCGCACAGCCTGTACCGACGGCGCACAGGGGGCCATGGGGGGCCCACTGCAGCAGAGCCCGCGCGCCCGCACCAGCAGGGCAGCCACTGATTGCCAGGTGATGATTGCATCACCACGTCGCCGGCTATTCAGCTGTTCCGCCGCGAGCGACGGCAGGACACCGGCCTGGGAGCAGGAAGGACAGCAGCGAGGAAGCCTGCATGCCGTCTCTTCAGCCATGCCGTATACTCGTTTACGTACGTTGGAGCGAGAACGACAAACAGTCGTTCCGTTCCAGCGGCAGGCGGATGGACGAATTGCAGGCAAACGAAACGCACGCATTGCCGGACGGGGCTGTCCGTTCCCTTCCACTCGGGTATTACAAGGAGCAGCGCTCCGTATACTAACCGCATCGAAACGAGGCCCCCGGCTGCCAAGGTGGGCGGGCTCGGATACGTACAGTACGTGTGAGAGTGACATCAGCGAGGCCCGCCAACCCCCGACTTCACGATGCCGACGCCGCCGCTGATGCGGGCGGCCCAATTCCACACACAAGTCCCCTGGCACTTGTCTCTGGACCCTTCGAGCCCCCCCGGCGGTGATTGATTCATCACAATGGGCGCCACGACCACGAGCGCAGGACTAAGCTCTAGCTCGTGTCTCGCAGCCGGGGGGCCCCTCTTTGTGATGCGTCAACAAGGCTGGAATCCGCCCGTCTCGACGTGACACGGCGCGGGCGAGACGGACCGAGCGAGCACGCACGCACGCATCGATGGCCACGGGTCTGCGCGATGGGATGGATGCGTGGACGCATGGGATGGAGGGATTGCACGAACCGGTCAGAAATGGCAACCAGCCACCCACGGCCGTCTGCCGCAGCACGCGTCCCCAGACAGACGCAATTGGGCCGTCCGCGCGCCGTGGCTGCATCGACGCCGACGCAACTCGACGATGCATCGACGACCCCGCGACGCAACTGCGGCAACCAAGGCCCGAAAGCTGAAGCCAGCCCGCGCATCCATCTGAAGGGGTCATCCCAGGATGAGGGATATGGATGGAGGGGGGACAGACAAGGGGGGGCAAGCCCGCGGGATGAGAGGCTAGCACGGCGGAATGACGTACCTTGGCGGGAAAGGGGACCACGGGTATCGTGAAATGGCGCAGGCCCGGCGCCGCGCATTCTCACGATGCTTCGTCATGCGCGAGCCCGCCCGCCGCCGGCCCCAATTGACGACGCACACGCGGGAGTTGGCCTCCGCAACTGACTGATGCCGTCGGCGCCCCCCAACCAGGAGGTCTTTGTCCGGCCGGAGGTCTACAATGGACCCTATGCGACGTCATGACACGACTGACGGCATCAGCGACCCAATATATCGATCGCGTTTCTCGGCTGCTGCCCCTGATCGATCGACTTTACTTACAGCGCACGCATAGAGCTTCCATGCGCATGTAATCCGTCTTCGTCGTCGTCGGCGGCGGCAGCGGGTGGGCATGGACGACGCACGGGCGAGGCATGTCGAAAGAGCCAGCAGCAGCTGCCGACACCACATGCAACCTATGCATGCATGCACGCGCGCACGCGCAACACTCATCGCTCATCGTGTTGGTCCGTCCGTCTGTCCGGCTGCGACGCGCACCTCACGGGAGGGCGCCTGCCAGCACGCACGCACGCGCTCACTCTCTCAGAGGCCTCCTCGTCCACATCCACATGCCGTTCCGGGTACAATGGCTGAGTCTACTCGCGCATCGTAGCCGCGGCAGGCGTCAATTTGTCCTTTTGTCCCCCTTTGGAGACAATATAACGCACGTCGTCCTGCGAGAGAGGTATTAATTACCGTATTACACCGGCACGCGGCGGCACAGCAGGCGGGAAGCCAATCGTTTCGCCATCGTCCGGCCATCCTACCACCTCATCCATGCTGGCCACCACCACCACCACCACCATCATCCACATCCACCCCCATGCCCACCGTTTGTTACGCTCCATGGCGCTAGTAGCCCAAAAAACTGCGCCTCGTCTTGCTTCGTCGCACCGGCCGGCGGGTGGGTCCACCTACCTAGCGCTTTTGTCCGTCATCATCCGTGTCGTGCCGAAAGCGCGGGAGCAGCGTCATGTTGTAGCGGATCCGAGAGAGTTGGGACGTTTGTTTGTGTGTTTGTTTGATCGTTCGTCGCGGTCACGATTGCCCGCCCGCCCGCTCGTGCGTTGCATGCAACATGATCCCAGGGGGAAGCGTCGTCGATGGATGGATGCTTGGATGGGTGCGTTCCATGCCGGGCCAACTTGATTCGAAACAAAAGCCGCACGTAAAACATGACCTCGTTCAACGTACGGAGTAGGAAGGAAGGAAGGCAACCCATGGATGGATGGGTCGCCAGACTGCAGCCGGAATGCTGGCTGTGAGTTTACCTGCCACCCATCACCGTCAGGCACCCTGAGCGAGACAAGCCGCAGGCGAGACGGCCTCCGGACAGGCGGCGCGCAAAGGCACGATGCCCATCCCGTGGTTTCACCAAGCATTGCTCCCACCGCCGTCGCCGCCTCTTGCAATGACGGCGAACGACGACGACGACGACGTTGATCCAGATAATAAACTGCCGTGCCTGCTTGGTTTGCGTGAGGCCCCGTGGCCTGGCTTCTCGTTCCGGAGCGGGGCCTCCCGGCGGGTTACCTTTTGCAGCAGTGAAACACTCATTCTCACGACCGACCAACCCACTCACGCTCTCTCAGTGGAACCACCACCAACCACCAACCACCAACCAGCACTGCACTGCAAGAAAACACTGGAGAATGCGCAGAAGCAGCGCAGCGCCCAGCCAAGTCCAGTGTCCAGTGTCCAGTCCCACGTTGCGCCCGTCTGGGGCCCCAGGGGGCAAAGGCCGTCTACTGTACCACTACTACTAGGACCAGGACGTGGGTCGGAGCCGGCTGCACAGTCCCTGCATTCATGGGCCTGGAGTTGAAAGTTCCAGTTCCAACACCCGCACGCCATCTACTTCCATCGTACTGTTGGGGGGGGCAGCAACACACGCTCGTCATCCCGAGGTGACCACGAGCGCGCGATATGCGCCTCACGATGGCTTCCCCCTTCGGCATCATTGTGGATCTCCAGTATCTGGGGCCCTCGCCTCCCCCCTATTAGTCGTTGGTGGCGAATGAGGCTTGGCGAAACCTTGCGCGCGCATCCGCCCCCGGAGCACAGCGATCCGCCCACTCACCCAACTGAACTCACTCAACAGGCCAGGCCTGCCTCACGCACGAGAAGAAAAAAAAAATCATCGTTCCCGAGCCTGCGCCAAATCCTCCAAAAGATACGCAAAAGGTTTTTCATTTGTCCGGGCGAGGGGGCCACTGATTATGCGTCACGCCCGGCGGACAAGGGTTTCCCTTCACTGAGCAGGGCTGTCGCCGTCGAGCGGGCCGCGGCGGCGGCTCCGGGCGCGCCTCCCACTCCCCGTGGCCGCCCGGCCGCGCGACCCGGCGGCCCTTTGCTCCACTTGCTCCGGCGCGGCCGGGGGCTGCCGCCCGCCCTGGCCCCAAAGCAGTAATATCAGTGACACTACCCGTACACTCGTCGCCTCACATTCCCGTGTACGCATCCCAAGCACTCATCTTGCTTTACTTCTTGCCAAGCCCAGCGGCTTCACCAAGCCTTTCATAGGTACGTAGTGGCAGCACCGACCAGGCAGCGGGCATGCTTCCCCCAACAGATGGACGCACGCGCACAAGCGACATGCAGGAACCCTCGGCCGCCGCGCAGCCGACATCACCCGAGCCCCCAGACCCAAACCACGCACACGCCTCAACCCCCTGCATAGATACCGTACATCCTACATAGTACGTACGCTGCAAGCCCCCGGCATTTTCGCCTATCGCATCGGGATGCGCTGCGCTGATCAGGCACGGACGGATGGGACCAGCACCCCGTTCCCTTCTCGGGCCGTCTCGTCTGCGCGGCGTTTTTCTGTCTATTCATCCTTGCGAACGAAGACGGATTGTACGGTACAGTAGGGAAGCCGTAAGTTCGGCTGCTCGTCTAGGCGCAGCGAGGTGGCTGACGAGAGGGAACGGCATGGTAACTATGTCGTTAATCGCTCTGCCAGTGACTGTGCATTTGGGGCGCACGGGCATGTATCGTTCGGACGTACGCGGTGCCCAGGCGCGCTTCGGGTGCTCGTGTGGCCGTGCATGTGCCCGCGCGAGGAGGGCGCACATGTGATGGCGAGGCAGTTCCCGGCTGGCTGGCTGGCTGGCTGGCTGGCTGACTGACTGACTTGCCTCTGAGCGAAGCGCTCAGGTGCCCTCTCTGTCTCGTCTTCGGGAACATGCACGGCCACCAGACGTCCTCGGCAAACACAAACGGTGCCTTGTCACGGCATCCATGGCTATGGCCAAACTCCGGCAGGGCCTATCAAAGAGCTAGACGTCTAATGGGCAAGCATCTGTCTCCCATCAGTAGGGTAGCAGCGCAATTGCACGATACCGGTATCTTGTACCCATTCCACGTGCGGCCGGCCACATGCCAGAGACCTGCGGATACTTCCGCCGGGGACGGAGTGTTACACGTTTCCTCCGCCTCGTGTATCTTTGTCTACCTACTACCTATCCCGGCAGTCGCCCTCGGAGGCTCTCCATCTTGCGCCGTCGAACTCAGCACTGACACGCCCAGAGCATAACGTAATGCACACACCTTGGTAGGTAGGTAGGAACCGTAGGCGAGGTAGACCTCCTGCACGGACTCGCGCGAGCGACGGGAGCTCGGGGCAACTCATCACACTCGTAAGGGGAAGAAGCAGGCCAGCGACGGAAAGAGCCGTAGAGGCACCGAGCATCTCATTGTCTGTGTGATACCACGATCCAAGTGCCTCGACTAAATATGCTGGTCCGGAAGTGGCAGTAATGGCGAGTCTTGTCCTTCAAGCTTTATATTTGCCATTGCGCTCTTCCGCATTGGTCATGGTTGCCATCATTCAGGCACATGGCGGATTCTGGGTTCCTCGATCCACGACTTACACCGCACCTGTCCTCTCCAAGATGACGGCGCTGAACATCATCCGAGTACCGCGGCTTGCTACATACCACAAACACCCATTCTCTGAATCAAGACACTGCTGCAAACGTCGTTATTTCATATTATTTATATTTTTGGGCTTCCAGCTTCCGGTTTGCGGACAGTCTGAACGACGACAGTTGATCCATCCCACCCCCTTTTTTCCTTTAACGCGACCAATTTACCAAACCACCAAGAAGTGTCACTGATCAGAGGGCGATGACGCCCCGTGGCGGCTACCGCACACAAACTCGACAGCGTATACTGAAAGAATTCCCCAGACTCGTAAACGCAGGGCCTAGATCTTGGCAAAGCTCTTGAAGGCGCCGATGAGGCCGCCCGTCGAGGCGTCGTGGCCCTGGCCGTTTCCGGGCTCATCGAGCTCCTTGAGGATCTTCTTGGCCAGGACCTTACCGAGCTCGACGCCCCACTGGTCGAAGCTGTTGACGTCCCAGATGGCGCCCTCGGTGAAGGTGAGGTGCTCGTAGTAGACGATGAGGGCGCCCAGCTCGGCGGGGCCGATGGCGCCGCCGACGAGGATCGACGTCGTCGGGCGGTTGCCCAGGAACCGCTTGTGCGGGACCAGGTCGTCCTTGGTGCCCTCGGCGCGGACCTGGTCGTCCGTCTTGCCAACCATGAGGGCCTCGGCCTGCGCGAAGTAGTTGGAGGCCAGCATCTTCTGGTGGAGGTTGTTGGAGATGGGGTTGTGGGACTTGGCCGCCAGAATGAAGTCGGTGGGGATGAGCTTGGTGCCCTGGTGGACGAGCTGGAAGAAGGAGTGCTGGGCGTTGGTGCAAGGCTCGCCAAACAGGATGGGGCCTGTGGTCGTAGGTCAGTGCCACTTCTTTATACTCACTCAAAACGGGAATATCACTCACCAGTCGTGTACTTGACAGAGGAGCCATCAGAGGCAATCGACTTGCCGTTGGACTCCATGGACAGCTGCTGCAGGTAAGCAGGGAAGCGGTGCAGGTACTGGTCGAAACTACACGCCTTGTCAGCAACGCTGGTCGTGAATCTTGAGGAACGGTGTACAAGGCACTTACGGAGCGACAAGGTGCGTCTGGGCCTGGAAAAAGTCCGAGTACCACACGCTCAGCAGACCGCCAATGACGGGAATGTTGTCCCGGAGGGGAGTCTCGCGGAAGTGCTTGTCCATGGCGTGGGCGCCGCTGAGGAACTTGTGGAAGTTGTCGAAGCCGACGTAGATGGCGACACTCAGGCCGATGGCGCTCCACACCGAGTAGCGGCCGCCGACCCAGCTCTCGAAGCCAAACATGTTCTTGCTGTCGATGCCAAACTTGGTGACCTCCTCCTCGTTGGTGGAGAGGGCGACAAAGTGCTTGGCAATCTCGCCCTTGTTGCCCGTCTTCTCGAGGAACCAGGACTTGGCGGTGTTGGCGTTGGTCGTGGTCTCGGCCGTGGTGAACGTCTTGGAGGCGACGAGGAAAAGCGTCGTCTCCGGGTCCGAGTCGCGCAGGGCCTCAGCCATGTGGGTGCCGTCAATGTTGGAGACAAAGTGCAGCGTCATGTCCGGGGCGCCGTAGTACTTGAGGGCCTCGGTGACCATGACGGGCCCCAGGTCGGAGCCGCCGATGCCGATGTTGATGATGGTGGTGAGCTTCTTGCCCGTGTAGCCCTTCCACTCGCCGCTGCGGACCTGCTCCGAGAACTCCTTCATGTGCTTGAGGACGTCGTTGACGCCGCCGGGGGTGTTCATGACGTCGACGCCGTCGACCTTCATGTCCCAACCGCCGACGTTACGCAGGGCGGTGTGGTAGACGGCGCGGTTCTCGGTGAAGTTGATCTTGTCGCCGGCGAACATGGCGTCGCGCTTGCGGGCGACGCCGGCCTGCTCGGCCAGCTTGACGAGGAGGTCGAGCGTCTCATCGGTGAGGAAGTTCTTGGAGAAGTCGAAGAGGATGTCGGCGGAGACGCCCTCCGACTTGAAGGTGCGGGTGAAGCGGTCGAAGCGCTTGGGGTCCGAGGCGAAAGCCTCCTTCAAGACAAAGTTCTTGCCGACGCTATCGCGATGCGCCTGAAGCTCAGACCACGCGGGCAGGGTGTTGGCGGGAGCCATTGTTACGCTGGGAGACGAGGGAGATGCGAGGGGGATGAGGTCTGGAGGTGAGGAGAAGGTCAGCTCGAGTCTGGCCTGGGCGCGAGTTGAGGGGTAGGCGAGGTAGTAGTAGTAGCAGCTCGCGAGTGAGACGGATGCTGCGGGAGGAGAGCTTGTTTGAGACGTACGTGCCTTGGAAGCTCAGCTGGCGGCGTTTCGGAGCTGTCGGGGAGCGTGTGAGTTGCTTGGCCGTCGACGATGCCGGGAGGCGTGGGTATGCGGTCTACTCACTAATGCACCAACGGGAGGGCTACCAGGGGAGACGGCTAGGCAGATTGGCAAGCGGGAGAAGAGGAAGAAGGACAGGGAGGAAGCGGACGGCGATGACGGAGTCGAGGCGAAATACCGCAGGCTCCGGACAAAGACAGCGAGTGCTGAGGCAACGGACGGACGAGGACGAGCTGGTGTGGATCCGGCACCATGGAACGCCTGGCACGTAGCGATAGCCTACTGGGACGGGAGGTCCAGTCCAGTGGTTCCAGGCGGTTGCGGTGCCCGGAGCAAACCCCTCCGGATGCGTCGTGGGTCGACGGCTTTTGGGGCGCTGGGCTGAGAGGGGAGATGTGTATAAGAGACAGGAACCTTGAAAGCACCCGAGGGAGGGGCAGCGCAACAGCCCACCAAAGGCACCACGCACCACCTCCATCATCACCTCACAGGTGCGGGGCAACCGCTGCAGCGCTCGCTCGCATTCTTTGGTCGACGTAATCGTCAGTCAGCAGCGCGGGCCGCCCGCGGTCCAGCTGCAATTCTTCCGCCGTGTCCCCCATCCTGCTTCGTGCATCGTCTACTCGACCAATTGGTGGACAAATCAGCAGGCACTTGGCCGCTTCTTCGCCAGCGCATGCCCAGACCGACCGCTGGGCAACCAGCTAGGAGTTATTCATGGATGGATGGATGGATGGCCCACCCGCCAAGTCACTGCGTAGTTCACCACCCATCATCACCCGTGTCACATCACCGCACATCGCTGCCTCCAAGTCAAGTGTGCATCTTCACTTTGCTTGCCGACCCCTCCTACATACAAGGTGTGAGAAACCAACAGGTCCAAGGCGTTCCGGTTCCCTTCCAAACTCCATGTGTATGTCAACGGCCGCACCCAGGCCGACCGACGTGCCGGTGCTCTCGTGCATAGCTTGTTGCTGCCCAGAGTCCCAATCTTGGGCAAGCCTCGCCGCGTCTCTCAGCGTCAGGCCCTCCCAGCCCTCGGTCCTAACGACGCCCTCCGAATGCGCTCATGCCAGCTTCGCTCCTGTTCGTCTACATGCACGTCTTTGCTTCTCTAGTTTATCGGTGGTCCTGCATGCTCCCAACAAACGACGGGTCCTTGACGCTTCCGCCCGCGTCACCCAGGCCCGCAATGGGCCTGTTGTAGCTGAATCCCACGAATTGGTCTTGCGCCGTCTGGGACAGCATCGGTCCTTCAACGTAAGAGTCCTGTGGCGCCTCTGACGTGAACTCCTTGTCGAACTGCCCAACATCCAGTGCGTCCACCTGCGTCCCTGTTAGTAATGCTCCCATGCTTGTCATCTTGTAGGGGATTCGTCACTCACCACAGTGGGCTTGAAAGCCGGCTCATACTTGCGCTGCAGCAGCTTCCGCCAGTCAATGGCATGGAAGAACGGATGCGCCTTGATCTCGGCCGAGCCGTTTGCCCCCAAGCGCTCATCCGGGTTGCGGTTGAGCAGCTTCGTCAAGAGATCCTTGGCCGCCGGCGGCACCACGTCCGAAAAGTGCAGCGGCTCCGACAGGATCTTGCGGTACATCTCGTTCGTGTTCTCGTCGTAGAACGGCGGCAGACCCGTCAGCATCTCATACAGGAGCACGCCCAGCGTCCACCAGTCGACCGTCTTGTTGTACCCCTTGCCCATGAGCAACTCGGGGGCCAGGTACTCGGGCGTGCCGCAAAAAGTGTTTGTCCGGTCCTCGTCCTTCATGTCGAGCTTGCAGAGGCCAAAGTCGCACAGCGCAATGTGGCCCTGGTAATCGACCAGGATGTTCTCCGGCTTCAGGTCCCGGTAGATGACGTTGAAGCCGTGCAGGCACTCCAACGCACACAGCAGCTCGGCCGTATAGAATCTCGCCCGATTCACGTCGAACCGGTGCTCCTGCTGCAGATGGTGGAAGAGCTCACCGCCGTTGACGAATGCCAGCACAAAGTAAAGCTTCTCGGTCGACTGGAAGCTGAACTTGAGCGGCACAATGAACGGGTTGTTGATCTGCGCCAGGACTGACCTCTCAGCCAGGGTGTGGGCCACCTCGGACCGCGAGATGATGTGCGCCTTTCGGATCGTCTTGAGTGCGTAGATCCGGTTGGTATCCTTTTTGCGAACTTGCATGACCTTGCCGAAGCTGCCCTTGCCGACCACCTTGAGTAATTCAAAGTCCTCGATTTTGAGCTTGCCCACGCGCGTCTCCACGTACTCAACTCCGACCTTGATCTTGCCCGTGCCATATTGCACGTCCACCCACTGCACGCCACTGTGGCCCTCGCCCTTGTGCCGATCGGCGTACTCTGCCGCTGCCTTCTCTCGGTCCTTCTTGCTGGCTTTGGGGTCCTCCACGTACGGCTGGCGCTCCGCAAATCGCGGGTTGATGCGGGCGACGCCGAGGAAGATGTCTTGGCTCCGCCCGGCTCCTTGTGGCGCATTGGGATTTCGCATGTACAAGTGTATCACCAGTTCTGTGACTCTCGAGACGTCGAACTTGTACTGGGTGTTGCCTCCGGCCCACAGGGGGTTCTCGGGGTTCCCTTCCACCGAGTTGACAAACACCTGGACCTTGTCGAAGTCGAGCAAGGCATACGGCATGTACTTGCCTGAGATGCGGCCGTGGTTCGTGGGAATGCCCGAGAAGCCGCCGGCCGAAGAGTGTGGTCTGTTGGAGCCGTTGATCAAGGAGCCGACCCGTTGGGAAGAGCCCGGCCGTATGGAGCCAGCTATGCCGGAGACGTTACTCGACGAGAGGGAACCCTGGTGCGACGAGGCAAACGCATTTCTATGTTGTTCGGGCAAAGAGAACCCCTGTCCCTCGTGCAACGTCACGACCAGGATGCCGGGCTTGGGAGGTTTGATGACGGGGGCCTGGACCATGGCCTCGGAAGCAGCTGGAGGTCTCCGGGTCAGCGATGCGCCTTTCCGGGCTTTCTGCACAGGCACGCGACGCCGGGGAAAGACTAGACTCACCAATCGCGCTCTCCGTGGTTGGAGTGGTGGCGCCGGGCGTCGTCTGTTGTTGCGCCTTTTCGTCCTTGTCCGTGATGGTCGAGGTGGAAGGGGATCGAGAAAAGGCGCTCAAAGGCCCCAGATGGGTGTCCTTGAGCTCTGTGACCATGTCAGCCAGCTATCCATTTGGGCCAAGGGCGACAGACGCTGGCAGCCGCTGGCTGGGTTGGCAACCAGCGACAAACAGGCAGTCAGCCACCAGACAAGGAGGCACGGCAGGACGAACTCTTGGTGATTCTCCACGACATGCTGGCGGCCGCGGGGTGGGACAGTCTGCAGTCGTCTGTACGAAGTGTGCCGGCGGGGATGGCGGCACAAGTCAGGAGTAGTTGGCCGTCGTCGTAGCACAAGTCGGAGCTGGTGCTCGAGCGCGGATTGAGAGTGAGACACGGGGTGGGCAGCGACCGGGGCCGCGGGGAATCGCTGAACAAGGTGCAGCGTCCCCAAGCGCGATGGTCTGGAGGCCTATCGGGCCTAGGAAGAGGATATCGGGGGGGCAGTTGACGGAGGAGGACCAGGCCACCGGTCCTGGATGCGAAGGGCGCGTCGGTATCGGGCTCGAGGAGGAGAGAGGTCGTCGGGCGTGTGAGGTTCTGCTGCTGATGGCTGCCCGGAGGAGATGGTGAGTGGACGGGCGGCGGAGGCGATGGATGGTGGATGTGAGGTGGTCTGGCGCGCGGGCGGGCGGTGGGCGTTGTGGGTTGCGCTGAAAGAGGTCTGGCGGTGCTGGTGCCGGCGCTGGCGCAACCCCGCAGACACGGGCGTCCACTCTCAGCGGATGTGCTGGTGCTGCAAACCCACCCAGGGGCCGGGACTCGAGCAGGCTGGGCTAACAGGAGGCTTGGCTGTTCGTGATAGGCAGCAGAGGCCGGAGGATACGAGAGGGATTAATCGAAATCGGAGTGAAGGAGTGGAAGGGAAGGCAAGGGGAGAATGGAGTGAAGGAGGCAGATGGAATGGGATCGGACGGGATGCAGTGGCAAGAAAGGCGTGTAAATGTAGGACCAAGATCGGACTCGGTGTTCCAGGTTTAGAAATACATATTCGTGGCAGTGGCCCGCGAAAAGGAGTAGCAGCAGTCAATTATGAATGGAGCAGGAGATCCAGCCCAGGTTGATGAGAGGGAGGAGGCGAAGCAGGCGACACACACACGGGGCCCCTTGGCTCGCGGGGGTGCGGGATTGGCCAACGCCCGGCGGGACGAGGGAGGGGGG